TCGCGATCCGGCAAGTCTGGCCCGATGCCGCTGACGGCCGACCTGCTGCGGGCCAAGGCGTCCTCCCAGCGCGCCGAGAGTGACAGCGGCAGCCAGAAGAGCCGCTCCAACAGCAGTCGGGGCAGCGACGCGCGCACGCAGAATGGCAGCGGCGTGGGCACCAACAAGCCGGAGGATGACAACAACATCGTCATGACGATGAACGGCGTCACGATGAGCTTCACGCAGGAGTCGGTGGGGGGGAAGAGGATCAGCGTTCGAACGGGCGACACGGGCGCCGTCGAGCTGAACATCGAAGGGAAGCGACCGCAAAAGTACCTGACCGGGGGGTCGGACTACACTGGCAGCGTCGCCCGTCGAGAGCTCGAGAGTTCTCGACGCGCTCGGACGGACCGCCGGTCAGACCAGGCCAGCCGACGATCCAGTCGGTCCACCTACAGCGGTCGGGCGTATTAGTCCCGGTCACTTCCTGTCGACGTTCACGGTGCATGGAGTGCCGGTGCACTCGGCCGTTCATTCTGCTGTTCCCTACTACCCTAATATTTCCACCGCCCCGCTGACTCGTCGGAGAGGTAGAAATCATTTTGCTTTTTACCCAAAAGTTCATCGCCTGTCGGGAGAGAGATTCTTGTTTGACCAAGACATCCAGGCCCGCGATATACCATTGTTGCCTTTGCTTTGTGCGTGCTCAAAAGTCGGACGGTTTGCTGCTTCAAAAGAATTTTGCGTTGATTCCACCTGGGAGGATGTTTGGCTTCTTTTTGTTTGTTTTCACTTGTCGTGTCTTTGGGCTTTGATGGATTGCTCGGGTGCTATAAAGAGAAGGGGCGGGTTCACGGTTCCAACCGATCACGTCCATCATGGCGACATGATTGTACGATTCTGATGACCTGCAATGATGATGTTATGTTTTTATGTCTATCTTGATGTGGATGCTGGTGTTGACGTTCATGCCCCGGTTCATGTTGATTGATTGATTGGTTGATGTCGGTCCGTCTGACTGTCTTCTGTCTCATGTCGGTTCAAGCAAGCGTTTGTATAAACTTCCCTCTGGATGACATGGCCACTTGTTTCTTTCGTGCGTTTGGTTTTGTTGTCAGCTGGGAGAAATGAGTAGTTGACAGAGGAAAAGGTATACCCATTTGATTTAGCAATGTATTGTCTTTTTTACCCTGTTTGATTCGTTCTTCATTCGTGACAATCACGGAGACACCGGGCGGTATGACCCTGCGTATAGATTCGTCATTCTGGAAACTTTTATTATATACAATCTGATAAGAAGAACCGACTGCGTCTCGTCGAGAGCCCGGGGGTTAGGTCCTCCGCAAAGCCAACGCCAGATACCCAAACAGCCGATAGACCGCGATGATGCCAATCAAGATGCCCACCCATTTGCCAGTTCGACCATAATCTACAACATTTCGAGTCCAAATGAAATCAATGATATGAGAATTGCTTTTTCCAGCCTTGCAGCTAAGAAGGCTCTGTCACCTGCAAACCCTGGAATGGCTGGATCATGTCCTTTGGGGTACATTCCTATCCTCCGGAAATTGCAATCCAGACCAATCGCTTTGTTATCCATTGGGTGATTCTTCTTTGTGCTCCGCATTGAGCCGTCACGAGGTAGTCCGGTTGGCAAGACAAGCGGTGTTGAGGCTGTTGAACTGAATGCAGGGGCTGCAAGGGAATCTGCCTGGATGCACTATTGATTCTGTGCCTAGAGAAATGCAGTGAAGTAGCCAGTAGGCAAAAGTTTCAGTGAATGGGAATAGGTTCTTCTGATTAACACAAAATTAAGAATAAAAAAACCCCTCTAGTTGCCTCCTGTTAGATTGGCTGCGGTGTCCAGGTTTGGGTCAAAGCCTCCGGCAGTTAGAAACTTGCGCAAAGAATTGTTTTTTTTATGTCATGATTGTGTACCAAGTCAAAGCAGAGCAAGAACAGCCCCTGGTAGTGTCTGCTTCCAAGCCTACCGGCGGAGCTTATGGGAGGGGTACTCTGGTCATACAATTATGGCTTCATGTGTGACGAACTGCTGGCAGAGAGACAGTTCAAATGGAAATAACAAACACAAGATATACGAAATTGCTCCAAGAGCTATCCTTGCTGCTATCGATAATGATTTAGGTAGGGCGGACCAATGTCGCTGCTAAGATCAGAACAAAGTTTGCTGGTATTGATTGAAGCTATGAGGGATTTAAGGAAAATGCTACTTTTTTTTCTTTTTTGACGATCTCGATTAATTACATACTGTGTACATCAACTGTTAGCATGGTTCGGAAGAAAGTTGTAGAATAGACTGGACGTACCGTTCAACGGGGCTGAGACCCAACACCCGCATTCCGTTGTGCAAGACCTGTCGGGCAGACTCATACAGAGCCATACGGGCCTTCTTGACCTCGGGCTCGCTACCCACCACCTTGAGCACGTCGTAGCTGGAGCTGAGGATGTGAGTCATGCGGAAGAGGTAGGTGAGGACGGTGGTAGGTTCCAAAGTGCGGGTGGTGTTCAGCAGGGTATCGGGCCATTGCGACAACAGACGCGCGAGGTCGTGGGCGTGGCGCTCGGTCAGAAGGTCCAGGTTGGCGGTGTCGAGCTCGTTGATGTTCAGTCCGGACTTGCGGACGATAGAGCACAGACGAGCGTGAGCGTACTGCAGGTAAGGACCGGTGTCACCCTCGAAGGAAGTCATGGCGTCGAGGTTGAAGTCGTAGCCGTTGACACTGGTACAGTTAGCTAAGCCTTGGTCGATCTACGCAATTAGAGGTACGTACCGCTTGCCAGTCATGTCCTGCACCATGACGGACGTGATACCCAGGATATCGGCCGTCTGCTCGGGGTTCTCGACCTGCTCGTACTTCTCTTGGTTCTTCTTCATGACCTCGTGCATCTTGTCACCAACATCCCGCAGGATATCGTCCAAGAACTTTACAGTACCCTTGCGGGTGCTCATGCCACGGACCATACCAAAGTTGATGTGCTGGCAGCGGCTGGCAAGATCCTTGTGGCCCATCAGCTCGGTGACCTTGAAGAGCTGGGCCAGATGGAGATCCTGCTGGGCGGCAACCACGTAGATCATCTTGTCGAAGTGATAAGCCTCGTCACGCTCAGTGATGGCACCGATATCACGGGTCAGGTAAAGCGGGGTGCCGTCCTTTCGCACGATGATAGCCTTTCCGAGCTTCTTGGCACCGTGCTTCGTGAAGTCGACGATGACCGCGCCATCGGACTTCTCGGAGACACCCTTCTCCTCCATGGTGCTGTAGGCAGAGGTCATGCTCTCCTGCTTGATCTGAGACTCTCCGGAGTAAACGTCGAAGTCAATGTTCAGGCGGGCATACGTCTGCTTGTACTTCTGGATACTCAGGTCACGGAATCGGCGCCACAGGGCGAGAGCCTCTTCGTCGCCATCCTCCATGCTCTTGAAGTACCGACGAGCCTTCTCGTCCTCGCTGGCATCGACCAGCTTGGCGAGCTCCTGCTCGAGAGCGGCCACATCCTCGTTCTTCTCCTTCTTCGCCTTGACCTGCTCCTTGAGTTCCTTGACGGGAGCGTCATGCTCGGCCACGACGTTGTTGATCTTCACGTAGACATCGAACAGGTGGTTGATGGGATCCTGCTGCAGCTTCTCCTCGTCACCGAAGCGCTTGTAGCCATTGGCCAGCAGACCGTACTGCTTGCCCCAGTCACCGAGGTAGTTCATCTTGATGACGTCCCATCCCATGACGGTGTACAGGTTCGCCAGGAAACCTCCGATGATGGTACTCCGCAAGTGGCCGGCATGGAAGGGCTTGGCGATGTTGGGGGAGGAGAACTCGACGATCATCTTCTTCTTGCCCTTGGAGGGATCCGACGGGTCGCGCAGACCCTGGTTGCCATTGGTACCGAACACCTCCTTCTCCTTGAGGATGCGAGGGATGACGGTGCTGGTCAGGCCCTGGGGCTTGAAGAAGAACTGCAGGTGAACGCCGAAGGAGGTGGGAGGCAGGACCAGGTCCGACTCGGGGAACTTCTCGGCGAGTTCCTTGCAAAGCTCGGCGGGGTTCTTCTTGATTTGCAAGGCGGGGACCTACGGCGCAATCTCGATTAGCTACCAGAGCATAACAACGGGCCAAAGCGCAACCAGCCCAACCACCACCAGATCCCATCACATCGGGTCAGATCAAATGTTCATCGCGTACCGGCAGCACCAGGTCACCCTTGTCCAGCGTGTTGGTCCATTGCAAACGGGTAAAGATCTTCTCGGCGTCGATACCGGTGGCAGCGCCCAGCTTCTCGGCGATATGCTCACGGTAGATATCCACGGGGTTCAGAGAGGGGTAGCAGTTGGGGAACTTGGAGGCCTCGGAGGTCGAGTGCAGGGTCAGCCCCTCGACGGCAGGAAGGTCCGTCATGGCCGGCGCGTCTTGGTTCAGGCGGGGGGGAGCGTTGAAAGCAAGAGATCGAGAAGCGAAGGGCGAGCGGGCGGAACGAAATGGAGGGGGGAAGGGGCGCAGAAGACCGGGACGAAGGGAGCAATGGAGTTGTGGACGAGACTGGAAAAAGGCGATGGAAAATGGCCGAGCCCCGCTTAGAGGAAGAAGAAGATAGCGACCCATCGGAGGGGAAATCCAATTTTCTCTGTCGGCGTGACTCAACGGCCCCCCAAAATGCCGCTGCCCTCGTGCCCGGGCGGTGAGAGCGCCCGCATCACCTGACCCGGCGTGCCCTTGCCCTGCCCGATACGTCATGCTGCCGTCGTCCCTGTCCGGCCGACAGAGAGGTTGCACATCTCTCGATGAACACCCCTCCTCTCCTCTCGACCGTGGAAATGAGCTCCTCTCCGTCCAGACATCCTGTCAGCGGCCTCGTCCGTGATCATGGCTCGTAGTCGCCGGCATGCCGCTCTCGCCAAGTCGATCCAGCTGGCATTGTTTCGCGATCCAAAGACCTTCCGACGCACCGTGATCGGGCAGATTCTGGCCTTCTTCAGTCTCTTCTATCTCAAGCTCATCCGGTATGGCGACGAGACCTTCCAAAGCATGCGCAAGGAGGCGTGGGAGATCGACGAACACGAGTATAAGTCCAGCTTCCGCAGCGAAGACAAGACCCTGCCCCTGCAGCCGATGGGCGACCTAGGTTTCTCAGGATCGGTCAGTCTTCATCCTCGAATCCGGCAGCTCATCCTGTCTTGATCAGACTGATTGACCGGACGTCTCTTTGCAGACATTCTTCTCCACTGCCAACTCCAAGTTCCTCGTCAAAAGCCTTCCCCGACACTTCGAGCACTCCTTCTTCCGCGAGGACCTTTTCCAACCCTACTACCACCACATGCGCACCCACCCCCAGTCGCTCCTGGTCTGGATCACCGACTATGTCTTTGCGCCGTACAAAACCCTCGGCAGTCTTCTGAAAACTACCCCGGCGCACCACGTCATCATGGAGAACATGCTGTACGGCCGCGAAAAAGACCCTCGGCCCGACAGGTGGGAGACCTACGATCTGAAGCCGATCGACTATTTCTACCCCGAGCGAGACCTGCTCCCCGAGCCCCTCGTGAGTGAGGAGACGATCAGCAGGTTGGCGGACGAGTTCCCGGATAAGATCCGTCTGACGCGCATGGAGTATGAGGACATGATGAACATGCTGCGGGCAGACACAGAGCTTTTGGAGGCGTCGAATACGGTGGACTACTCGCTGTTTCTGGTGCGCTTTCCTGCCTCCAGCGAGCCGGACATTATAGGGAGAAGAGGCCCGTGGCGCGCAGGCGTGCCGTCGACGGATGGGAAATGGAAGTATCGCGCGGTGGTGTTGGACTTCTTTTGGGCCAAGCACAAGTTGCACGCGCAGGCTATGACGGGTATGGTCCAAACGTTCAATGTTCTGGGGAGACATGGGCCGATGACCATCACCACGACGGCGGATGAGTATCGTCAAAAGTTCCTCAGTATGGTGGATGCGATGGTGGAGGTTTCCTAACCACGCGAGTACCATTCGAACATAGAGCCTGGGCGGATAGGGGGCCAAAGGTACACCGGTGCTGATAATACCTGCAGCATGCATAATGCGAAATTATATTCTTGAAGTATAACTGTATGTGAACCACCAAGTCGCGATCGGTTCGTCCGAAACAATATGATATCAATATCTATCCCGCACATCTACATTGATCAAAATTCTCAGGATTAACAATAACAGCTCGTGTCACGTCTAGCATAGTAAGGTCACCGGCAGCCGCCGATGGCCTTGGTCTAGGTCCATCTTTTTCGCGTAAAGCAGGCTTGGGCAACCTCCCGTACAAATGTCATCTAATCTAGAAGCAGAAGACCTGATCTTCCAGCTTGCTGACAGGCCGAGCCTTGGTGTAGCCCAGGGACTCGGTGGCCTTCTTCATCGCACTGACCATGGGAGGGGGGCCACAGAGAAGGATCTTGATGTCGTTGGCGGGGGCAGGGAGGCGCTCCTGTGTTTTAGGGGAGGTGGATGTATGTTAGCCAACGGATTCGCGCAGTCGGTTTAGTGTCTCCAAACGAACCTTGATCATATCGGGAGTGACGAATCCAACGCCGCCAGTCCAGCTCTCGGGGGGGTTGTTCAGCACGTAGTAAACACGGAAGCCTTCATCCTCCTTGACGAGCTGCTCGAGCTCCTCCTTGAGCAGGACATCGTCGGGGTTGACGTTGGCAAAGATCAGATCCACCTGGGTGGTGTCGTTGCCACCGTTGCGGGGTCGGTTGCGGATAATGGCCTTGATGATCTGGAGCATGGGGGTGATACCGGTACCACCGGCAATCATACCGATGTGGCGACACATGTTGGGGGCGTACACCATGGCGCCCTTGGGACCGCGCACCTTCATGGTCTGGCCGACCTCCAGGGTGGTCAGGTACTTGGAGATGTTGCCCTGGGGGTAGGCCTTGACCAGGAGGTCAAAGTAGCCGGCCTCGTTGTCCGAGGAGATGGGAGTGTAGGAGCGCACGACTTCCTTGGGCTGGCCCTCGATGGTGGCAGCCAGCGAGATGTGTTGGCCGATGGGCAGACCCAGGATATCCGTAGGGCGGGGCAGAGCAAAACGATAGATGGCAACATTGTGGGAGATGAGGTTCTTCTCCTTCAACACGAAGTCTTGGAATTCGGTGGGGTTCAGGACCTTCCGAGGCTCTAGAGATGGGCCGAGGGGGTGAGTATGTATGCATGCCAGTGAGAAAGCATCGAGGTCACGTACGGTTGCCACTAAAGAGCTTCCATCCGGCCAACACAGCGGCCACAGCGACGGCGAAGGGGACATATTCCTGCTTCACGATGAAGGTGCCGAACACCAGCAGGGCGGAGGGGATATAGACCCCATTGATATTCTCGGACGACAGAGCACTACCATTTGCGACAACCGTGAGTCAATTGCTTGCAATGGCCGCATGAACGAGATGGACAATCGCAGACATACCTCATGATGTTCAATTCCTCCAGGGACTCCGCGCGAGAGGAGAGAGAGAGGGAGACCAAACGGAGAATGAGGGAAGGGGGGAGGGAAAGGAAGAGGAGGAGGAGGAGGAAGAGAGAGAAAGAGAGCGGGAAAAAGAGAGCCGCGGCGGGTTGGACTGACGCTGCGTACCGTTGGGACGGTAATTACGCCCGTATTGTCGGGGTCATGTGCGGCACGTGGCGATAAGCCGATAACCCAAGGAATCCAGTGCCTTAGGCAGGAAGTAGTATACCAGAGACGGAGTTCGGAGTATCATAACAGTGGAATCAAAATAATAAATTAATAGAACGGACTAGAGATCCAATAATCGGAGACCATCCTGATCGTTGTCCAAATCAAGGTCCCAAACGGGTAATCCAAATGAGAGATCCCCCCGTCCTCCCCTGTCACAAGGCGCGGAAATCCCCTCCTGTTGGGGATTCCCTTCCTGGGGTAAGGATTCCCGGCGTTTGCTGCATGTCCTCTTTTCCCCTTGTGAACAAGATTTCCGTTTCTCGTCTCCAACCGCCTTCCTTTCCCTTTCCCTGCCCCCTTTCCCTCAGCGATGGCCGCCGAAGAACCTCCCGCCTTCAATCTCACCGAGGTCGATCGGAAAGTCCTGTCGCAAACCGACGAGGAGTTTGAGTATCACAGCTGGGACGAGTTGAAGGCCATCATCGGTATGTTGACTCGGAAGGTTCCGCTTCCTCTTCTCCCCGTTTTTCAGTCCGCCTGCTCCTCGCCGTGCGTTTGAGTTCTGGAAATTAACTCCATGTCTTTCTCCCCGCACGTAGCACGGAATGACCTCGGCGTGCTGAAGCGGAAACCGTCCGATCTGATCCGATACCTGGCGTGGACCAAGGACATCAAGTCTCAGTACGGCTCCATCACCGCCTATATCTGCCAGCGTCGTCTGCACTGGCATTTGCCGGTCCCTGCTGCCACCACCGGTACGGGCGAGGCCGATAGTGGACCCGTCTTCCCCTTCAAAAACCCCGTCCCGTTTGCCGATCCCTCGGACTACAAGATCCTGCACAATGACTGGCCCTACGGCTGGACACCCGGCATCTCGCACCTGGTCGTCTGGTTGAAGACCCCCGTGCCCGTCCAGGGCGAAAATGGTGATATGACCGCCGAGTCTCGCTCGCTGGTCGAAGGCTTTATCCAGAGAACCTTCGTGGATCGCTTGGCCGAAGACGGTGCCCAATTTCGCCACCCGGATTCACATGTGCAGTGGTTCAAAAACTGGACGGCGCTGCAGAGTGTGAGAAGCTTGGAGCACATCCACGTCCTGCTCAGGGACGTTCCGGAAGACATCCTTCGCGAGTGGACGGGGGAAGACCGGCCACAGCGTTGAGTTAACGCATAGACGCAGCATTCTAAATACCTCGCTAGACAACCCGCTCTAGACATGTTTCAGACCGATAGATAGCCTGGCATACCAGACAGCGGCGTTCAAGAAAGAAAAAAAGCTTTAGCATTGGGAATCTTGCGAAAGAAACAATAGCCCCGCGGTAGTTAAAGGTACAGAGAATGAGAGGTAAAAATGAGAGCTTTCATCATAGGTAAAACGCAAAACCAGTCAACAAAAGATCGCAAAAGAAAAGAAAAAAAAGAAATTTGGCCCAACATTAATACGCCCACGCACTGAAGTCCATCCCAGCAACCGAGCAAGAAATGACATTTGTAAATCCAATCCTCATGACGCTTCGTTGCCTTGCCACTCACGTCTTTTGCTCCTCGACGAATTTAAGAGCCTCCTCCCTCGACACGACATCAATCGTACTGGCCTTCTGCCGGAAGCTGACTCCGTAGCACTTCTCGGCCACATGCAACATCTCCGGTCGGAAAGTGGTGCAGATGAACTGCCCGTTCGTGGAGTCGGAGATGGACTTCAACATCTGGGCGACGGCGGTTCGGTACTGCGCATCGAGGTTGGCGTCGATCTCGTCGAAGAGGTAGAACGGGGCTGGGTCGCAAGCCTGGATAGCAAAGACCAGGGCCAGGGCACAGAGACCTGTAATGCGATCGTTAGTAAATTGGTGCGATCGAGCCGATGTCGCAAGAACTTACTCTTTTGTCCACCACTAAGCTGCTGGATACGCTGTTGCTCGTCATGCTTACTGTTGAAGCTGACACTGATCCCGACTCCCACGTAGTTCTCCACGCTTTGCTGGGCCTCCTCGTCATCCGACTCAAGGGCATCTTCCTGTCTCATCGCACGGTCGGTCTTTCGCTGGATGATCAAGCGCCCACGTCCGGCGGGAACGAGCTTCTCAAAGACGTTGTGGAACTCACGCGACACCTGCTTGAAGGTTCGCTCGATTGCTTCGTCCTTTCTTTGGTCGAGCACGTTGATGAGGTCGTCGATGGATTTCTGGGAAGCTTCGAGCTCTTCCCGTCGCGATGTAAGCACCTCCCGCTGTTTCGTGAAGCTGTTGTACTGCTCAAACGCTTTCTTGTTGACATGGGAGTACTTCTTGAGACTCTCGTTGACCTTGTGGAGCTTTTTGACGACCGCGTTGGAGTCGGTGTTTTTATACTTGGTGAACGCCTCGTCCGGAAGAACGCCGAGATCACGGATGTTGGCGGCGCACTCTGCTGCCTGCTTCGTCAGGGCTGCCTTCTTCTGCATGCTCTTTTCCATGCGGCGCTGGTGCTTCTCGATGGACTTGGCCAGTTCCTCCAATTCTCGTCGTGTTTCTGCATTCCGCTGCCCAAGCTCAGCCACTTGAGAGTTGGTCTGATCGATGGAGTCATCCACTTGTTGAAGACGCTGGGCCAGCTTCTCCAAAGCCTTGTGGAGACGCTTCATCTCTCTCTGCGTCTCTTTCAAGTTGCCCTGGCTGTCGTCATCAGCCATGTCGAGGTCTTGGCCGACAAGCTGGTCAAGACGAGGGTTGAGGTTCTCCCGCAGCTCAACCTCGAGGATGGACTTGCGACCCTCCAGCTCACTACGCTGGCCAGACAGCTCCTGATGTTGCCGGCGGAGGTCTTGGGCGGCAACGTTGAGGTTCTCAAGACGGGCCTCCTCTTCGTTGCTGAGAGCCTTCTGGAATGGCGATTTGAGCTCTGCCTCGAACGCATTGACCTGGTCAGTCAAAGCAGCCATGTTACCCTCAATGTTTCGTAGGGCGCGTCGCTTGGCATCGAGATTGTCGATCTTCTTCTGGAGGAGATCGCGCTTGCTTCTCAACTCATGGCGAAGCGGTCCGCTGCTGTTCTGTACTTGGTGTCTTTGTTGTTCCAGCTTCTGCAATTCACCGACGGACTTGGTGACGATTTGGTCCAATTTCTCGAGTTCTTTTCTGATCTCCGTTCCACGGTTCTTCTTTGCCTCGTATTCGTCTCTCCACTTCGCCAGGTTCTTCACGGCGTCCAGTCGTGACTGTCGCGAATCGTGGAAACCACCGGTCAGGGCACCTCTCTTATCGGAGCGATCTCCTTCGGGCGTGATGGCATTGACACCGTGACTCCGGGCGTACTGCGCTGCCACCTGCAGGTTCGGACAGATGATAGTCTTGCCGAAGACGTGGTTGAATGCCTTGTCATATGCCCGGTCGTACTGTAGCTTCTCAATCATCGGAATGGTGTCGCTGGCTCGGGGCATGTTGATCGGCCTCGACCGCAATCTGTTCAGAGGCATGAAGGTCACTCTGCCTGCCTTTTCATGTTGCAGAATCTCCAAGACCTTCGTGGCCGTCTCATCGGTGTCGACGACATAATGGAACAGACTCTGTCCTGCCGTAACCTCGACAGCAGTTCTATATCTGTCATTCACGTCAAAGAGCTCGGCTAACGTGCCGTAGACACCCTCGATGTTGTGCTGGCGTTTGATTCTTCGCACGGCCGCAATTCCTCGGCTCGTGTTGTGGTCCATCATCTGAGAAAGATTGCGCTCGGCTCGATCAACCTCGTTGGAGGCATTGGAGAGAATTGAATCAAGCTTCGCTTCTTCTCTCCACAGCTCCTTCCTCTGGTCCATCAGCCGGTCTCGCTCATCCTTGGCGTTCTGAACCTCTTGCTCGACAGACTGAATCGTGTCTCCCCGGCCGTCAATTTGCTTGCGCAACCGTTCAGTCTCCGGCTCCAGAAGGGCAATTTCATTTTCAAGCTCCGCAATGTCTGTCTGAGTCTGTGATACCACCCCTTGCGCAGTGGACATGGAGGAGTAATTGTCTTTAATCTCTGCCTGGAGCCACTTGTCGCGTTCCGACTTGTTCTTGAAGCGTGAGTTCCGGCCCTGCTTTGCGTACAGACGCTGACGAGAGGTCTCGGCCTCAGTGAGCTGCGCCTTGACGGCATCTTCTTCGTCTTTGGCAGTATTGAAGCGAGGAATGAGGTCCTGCAGCTCTCCCTCGCGTTCTTTGATGGCAGCCTGGACAGATTGCAAATCTTCGTCATGGCGCTTTTTCAAATCTTGGGCGGCGGCTTGGTTGTCGGTAAGATATTTGGCCTGAAGTTCGACCTGAGCCAGGGTTTTCGATGCCTCGCGACGCTCATCCTCCAGCTGCGATTTGTCGACCTTCAGGAATTCGATTTGCTGCTTGCATTCAGCAATCTCCGCGTCTACCTGTGCCATTTCCTTTTCACCCTGGATAAACCGATCACGGTTCAGATCAGTATCCTCGACGCCCGTTTGTCTCTGCTCTTCCAGGTTATCCAGGAAGCTACCGATCTCTTGTTGCTCGCGCGAGTAAATGGTGTATTCCAAGCATCTTCGTTCCTTGTCCTTGTCCTGATAGTTTCTCAGCTCGTCCTTCTCCTCCTCGAGTTCGGACAGACGCTCGTTGATGAAGTCGAGGAGTTCGTCGATCTTGGATCGTTTGTTGTTGGTCTCGTGCATGATTTTCAACGATTCGGCACGGCGCGCTTCGTAGACCTGCGTCCCTGCCACTTCCTTCAGTAGATTCAGGCGCTCGGAGTCTTTCATGTTAGTCAGGGCCGTCACGCGACCCTGGGGCACGATATAGTAGGGGTTGGAGCGCGAAAAGCCGGCGGATTCGAGAAGGTTCATCACATCGGATTTGGTGGCGTTTTTGCGATCCAGCGTGTATTCGTCCTTTTTCAGGCCGATGGTTCTACGGAGAACAACCTCCGGCTTGCCGGTTGGGAATCGATCATCTGAGTTGTCGAAGATGATCTCCACGTAGGCCGACATTACGGCCGAGCCCGAACCCTCCTGTTCGATGTGAGCATTCGCTTGGTATTAGTCTTAGGGAGGACACGCACGTGGAGAAGAGCCTGCCGTTCCTCGCGACCCATGTGAGTGTAGGCATCGCTGAGGACGAATCGAATGGCCGCGAAGAAGTTGCTTTTGCCCGAACCATTACGACCGACAATGACATTGTGCTTGGGGGAGAACGGCTCGATGACCGTTTGATCCTTGTAGCTGTAGGAATACAACCAGACGATTAGTTCTGATGGCTTCGAGAGTTCCAAGCAGCTGTTCTGCACCCCGGGGGGGGAACTCACCTTTTAAAGCCCTGGATGATGATCTGCTTGACATACATGGTGACGAGGTACGCGCGAAACGGGGGGAATCAGAGCGTACACAGCAGTCAAAGCATCACGCAGCCAGCGGTATGAAGTCAGGGAGCCCGAGCCCTGGAAACGGAGCAGCAAGTCGAGCTAGTGATGAACGGGGGCTGAGAGGGACTCGTTGATTGATTGCGCCAGAGGACGCGCGACGCTCTTCTTTTCCCTACGCGTTTCGCCCGCGGGGTTTCTGCCGGGCGGTGGGCGGCGGCCTGGTCCACAGTGGGCGATTCGATCCCAATGGCAAAGACTTCTTTTTTTCTTCTTTCCCTCCTTCGACCCTCCAGTCAGCCTACGCCTTTGTCGCTGTCAACTTTCGTGTTTGCAGTTTCCTGAGTCGACCATGGCGTCCTCAGACCCTACTCAGGCTTCTGGTCTGGCAGATGGCCTGACTCCCTCGCACACCTACGTGCCTAACCAAGGGTATCTGAACGCTGATGGCACGACCCCCACCATGGCGGGGCAGGATCCCACGGCACAGGAGGATAACGAGGAGGACAACGACGAATACTACGATGATATTTTCGAAGAAGATGTCGACGACGAAGACTTTGCCGCCGCCAACCCGGCCGATCTCACCAAAGCCTACAACCGCCAGCGCAAGCTCAACGAACTCTCCGCCGATCCTAATGCGCCGAAATGGACCTACCCCAAGACGAACTCGCAGAAGCCGACAGTCAACACGCATGCGTCTGTTGATGACGAGATCAAGACGTTGACGCGCCACGCCAACAAGATCAAGCTGGACGATGTGCAATCCGGGCTGGCGGTTCGCGGTGAACGCGGTGCCGACAAGGCCGACCGAGCCACCTCGGAGCAGGTGCTTGATCCGCGCACACGAATGATCCTGCTCCAGATGATCAACCGCAATGTGGTATCGGAGATCCACGGGTGCTTGTCTACCGGCAAAGAAGCCAACGTCTACTACTCGCTACTCTTCCCCAATGACGACGACGCCGCGCCTCTGCACCGTGCCATCAAGGTTTACAAGACCAGCATTCTGGTCTTCAAGGACCGAGACAAGTATGTGACTGGAGAATTCCGATTCCGATCGGGGTACAGCAAGAGCAACAACCGAGCAATGGTGAAGCTGTGGGCTGAAAAGGAGATGCGTAATCTGCGCAGGATTTACTCCGCGGGGATTCCTTGCCCGGAGCCGGTCCAACTTCGTCTTCATGTCCTCGTGATGGGTTTCCTGGGGAACTCCAAGGGTGTTGCTGCGCCGCGCTTAAAGGACGTCGAGTTCGATGTTCCCAACCCGGAGAGCAAGTGGCGAGAGGTCTACGTGGAACTGCTCAGCTACATGCGTGTCATGTACCAAACCTGCCGCCTGGTCCATGCCGATCTGAGCGAGTACAACATGCTTTACCACAAGAACAAGCTGCACATCATCGACGTTAGTCAGAGTGTTGAGCACGATCACCCGCGCAGTTTGGAATTCCTGCGAATGGATATTAAGAACATCAACGATTTCTTCCGTCGCAAGAATGTCGATGTCCTTTCCGAACGAACCATCTTCGAGTTCATCATCTCCGCCCACGGCCCTACCACGCTGGAACCGCGGGAGCCTTTGCTCGAAGCCGTTGAAAAATTGTACACGGAGGCGGAGACGCAGGACGACGAACAACAGACCGCTGCGGAACGTGAGGTAGATACCGCTGTTTTCCGCCAGCAATATATCCCCCAGACATTGGAGCAGGTCTATGACTTCGAGCGGGATGCCGCCAAAGTCCATGCGGGTGAGGGTTCGGACCTGGTATACCGGGACCTTCTCGCAGACGAAAAGGCCGCCGCATCCGCTGCCGACAAATATGACAGCGAGGCCGAATCTGACGCTAGCGGTGGCATTTCTGTTGATGGCTCCGACTCCGATGACGATGGCGAGAAGGATCCGTTTGACAAGAAGGCTCCGCGGGGGCGACGCTTCGAAGATAAGGATGAAAAGCGCGATCACAAACAAAGGGTCAAGGAAGAGAAACGCGAGAAGCGAGCCAACAAAATGCCGAAGCATATGAAGAAGCGCCTTGTTTCCGGTTCCTCGAGGAAGAAGAAATAGATGTGGACTGCAATCTCGTTACAATATGGCAGGAAAATATGGAAGGATGGGGATTGGGTTTTTTTTTTTTTTTTTTTTTTTATGGGCAATGAGGGTTTCAAAAAGTTTTGGCTGCATATGATCTTATGAGATTCACGATTGGAATTATTTGACGGCAAGAAATGGTTGGGTGCATGACTTGGCATAGATATATATAGAGACAACCGAATGGACTCACCCCAGTTTTACAGCAAGTTTGACCATCCCATCTACTAGTACTAGTGCCGATGTAAAATGAAAAACCAGGGAAAATAGTTCAATCGAAACCATTTCAATGTTAAAATGTGAGGTGAATAGAAAAACCATTTGTTTAAAGGGTTGTTCTTATTTCTAGACATCAGTCCTCAAAGTTCAACCAGCAAAATCTAAGTCAATAGAACATGAGCTGAGTAATATGATTGTCTCGTGTGAAGTGAAACTTGTCTATGTAGATGGCTTTTGGATTGAATCTACTGAGTATTAAGTACCAACAAAATGGCCTATCAGAGCTCTCTTTGATCCTCATCCCAGACATCTTTAGCGAAGCAAGACACTTTACATTTGCAGATCTGACAGCGCGTACATCTCCGGTAAAGAGTATGCGTCTGGCACACGTGCAAAGTAGGCGGTTGCGAGCTAAGAGGTGGCCTGGACGTCGGTTTAGGATTCTTCCTTGTTTCAAGTTCATCATCTAGGCCGCAGAACATGGCAGTCGAGGTGCGATGGCCCAGCATCACATAAGCAGTCTGCATTGCATTTAAAAAGCACTGAAATGACAACTAGGTTCAACCGGAGCTTCCAGTGCTTCAAGAGAAGCGGAAATGATATATATCAGTAGTGAAGATTGCAAAATCGCCGTGACCAAGCGTAAGGTTGCTGTCAGGAGGCGAGTCGCATTTTGGCTCTCACTCGAGCTAAGGCTTGCTCGACGATGTGCTTGGGCAAATCAGGGATAGTTTCCCCGTCGCCAGCGGCTTGACTTGCCGGCACCGTCGGTTTTACCTCCTCGGTTTCAGGCGCCGGCAGTTCTTGCTGGTCATCCGCCTGTGCAGCGATACCCTTCAGGTCACCTCCGGATATGCGCTGGAATTCGATGCGCATCGGCTCACGGCCGATGCCCGGCCATATGTCAGATGGAAGATAGTCGCCCTGGTCCACACGGAATGTCTCGCGGGCATTGACATCTTCTTCGTAAAGTTGGTCTAACTTGTGCCTGCAATCGCGCAGGACTTTCTCGACACGCTGTCGCACATGTCTTCGGCGAGACACCTCGAGGATGAGACCGTCATAGGCATCGAGGAAGCCATCGTACAGCGAGTTGAGGTCAGAGAGCTCTACTAAACCGACTTCGATACGTTCGTGCTCCTCGCTCCATACGCGGGTAAAATTATGCGCCTGTGCAATGTACCCGGGCAACCGCGCAGAGGCGAGCGAGGAGATGTGGGTAAACACGCTGGTGGTGGCATTGTAGATGGAAAGGAGGGTGTCGCGCTGGGCTGTTACGTGGTCCAGGTCAGACTCCATCTCCGTGATGCGATATTGGATCTCCATCACGACATCCTCCGCCTCGGCTGCGTCTTTGATCAGGACATTCACCATTTCCTGGTACTCAGAGTCGCTGAGAGGATCGAGAGGGGCATTCAGGTTGGCGTTGATGCCTTCCTCGAAATTAGGCCCTCCACGCCCACTGACGTGCATGCCGGCGGGCATATCGCCGGTGATGGAACGCGCGGCGGCGCCTCCGCCTTCGGTGTGCTTGACCGCGGTCACGCAGAGATCAAAGTGTCGGACCAGAGACTCCAACAAATTAGCCATTTCCTGCGCGTGCATCTCCAGGGAATGCAGCATGGATGGCATGGAGGACAGGGAGGGCAAACTGGAATTGGATGCTGACGAGGACGAGGAAGCGGAGGATCTAGATGATGCAAGTTTGGTTGCAGCACGATAGTTTCCGAGCGCTTCCTTGATGGAACCGAGCTCCTCGTCGAACGAGGCGTTGGAAGAATCCAAGTCCCCTTGCGCAGCACTGGTCCGATCGATCGAGTGTTTTAGAGCGGCATGGAGCTCCTCGACGCCTCGTTCCTCTACAAAGTCATGCAGGCTCTTGGGCTCTTCATCCCCGGGGCGAAAGGAGGCATGGACAATCGTGTCTCGCAACAAATTTAAGGTCTTTCGGAGTCGCGCGTCGGCGGCATCGAGACTCTTCAGCACTCCGGCAAATTCCGAGCGACCCCGAAGAGACACATCCTCGACCTCGGTGCGGACATTGTAGAGCAGGCGCAGCTGGTTGTTCAGGCCGCGACGCAGGAAACCGGTGCGAGCAGACACCACGACGCTCTCCTCCAGCGTGGCGCGAGCAGCCGTGACGATCTCGTTGGCACGCCATACATGATTGATTGACGACAGCGACCGTTTGGCCGCGACCAGATGATTGATGAGTGTCGCCAGTTGAGGCATCGACGCGTCCCGGTCATCGGAGGGGTCTGGACCAGGGGCAGAAGGAGCGCCGCCCGAGCCGGAGGACGATTCGGACAGCGACATGGCGGACGACAATTTGGGAGCTTTCCTTCTCACAAATGAGGTTGCATCCGAGCGTAGCCGGGCGATTGATCCAAGGCGATTGCTGTCTCAGAGGGATCTAAGCGCCCAATGATGACCGACGGGGCCTCCGGACGAGATTTTGTGCAGAGCCACCAGGAGTATGCGGAATGGGACCGGATTGTCGTGCGAGGTGCGTAAGATGAGTTCAGAATCACCCCATAAGAGGCGAGGATCGAGAAGGTGGTGCCGAAATAACCAGTTCCAACGGGTCTCAACCGTCGGATCGACGGTCCTCAGGCAGCGGGGAGAATCTAGCGGTGAGTTTCGACGCGTGAGCCGAGGGGAACAGGCCTTTCCGGGATTGGGTTAAGGGCTGTGGTGATTATTCTCTTCAGTCATGCCCTCCGTTTCATCCTGACGAGGGTCACAGCCGGCGCAGCAATGGACTACACTCACGAGGGCCGATGGAATTGCGGAAGGGAAGGGAAATGCGCTGCGGGCAACGATCTAGAGCTTAGCAGTCCTCTTTCGTCATCGCGTGGGAGAATGATGACAAAGGAAAGGGGTCTGATTTACCGATGACTCCTTTTCCAGAATGCCAATGCCAGACCAGGGGGGAGAGAGATAGGTCAAACACGAGTGTCTTAGTGTCTTGGAGGGAATCAAGACAAGGAAACGGTAGAGCGAGAGAGAGAGAGATGGATGGCGTAACCGTCGGGCGGTGTTGGCGGCAGGCGGTGAGGGATGGACTAGCGATGGATTACTGGAACAGTCTTATTCTTACGAGGATCTTTAGCTATCAGGGTTACATTTAATATCAAGATAAGGTAGACTCATGTTGGTTTTGTCCCTTATTTTAGACTCCGTATGCAGGATCCAGAGAGCTCATCTTTCCAGCACAGTCTAGAATCCAAGTACTAACTATACCATACTGCGTATACTATGACGGATGGCGTGCGACCTCAGGCCGCCAGGCTCTCAGGCCCCCAGGCTGATGCGACGCCGGGCGGCTATGGCGCCATCGGCCCACGTGACCCCAGCCCGGCGCTTGCGTGATTGCGCTGAGTCCCCCGGAGGCGATTCCCTGCGCGATTCTAGATGGATTGCATAATTCCGGGGTGCCAATTTCTCGCTGGCGACTTTTTTTCTCCCTCATATATTATCCGCTACTTTCCCCCCGGTGGTTGCTGGCTGGTCCCATCCCATCTTGCGACTACTGCACGTCTCCCGCGCGGTCCTCAACTCTCTTTCTTCCTCCCCTCCTCCCTCCGTCGCTCTCTCGCCACTCCGCTTCTCCCCTCGCCTCCCCAGCCCGACCAACGACAATCTGCAGAAATTCGACCGTCGCCGGTTTCTCCATCATACTACACACTGCGGCCATCCCGGTGATTGCTCCGTCTTGCTCCAAAAGTCTGGGTTCGAGTGGCATGTGGACGGTGGGCACCTGAGTCCCGCGGATATGCGACTTGACAGCGAGACAGGACCGGCGCAGAACGAGCACGTCGCACGGCCGACGACCCCCAACCGAGATTCTGCGCGGGACAAGGCGCAGATGGTCATCCGTCAGACCTCATTCCAGTCCATCTTCGGCGGCGGATCTGAGAGCGCGGACGAGTGTGAAGCGGACGCCGACTCTACCCAGCATGGGCCCCACACCTACGCCGGTGCAACGTCGACTCCCGCAAAGCTTGCGGACGAAAATGTCGCCCCGTTTCTGGCGCGACACATCCCCGAACAATACGCCCCTTTAGGCTCGCGAATCGTCCAACCCGTCGAGATCAGCAGCGCCAACTCCAAGTACTGCTATCGCCACCGACCCGATCTCAAGTGCCGACGCCAAGCGGACGAACCCTCAATGGATAAGTTGCAGCGAGTGAGTCTGCCCGTCTACATTCACCTGCCCATCCGTGCGCGCTGACACAGAACCAGGAGCTCGAAACCCTCCCCCAGAGCGACCAGCAGGGCATCGCCCATGTCTGGTCGCTGTTCTCGGCCGCGCCGGCCAAGCACCGAAAACTGATTTTGCAGGGCATCATGTCTCAATGCTGCTTCCCCCAACTGTCCTTCGTATCCGCCACCGTGCGGGATCTGATTCGAATTGACTTTCTCACCGCTCTCCCCCCCGAAGTCTCTTTCAAGATCCTGTGCTACCTCGACACCACCTCGCTCTGCAAAGCCGCCCAGGTGTCGCGACGCTGGCGGGCTCTCGCCGATGACGACGTGGTCTGGCATCGCATGTGCGAGCAGCACATCCACCGCAAATGCAAGAAGTGTGGCTGGGGTCTCCCCCTGCTGGACCGCAAGCGTTTGCGGGAATCTAAGCGTGAGATCGAATTACGTGCGACCACCTGGGATATCAACAGCCGCTCTGCGAGCCTGGCTCCCTCCGAGGATGCCAGCAGCCAGTGCACCGTCACCGAGGAGTCGGGCTCGACCAAGCGAAAAATCGAGTCGAGCGACGACGAAGACGACACGGCGGCCAAGCGGCAATGTTCGTCGCTGGTGACCCGATCCGGCAACGACGAGGACTACTTCAAGACCCGATACCGACCGTGGAAGGAGGTGTACAAGGATCGGTTCAAGGTGGGCACGAACTGGAAGTACGGACGATGCTCGATCAGAACCTTCAAAGGCCACACCAACGGCGTCATGTGCTTGCAGTTCGAGGACAATATCCTGGCGACCGGATCCTACGACGCTACCATCAAAATCTGGGATACCGAGACTGGGGAGGAGCTGCGCACGCTGTACGGCCACGAATCCGGGATCCGGTGTCTGCAGTTCGACGATACGAAATTGATCAGCGGCAGTATGGACCGCAGTTTGAAGATCTGGAACTGGCGCACCGGCGAATGTATCTCGACCTATACCGGCCACCGCGGCGGTGTCATTGGCCTGCACTTTGATTCTACAATTCTCGCGTCTGCCTCCGTCGACAAGACGGTGAAAATCTGGAACTTCGAAGACAAGTCCACGTGCCTGTTGCGTGGACACACCGATTGGGTCAATGCCGTCCGAGTCGACACTACCTCGCGGACTGTGTTCTCGGCCTCGGACGACTGCACCGTGCGACTGTGGGACCTGGACACCAAAACGTGTATTAGAACCTTCCACGGCCACGTGGGCCAAGTCCAGCAGGTGGTCCCGCTCCCCCGAGAGTTCGAATTTGAGGATCACGACGCCGAATGCGAGAACGACAATCTCAGCACCGTGTCGGGCGATACCGAGCCTGCGTCCCTCCAGGCTACTCTGGGCCTGGAGTCGAACACCAACAACTTCCAGTCCTCTCCCTTCGGGCCTTCGTTTGACAACGGACGTCCCACGCCGCCTCGCTACATGGTCACCAGTGCCCTGGATTCCACCATCCGGCTGTGGGAGACCACCACGGGCCGCTGCCTGCGCACCTTCTTTGGCCACCTGGAGGGCGTGTGGGCCCTGGGTGCCGACACTCTCCGCATCGTCTCCGGGGCCGAGGACCGCATGGTGAAGATCTGGGACCCGAGAACGGGCAAATGCGAGCGCACATTTACTGGCCATTCCGGACCCGTTACCTGCATCGGCCTGGGTGATAGCCGTTTCGCGACCGGAAGCGAGGACTGCGAAGTCCGTATGTACAGTTTCCAAAGCTAATGTTTGTTTTCTTTCTTGTTCGTTTTTAATTTTCATGATTACGCGTGACCGGTCTCCCGCGGAGATCGTCGCGCTCTTTTCTTGTTTCTTTTATACCCCGATGGACACGAAAATCCTAACTGGCGCCGTCAAGTTTTTCCTTGTTTTGCGGAAAAGGGGTATCATTCGAGGATTTGTTTAGGGTTTATTTCAAGCGTCTCGGGTTCGGATTGGGAACAGGGTTCGGCGTCAAGGATTGAAATTATTCGTATCTACCTACATAACCATATACGCTTCAACGCAGTATCTAATAGATGATTTGGACTTCCACGTTTTCAATCGCATCTGCCCGAAAGGGCATCTAGTCAAAGTAGCCTTATGCCGGGCTTTTCCTTGCTAACACTTCGGGCTTTCTAAGAGGTGATTCGGCTTGGCCGGTATTGACTGGATAAGGGGTCGGGCCGTATAAAGACCGGCCAACAGATGGTTTTTGGGCATGTCCAGAGGGCGAACACTCAGTAGATCACCCGTGTTAAGGCATGCCAGCCTATACTAATGTCGATTTCAATTGAAGAATTGTCATTGAAGCCGAGGGCTAGATTCCTAAGTCATAGAGACAGCCCTAGTGATCAAAGAGAGCAAAGTCCTGCCAACCAACGCCCAGCGTTCTCGATCTCCACGTCTCTAGAAGGGGAGAAAGAGTGGAAGGAAAATGAAACTAATTGGAACCCATATTAAAACACCGTGGAATCTAGCGAACGACGATCTTATCAACCTCGTCTTTGGCCTCCGTCCATGTCTCGAGATTTTTCCGGGCCCAGTCAAGGTGGCAGCGCGCGTAGGAAACCTAGAGAAGCTGGTCAGTCTTATCCTAGAACAGGGACGGTTGAACTAAAGCCATATAAAACGTACCATGTATCGTCGTAGATCGGTCTCCTTGTCCTTCTGAAACCGCTTCAAGTCCTGCAAGACCCCCGTGCTGGCGTCTTTGACGTCGTTCTCGGACACTTTCAAGGCTTCCTCCAACTGCGAATCGATTTAAGTTAGCATGGGTTGGAGGGATTGAGGTTGCAAGGGAAGGGCCAAATACCTGAATTAAACTCTCCCTAGTTTTCCCGATCTGATCGCGTCGGGTTCGCTCCGGGTCCACATCCACAAAGCCATGGACGGCATGGCTGATGCGACCAAACAGCTTGTTGCTCATGAAGGTTCCGCTGGCGGTTTTGCGGTGGGCTGGTGAGGGCTGTCCCACTTCGGGCCTCCGCGGCGGGGATGCCGGGGAAACGGCCTGGTGAGATCCGATCGACTCGCCGTGAGTTGGAGGGAAGTCCGAATCAATGGAAGCAGTATCCTCCGGTCCGGGGGGTTGTGCCTCACCCTCATGGGTGCCGGGAGCACTGGTGGCTGACGAGGTAGACAAGGATCGCTGAGGTTTGGTTCCTGCGCCGTGGGGAGATGAGCGATTGAGATATTGCTCGATGCGCTTGGCCTCCATCTCACTTCGCTCCAAGGAGTCCAGGAGGGTCCTCTTTTTCGCCAGCTCGTCTCGTGTCATCTCCTCCTGTACCCGCTTGAGAACGCGGTATCGCAAAACGCTCCGGACGACGCTGGCAAACTGGGCACTTTCTCTCATGGGCTCCGCGAAGTTGGCGCCCAACGAAGAGGACAGCTCCTCGGTTTCGATGTAAGACGTGTCCGCCGCCTGGCCGACTCGCTCGATGGCCGCGGCGACAGTGGGCGACTGTTCCGACAACGAGAATCCATTGTACCGTGCCCCCAGCTCCATGAGATCCGCCGATAGAGAAGAGAGATGCGCCAAAGTCCGTCGGTTCACCTTCTCAATGTTGCCTTGAAGAAGCAACTCCAGTTCCCGGGTGGAGGCTTCGAAGTTCACAAAATAGGGGTCAAGGTCCTTTTCGCTCAACTTGCGCGATTCGGGTGGGAAGCGACCCAGAACATCGGGACCGGGTCCTTCGGTGGTAGGAGACGTGCCCGCCGACGCTGGACCAGATGCGTTCTTGAGTTTCGAGGAAGTAGAGGGAATGGGCAGCCAAGCGTGTGCGGCCGTCGGGTTTGCAGGATCGAGTGGCGGGGCCTTGAGATTATTCTTTGGCACCGAGGATGCCGGATGGGAATGAAGAACCTCGTTCTGCGGCAGATAGTTAGCACAGAGTTGCATAGGGGAGACCACACGCAGGCCCCCGTAGCTGACGTTGCACATACCCAGCTCACGTTAGGATCCAGAAACCTCCACCACACCCCATCCTCGCGAATCTCCTTCATTGTCCGACATCGATTCAAAAAGACGGCCAGCATTCGCTTCCGGAGTTCAATGATGGCCGTGTCTTCTTTGGCTTTGGTGGGCTTTGCGGCATAGTCGGCCATCGTGTGCTTCTCGGGGATGGGCGGAACGACGAGGGTGGGATGGAGATTCACCAAGGTCTGGCGCAGCGAAGCGAATTCCGAGTACCGGCGGCGCACTTCCAAATCCTGGAATCCATCGGTTAGTGTGGATGCCTCAAGCCGCGGGGAGTAGATGACTGGCATACCCCGGTCCGTATGGTGTACACGATGTAGCCCCCGCCGCTCTCGTGGTTCTTCCCGGCGTCGGTGATGAGGATGGGCATGTCCTGATTCTCATACAAGATCTGCTCTATGCGGCTATCGTACACGCTCTTGCGGAGGTAACCCTGACCCGGCTGCTGGGTTCCGTAGGCATCGTCATTATCGTCGTCATCGCTGAAATCACGTTGTCGCTCCAAGTAATCGGGCGGGTCCTGGGTGGACGCTCGGCTAGAAGGCGACGGAGGGGTGTACTCGCGGTCATAGAGAGCTGCGGAGGTCAGACGGTGAGCCAGCCGAAAGCGACTCGGACAATGCAATGGATTGGAATCTTACGGGAGGCAAGAGTTGCCGAGTGGAGGGATTCGGAGAGATGCGCCTGCTCTTCGAATGCGCCGTAGGGGTTGTTATCCTCGTCGTTCCACATGGTGGGCCGAGAAGCTGGACCAGGCAGCCTGCAATTCCAGGAACCGCGGGAAACCCAATGGAGTCGGAACGAGAGGGGGGAGCAGCGAGGGGACAGAAGGGCGACTGGAATTCTAGAAAGCAGCGCGGAGTGGGAAGGGGTGAGACGAGATGCACATCAATGGAGACGACAAGGCAGCCGAGTCGAAAGAGGCTGGGGAACAATAAGCAAAGGAAGGGAAGGGAAAGGAACGGCGGAGATCCGCGGGGGGGAAAGAGACGTCACTGACTGCGGCTGCCGGCAGCGACCACTTGCGCATTCGCTTTTGCCGCGGTCAACTGGTAGTTCACTATCTCTATACTCCCGTATTCTACACGCAAGAGTCCACCCTCCGTGCTCACCACGCGCTCTCCGGCTTCCTCTCCGGGTGATCATTGTCCTGCTGCTCCTGCTGGGTCAGGCCCGGTCCGCTGCTCACATTAGATCCCCATTCGCCTTGCCCCGAGCTGCTGTTCCCATCGGCCGTCCATCCCGACGCTGAACCCGCCGCCTGCTCGCCTTCGCTGTTCCAATTGGTACTCTCGTTCTCGCTGGTTGGTCCTGCCGATCCTGGCGCCGAAGGATCGGCTGTGGACGTAGCATCTACTCCTCCCCATTCGTCATCGTTCGTGGCAGCAGTAGTCGCCGTCATGGTAGACGTCGTAGACTGATTGACCTCAGATTGCTGCTCGGCGGGTTCAGGGTTACCCCATCCTTGTGAGCTGATGTCTGGATCTGGATTGGAGTTGTCGTTCTGGTTGTATGTGTTGGTATTCTCTTGCGTGTCCTGCTGATTGTCCGAAGACCAGCTCAGTTGCTGTGATCGTTGCTTCGGTTTCTGCGCTTGCTTCTTCCCAGTGCCGGCCTTGGCCCCTTGGTTCTTGTTCTTCTTGGCCTTTGGAGGCCGGGAGGTAGGAGGCGATCGCCCCGGAGATCGTTCTTCTTCTCTCACTCGTCGTGGCTGCGTTGCTCGACGCTCCAGTCTTCGTATTCTCACGGTGGAATCGGCTTCGAACAATCGTTCTCGGACCTCGGAGCGCCAGCGGAGGGAGTAGAGCCATCCGCAGGCGCAGCCGAAGAGAGCGACGAGAACGACGATCGCAATGACGACGTTGTTGTTCATTTGAGGCAGGTGGATGAGATCTATTAAGCGGATGAGTGAACTGATGAGCGTGGCTTTCTGGATGAACGGATTGCCTGGAGGGAAGGGGACCTTTTGTTTCTGTGACTCTGCGATTCTGGGAGTGTTGCTGCTCTGGGCTGGGTGAAAGATGCGTACAGGATGATCAAGAAGTGTAGGGATCCAAGGAGTGAGCTGGGGTAACGAGGTGAAGTGAATGGGGGGCAATGGCAGTGTGTAGATGGGGTTGCGGTGCCCTCCAGCTGAGAGCTGCACAAATATCGTGGACCGAAATGACCGGACAGGAGCCCAGAGGAAAGGAAATCTTTGTCTATAACTTTTATCTAAACCAAATCATAAGATATCATGAAGCATCCACTGCACGCCGAATCCTAGAGAGCCAGTCAACATGCAACGATACCGCCTTCCCATGCATGTAGAGCAGCTGTAGCTTCTCCTTCAACGTTGGTCCTTCACCCCCAAGGCTCCTGGAAGCAGGGAACCCGGGCGACGCCATCACGGCCGCGAGATTAATGAGACGGACACCCAAGGTAAAGGTTTCGGGTTTGCTGGTCCAGCCTATAAATCCGTCCTTGCCCGACCCAGCACCGTCTACTGCCAGCTCGATGAGATACGAAAGTCCGTCGGAAACCCATTGAGAGACAGACACAGTCAAGCGGTCGTCATATGAGCCCTTCGTCAGTCTAAGCAGTTGTCCGGACCATCTTTCGACTTCGCGAACCTCGTCGACGAACAGGTTTTGTTTCTCTTCCTCGAAAAGGGTGGTGCTTTCTTGCCTGTGCTCGGAAATCAGGTCGGACACTGAAGACAGGCGCTTCCTTTGGGTTGATCCTCCAATTCGAGTTTCTTGACCTGTAATGTACCGGATCACACGGGCGCAGAGCGTGGGTGACCCCGAGTAGTTGTCAACGATGAATTCGGAAAGAAGATGACTGGCATTGAAGGGCGACAGCGTCACGGCCTTGGAGGACGTGACGGAAGAATATGAGAGCACCCATGAGGCGGTCAAGGCGGCGAGATCACGCAACTCCTCGTCATCGTCATTCAGCATGTCATATAGGATCAAATACGGCTCCAGGAAAAAGCCCTCGGCAACGGGGGCCTTGCCCGGGGAACGGAGCACACGCCCGAATGCGGTGATGGAGGCAACTGCCGCGTGGCGAGTTGTGAATTCCTTTCGCGCCGTTAGCCAAATGATTGCAGGGAATCAACATAGAAGACAACTTGGACTCACTGTTTCCTCCTGCATCGCAAATCGAAGCTTGATCGTCCACCTAGAAACATCTTCCTGCAAGCTCCCACTTTGATTGGAGATGACTTTGGCGGCCAAGAGACATCCCTGAAGACGCAATTCCGCATCGGATCGATCACGGTTCCAGATGGGTGCGTCTGAACCAAGGTTTATTTGCCTGTCCAGAGCATCCCATGGAAGTTCGATCCCGTGGAAGTTGTCGCGGCTGAAATCAAGCACAGTCTCTAGGGACGATGCCAGACTGGCAATGGCCGATGACTTGACATCGCCGGGATAATCTCCCAATATGACGACCGAATAAAGGCGAAGAAGAGTATTTCTCTTTCCGGTGTTTTCACCAAATGTCTCCTGCACCTGTTCAAGTAGCCAAGCACCAGCGTTGGCATCAAAGCAAGAAACCTTCAGGATGAATGTCTCCAGTTCGTTGGACTCATCCGTACCGAGCCTCCGCAAAACCGCAGCCCATGACAGTGCTCTTCTTAGGAGAGAAGCTGCACGCGTCGTACTCAATGATTTCCACGAAGGATGGGTGGAGTCAAATATAAAGTCCAGGATATCATCGAACGAGTGTGCGTCGAAGATATCGTTCAGAGTAGCAAAGAGAATTGCTAAAATGAAGTCTTAGCCAGGGGTTCGGTATTAAACGAAGAATTCCTTACTTTCGGAGCCGGAGTCAAGACTTTTCACCACGGTCTCGGTCAGGACCTCCACCAGAGTAGTGGCAACAAAGGGCGATTCGGCAAGAGTGAATACCATCGCAAAAAAGTGTTTGATAAACGACGACAGCTCATCAGCGTGTTCTATAATCGCGTCAGCAAAGGGGTTTTGGCTTCAGCACAGGCAGACATACCGTTCCAGAGGGAGTTGGAGACAAGCGCGAATCTACGTAGCGCATACTTCACACAAAGCGCCTTTCCATGAAGCAAGTCTTGTGCTTTAGACTGTGCGTCATCGTCAATCAGCGATCTAACTTCCTTGATGATATCAGAGCGATTCAATATCGATGCATATACTCGGGCTGCATGCTCCCTGATACCCCAAACGGGGCTGCTGAGTTGTGTCTTGACCAGTCCGAGAATCATCCGGTCATCGACGTCGTAGACATTAGGAACCTTTTCAGCAATGAGCTCCAATGCCGGGAACACACGTTCCGTAACAATGGAATGGTCATCCTGTGCCGCAATATTCCGCGTGTCTTCCTCAGTAAGGAGAGTCGACAACAGCTGGATCAAGCCCGGGTATTTTTGGAAGGAAACTCGAGCTCCGGGCTCTGATCCGGATTTACCACCGAATCCTAGGCCAGTTCCGGTGCGACAAATACGCGTTAGTAGAGCCCGGAAGAGCATCAATCCACAATTACGGAGTGCCCATCTGTGTTAAAGTCAGCCTTACGCTTCACGCGCGCATGCTGCTTCTCTAATACTTACATAGGAGACCCAATTCGTTCGGCGGACAAGGTCAACGCAGGCATGATAAAGGCTTCCGTGAAAGCCCCAAACTTGGTGTTTGTGAAGATGTCTTTCAGGCAGTTCATAGCATGAACTTGAGGTAATTCCAGGTCTTGCTTGTCACTATGGGCGGCTGGTAAATGTGAGATCTCGTGAAGGTCATCGACAACCTTTCGAAACAGTGGTCCTCCCGGCTTTGCTGACACGATACCGGTGATCAAAGCAGGTAGACCGGCCGACCGACGTGTCAGTTTAGAGGCTGCTTCAAATATAATCTTTCTGGCATCCTATTCTCGGAATATTAGTTCCTGCCATGGCAGTTCAACATGAATTGGAACCACCCACCTGGTACCATCGAGTCGGAAGGTCTGCAACTTCTGGATCGCTGGACTGGCCGCACCGCAAGCAGCAAGTGGCGAAAGTTTGAGAGACAGTCGAAAATGCTCCTCTATGACGAAGTTCAGCAAGCTGAGTAAAGCTGGTTGTTCCGATCTTCTGGTAGTCATCGTAAGTCAACCCCGACGACCCTTGCGGGCCATATGTAGAATTGACAAGCGTCGCGTGAAGAAGGAGACTGCCCGTGTCAGTACAGCGTGGTTAAAAGATAACACATTAAAAGAGGAAGATATGTACCTTGACTCGCGCAGAGCACGCCAGGAGTAGGACAAAATATCCTTCGGTCCGACAGAGAGCCCTTCGGCGGGCTCGTCACTATGGCCTTCGGGGGAATCGATGCACAGCACAGGTTTCACTTCATTCCAGATTTTGTCGCAAATAGACACAATCCTCGCGTGTGTAGACCTCCAGTTCTCGTAGTTTGGCGATTCAGGGCCCGATATGAGGGCATGGAAGTCTGTGGTTGAAACGATATACCTTAGAGCAGAAACGTGTCCGTGCAATGGTGCATCGCGCAGGTGATATTTGACAATCGCCCCGGATAGAGAGAGTTTCGCTTCCAGTCTCTTCAGAATAGCATCGACCACGCCGATCTTTGTTTCCCACCACTGCGAGGCATCTATAGAAGAAGACTGCGCCGCACAGAACAGGATGTGATACAAACGAGCAACGGTGTCCGCATAATCCGCACGACTGGTCCGGCTTGCCATTTGCTCTGCCGTGTCCAGCGCACCTAGCAGCTGAGCCTGGTCTGAAGCGTTACTAGCCAATTGTACGCCATCGCCGAGCAAGAGATCGCGCGGAAACAAGTTAACAATCGAGAGAGACCTGGCTCGGACTTCCTCAAATGGGTCCAGAAGCAGATCAACCAACAATCGTAAGAGATTGGGCTCGAAGACCTCGGTATTGAATCTCCATTTGGTGAGATTCCCTTCGCTTTTGCTAACGATGCTACCTTCAAAACGGGCATCCAGTCCAGACTCCAAAAGGAGAATCAACGTTTTCAAAGACGTGATATGACGCTGATAGGATGCTGTGGGCTGAAGGTCTGCCTTTAGAAACTCCAGGTACTCCGTCAAACAAGCTCGGGTTTCTGGATCGTCACGCGCATAGTTGGGAGGCTGTTTCTTGTTTGCGGAAGCCATCACCTCGGCCCAGTTTTGCTCACTACTCATGATGCCACCTTTGAGGCGTGGAATCAATTTACGGATAATACTCAGTATCTCCCCGCGAGAATAGGCGTCCGATTCGGCGTGTAAGGAAGGGAGGCCCTTGAGGATGGCTCTCATGGTGGCCGACGTAAAGGGTTTGGTAGTGGCGTTCGCCGTGATCAGAAGTGACAGGGCAGCTATTCTGATGCTGAAATCTCGGTGGAAGAGAAACTGTCCGATCACTTCGCTCTTCAGAATGATGCCTTCATCTGCTGCTCCGCCTTTGGCAGTGGGACCCTTGGGGGAGGTATCTAAAACATGGTAAGAGGCGACGCTTCCAATAATATACAGAGCATATGCACTTACGATCTTCATGTACCAACCCAATCTTCTTCGCCATTTGCAACGACGCAAAGAGAAGAGAGAGTTCGTCGACCGGGGCATCATGCATGTCTCCCGTTAAGAGGTTCTCAAAAGGCAATTGGTTTAGAAAGCCTCGGAAGCCAATCGGGTCGATACTGAATAAGGGATGGAGAAAATAGGAAGACATGGGTTCCAGGAGATGCATGTTCTGCAGAATAACGTGTCTAACCGGGGCCACCCAGACTGACAACAACCCTTGCACATGCTCGCGGGAGTGACTAGTCGGGGGCAAGGCTTTCACTTTCTGGAAGAAAGCTGTCATGGTATCACCCGGGCCTGCAGCCAGCTCGAAGCTTCTAGCCTGGGCCACCAAGGCCAGCACAAACACTTCTGCGGCTGGTCGTTGCGACTCAAGGGTAGCAGGCCCATCATCGGAGGTCTTCTCGAGAAATTGGGTTACGTCTATCGCGAGAGCTTTACAATCCTCTTGGAACAGAGGGATCCATCGACCGGCATTTTCCCGCAGCCAGCTTCGAACCATCGTGGTGAGCTCGACTGGCGGGAGCGCATTCTTGCGGACCAAGATCTCCAGCGTAACGAGACACGCCTTGAGCTGCGAACGACGTTCGTTCAACACGATGCTGGGCAGCGTCGCATCGATGATCTGCGACTTGATGAATTGCCGGTCATGTTCGGCGAGATGCTTGGTTAGTAGAGCTACCAAGGATTCCAGCAGCTGCTTCATCGGCTTGGGCTTTCCGTCCTTGAAGCGAACCAAGAAGACCTCGAACACCGACATCCATGTCTCGCGCGAGAGAACCAACTGCCTGGTAGCCTCGCATTTGGAGATCCGCGCCGCATCGAGGAATGCGCTCACGGTGTTGCAAGACACCGAGGTATGGCCATGCGAGATCGACGCCGTCGCAAAGGTCTTCAGCAGACTCTGCCATACACGGCTCACTTGTCTATTGCCAGAGAATTAGGACTCCACGTTCGGCGACACATTTCCTCTCTCCCCTCCACACAGAGCCACACGACACTTACTGGATATCCTCACAGGACTGCATGAATCGACCCAGCGGTCCCTTGCTGATCTCCAGCATGGTTTTCTCGGGAACGACCTGGATGCATTGCGCTATGGCGTCCATCTGGAGCGACCCCGCGTCGCCGGGGGCGCCGGACATTGCTTCACTGGCCATCTCCTTACCCATGCGACATGCCCGTAGCCAGTATAGAAAGACTCCAGCGGCACTGCAATCCCCGCGATCGCAATTTGCCTCTTGTGGATTTTCCCGGCGGGGCGCCCAAAGCGGCCTAGCGCCGGGCAAACGCTGTTCCGCCATCCGCCGAGCCGCCCGTGACTCGCCGGTCACGGGGCTGAAGTTTTTGTTCGTCGACTTTCCTTCGACATCTGAACTGACCGAACTGACCCTGCGCCGGCTGGCAGACTCGACCCTCTCGTCCCTCCTTGTCTCTGCTTCTTGACTGTATTCTTTTAATTTAATCCTTTTCTTTCCTCTTTTTCTTCTTCTCCCCTTCCGTCATAATGTCCATCTGGGATTCGTTCAGCGGCCGCAAGCAGCCCAAGGGCCCCGAATTCGACGCTTCGTCCGCCCCCGATGCCAGCTCCTTCTTCTCAGATGTCGCCATTCCCGACCCGACGCAGTTGCATCCTCTGTCCGGCCTGAACCAGGACACGCTCGACTACATCACCCTCGAAGATTCCGCCCTCGACGAGCTCCCCGGCTCGCGATCAGTCCTACCGTCGCGAGGATGGTCCGATGACCTGTGTTACGGCGCCGGCACCACCTATCTCGCCGCGCTGACCGTGGGAGGAGCCTGGGGGTTGGCGGAAGGATTGAATAAGACCCCCGCGACCGCACCCCCGAAGATTCGACTGAACGGTGTCCTGAACTCGGTCACGCGGCGAGGCCCGTTCCTCGGTAACTCCGCCGGCGTGGTGGCGATGGTATACAATGGCTTCAACTCCGGGATTGGCTATGCCCGCGGCAAGCACGACTCGGCCAACAGCATTATGGCCGGTGCTCTGAGCGGAATGCTCTTCAAGAGCACCCGGGGTCTGAAGCCGATGATGATCTCCGGCGGGATCGTGGCGACGATCGCCGGTGGCTGGGCGGTTTGTGCACCCGGGCTTTTTCTCGTCGCAACGCACAGGGTCGCTAACTGAGGAACAGGTCGTGAGAAAGAGCTTTTTGTAATCGCCAACGAGCCCGAATCCCTCGCGGAACGAACCGAGTTCACCTCCTTATGTCCACCGTCGTTTTCAGCCAAGCGGGAGGGTGTTGTATTATCTACTTTATTTTCCCTTGTTTTCTCTTTCTTTGGTTCACGCTGTATTAGAACGATTCCTTTTTCGTCCCGACTCTCTTCGCTCCGGCGCTCGAAGCATCTTGATTTTTGCACAAATTCCCCATGGGTGGGACCGGCATGGTAATGGGTTTTGATAGCTTTTCCTGTACATATAGCGGTCTCCTGCGGTTTTTAATGAGCTGGGAGCTCTCAATGAAAAACATCAAAGGTGATTCTGGTCCTGGCGGTTGGTTTATACTTCGCGTAGTCTGATCTCGGGCAGGCGGTCGAGAATAAATAAGCGCTCCGCTCCACTGTGCGAACGTGTCGTGGAACGTGAGAATCTCTCCCATGGCGTCCATGTTTACTCCATCTCCTGGCCAGGTATCCCAGTCGAAATCCCGACTTCCGCCAATGGGAGAATGCAGATCAGGCACGGCTCTGCAATCACGTCATCACGCGAAGTGCGTCCTTCCGTCTTCATCCCTTTCCCCTTCTCTCCATCTCTCCTCTGGACACCTTTCCAGTCGCGTCATGTCTCTTGTTCCCTGTTGACGGCGGTAAATGGGTTTCAGAGCACGGACTTAATTAATTATGGACTCCTCGGCTCGCCGTGGTGAGACAACAACCTAAATGATCCCTCTGTCTGGCGGTCTAACGTCTATCAGGAGGCTTGATAGTCATTCCTGCGCAGGGATCAAGACGCTCTGACAGGCCGTAAGAAGTCCCTGGCTCTTCAGGAGTGCTTGGTCTATCGTCAACGACCGTTCCATCTTGTCGCAACGGCAATCCCAAAAACGCCGCGACCGGAGTTGTCGAGATCGTGTCGAGATCAAACAGAGGCATTGAGCATGTCTACACTGTACTTCAGAATACTCCAATCTACTATTTTACACTGAAACCTAGACGACAACACTTCCTGCCAGAATGGCTACCAGAAACACTCAATTCCCGACATTCCAATGTCCCTTCCCACCATCCCGGCCTGGGGCCGGCGATCCCGGAGTAGACATTCGATCCTTTCGCTATCCATACTTCCGGCGCTGGGCCAAAATGGCTCTTCTGCTGGGGTTATTCATTCTGGTTACTCTTGCTGTGCGCCGCTCATTCTTGTCTTCTCGCCCTGGTCCGATCCCGTCGGATCCTGCACCACCGGTGCCGACAGAGGCCTTTGCGCCAGCTCATGGAACCGATCTGCGGATCCATGATCCCAGTATCCTGAAAGTGGGCGATACCTACTATTCGTACGGCGTCGGCAAGTACCTAGCCATCCACCAAGCCTCGAGCCTTGATGGCCCCTGGGAACAAACCGGGACCGTGCTGGGAAAAGACAGCGTCATTCCTAAGGGCGACCGCAATGCCCCATGGGCCCCGACGACCATCGAATTTGACGGAACGTTTTATTGCTACTACTCCGTCAGTTACGCCGGATGCCGCAACAGCGCCATCGGGGTCGCCACCTCCAAATCGCCGGGCCCCGGAGATTGGACCGACCACGGCAGTATCGTGCAATCCGGCAAGGGGCGCGGATCAGCCAAATACCCTTACACTGTGTCCAACGCGATCGATCCCAGTGTTTTGGTTACCGACGACGGTCAAGGTTACTTGACCTGGGGCAGCTATTGGACCGGCCTTTGGCAGGAGCCCTTGTCGAAGGACCTGCTTTCCGTCGTCAGCGGCGAGCAATCCGAGGCGCGCCATCTGGCCCACGAGCCACGCGCCATCTTCCCCGGGCGGAGGAACCCCAAGAATCAACTGTGCGGAGACCCCACGGGCGGCCATCCGGTCGAAGGCGGCTTCATCTCCTATCACGCGCCATACTACTATCTCTGGTTCAGCTGGGGAAAGTGCTGCAAATACAACCCCGAGAATCTGCCGAAGCCGGGAATGGAATATCAGATTCGAGTCGGGCGGTCGGTTTCGCCGCGTGGGCCTTTCGTCGATCGGACGGACCGGGATCTGGTCGACGGTGGAGGCGAGGTCGTGTACGGTTCGAATCGAGAAGTGTACGCTCCCGGGGGCCAGGGGGTCCTGACGGAGGATGGGACGGATATCCTGTATTATCACTACTGTGAGTTGGTTCTCGCCCAGACGAGGTGTCACAAGGGTGCAGCTAACATGTTCAATAGTGAACACGACGATTGGATATGGCTTCTGGGTAAGTCGGTCAATGACTCAGGTACTCCGTGCAGATAAAGTGTTCTAACATCCCATTTAGGAGGCTCGACTTGGTTATAACCCCCTGGAATATGTGGACGGCTGGCCCGTTGCCGCATAGCCGGATGATAAGACGATAGACTTGATGACCCCGATTGCATACATTGTTAGGGTAGAAGTTGTCCGGAAGATGGTCAGCTGAGTATTAATTAGAATGTTTGTAGTATGTTGAATGCGTTGAATCTAGATACAAAGTAACATAAGACAGAATCCCAAACCCAACAACGCCCTATCATTCTAGCAGAACAAAACCCACAGCAAAGAACAAACATGCACTAATCATCAGTCGTAATCAATCAGACATCGATACCAGATTCCGCACCGATATCCTAATCATTCAACACCCCACCCCTGCGAAACGACGTCCTCGCGCGATTCACGCCCGGCCTGAGACCGGCGAAAAGCGACGAGCCCGACGACGACAACGTGCGAAACGTCGCTACCACCGTGTCGGATTTGCGCTTTGGAGGTCGAACCGGCGTCTCCGCCTGCTCTTCCCGATGAGCAGGAACATTGTTGACGCGCTGATTGGACTCCTCCGGACCGACAGCAGACTTCGAGTCAGGTTCTCGCTCGAGTGGTTTCACCTGATCAAACGGATCATCCTGGGACTCGGACCCAGGAAGGGGCGTCAATGGATATTCCGGGTGGGTCGCGAGGGGGGTCGAAGCCTTGGGAGTGGCCGGCGAGGTCGTGATGCTTGGGCCCAGATCTAGAGTGCTGATGTCGCTGTTGTCGCTTTCCGGTCCGTAGCTCCATCCGTCAGCGTTCTCGCTCTCCTTCTTGGCCTCCCGTTCCTCGGGTTTGGAGGCCGCGGAGTAGTCACGAGGAGTGTATGCATCTGTGGGAGTGATGTCCTCGGACTCTTCGTTTCTCTTGAGAGGCTGGATCGTGGACGTCGAGGAGGACGGCGACGACGATCGGACTTCCTCGCGCCGGTCATTGGGGCTGGGTGACTTGAAAATCGAGCCAGAACCCGAGGAGTAGGAGCGAGAAAAGGAAGTGAGAATCCGTGGGAAGACCATATTGAAGTTGAATCCTGCTTGACCCTGAGATATAGAAGATCGAGAGATAGGACTAGTGGGAAATCACCCCTGGCTACCTGCCCTATCGATCTCTTTATACCCCGACCAACACATACCCACGAGGTAAGCAGAGACGACTGGCGTTAGAAGTGCCTGACTATCTCAGATGATTGGCGCAACACGAAGAGCGCAAGGCACGTTGCCTGTGATTCCTGTTTCCATGCTGTCGCGGGGTCTCCGGGATAAGATTGTCAGATCATTATTACACATCATGGACTGGATCTTGTGAGAGCACTGGGCAGTGCTCAGTAAAGTGCTCTGTGTGCAGGGTGGCTTCGCATGTCAGTCAGGGCTGAGCTCCTCGTCTGCGCGCATTACATTGGACGAGACAGAATCAATGTGGCGAGGTGTCCCGGAGACATCAGTTGACGGTTCTTTGTCAAGTTATAGGGCTCATTCGAGAGGGAATCTGATCTGAAGGAGATCGAAGAGGAATCAAACGAGGAATGCGTCATTCGATGGGATCTGGTCAGCCGAGCAAATGACCCGGCGCAGTCATCTGATCGCGCCGATCACGGGCCTGCGAGAAGCTTCAAACTGAGGACTACCTAGGGTGAGAAGATGCCTCTGTAGCATACATTCTACGCAGACAAAGTAAAACGGACTTTTGAGGCCGAAAACAAAACATGCAGTCCTGTCGGACTTTATACAGCGCCTTCTCCGTGCTTCCTTCCCTGCGAATCACAATGTAAATGCATAAATGGCCGGTGTAGGGAACACAAAAAGAAAAGAAAAAGGAAAAGAAACAATAGCAAGAGGAATGCTCCACGTGTCGCGGTCCTCCTCTTTATCCCACGCCCATATATGCACTCGGAATCCAGAGAAACAGATGCTAATCATACGTCAACCGGTATGGTTGCGATTTGATCGGAAATCATCGCCACGCCGGAAACAACCAAAAAACCGCAAAAACAGCATGAACAAAAGAAGAACGAAACATCATTTATGTATGGGTAGTGCATTGATTGCGTCTCCAAAAGATATCACAGAAGACCGGGTTAAAACGGCCCGTTTCTAATCGGACACGATCCGATCTTCATCGTTCACTCGTAGCTCCACCACGGGCAGCTCGTCGTCGTCGTCATCATCATTGTCGGCTTCCAATAGAGGAGGGATATCTTGGAATGCGCTCTCCTCGATCGGGGTCCCCGGATAGGCCGCGCCGGGACCCGGACTGTCGGTCAAGGCGGCCAGTCGAAGGTCCGAATCGCTCATGTCTCCCCCGCCAACGGCCTGGTTGCTGGCGGTATCGTCGTCAAGCAGGTCGTCGTCGTCGTCAAAGGTGGATCCCGGCAGCGCCGTGGTCATCTGTGAAGAAGGGCCGTGAGCTTGGTGGACTCGGTTGAACGACCACGAGGGCGGACTTGGGAAACCGAAGGGGTTGGATAGCTCTCTATCACCGGACTCCTCGTCGTCTTCGATATTCATACCTTCCAGTCGATTGTTCTTGTCATTGCTGCCGAGGCTCTTCTCGCCGCGCGTCGGGTTGTTGGAGTATTCCGGAGGCGACTCGTCACCGCCGCGGTTCTTCCCTTGGGTTCCAACCCGCAAACCACCATCTCCCGACTGGCGACCTGCTCCGGCTCCGGTTGAGGCGCTCGACGACCCATTGAGGGAGGAGCCGCCGAGACGCCGGCCGTCCCCCGACGGTGATTGTGCGCGGGACTCGCTGGCGGAGTCTGACTCACTGGGAGGTCGCGTGGACGACTCCGTGATGTCCTCCAGGATTTTGCCGCCGAGCGGACGATCCGATCGCCGTCGGTAGAAGAGAAGGTAGGCCGACGAGGTCACCACGCTCTGAGGGTCCAGAGGTCGCGACACCGAGGAATCTACTCACATTAGCCATGGGACTGCGCCGTCGAGTTCACTCAGGCATGAAAGGCTTACCGTTATATTCGTTCCACTGGCCCGTCATGAAGTTCTTGGCGTAGGCCGTGTAGTGACCGCCTCCCAATCCACCGTAGTGATTGTCCACCGCAAAGAGGTCGTAGACCAGGCCCTTGCCATCTTCAGGGGATTCCACCCGCCCGGTCATGTCCAAACCCTCCACGGGGAAGTCCACCAGAACGTCCAGCTTGTCCCGGAAACCCCGACTGGCGCTAAAGCGCTTCAAATGCATGACGAGGATGTCCGGCGTCTTCCAGAGCTCGAATTTCTTGCTGGCACGGCGATGTTCCTTGCAGCGAGGACAGTACCACGCATCGTTCTCCGACAGGACTTCCTCCTTGTTGAATTCGTCCAGGCACTCGTCAAGCGTTACACCCCTCTTCTTGCGCATCTGCCGCAACTGGCGTCGTTTGGTCAGCTCGGGATCCGGCAGACGTTCGACGTCGCTCCAGGTTGGGGCTCCGCGAACGGGGTCCCTGTCCTTGACCTTTCCGGTGAAGAGGGCATCGTAGACGTCCTCGTTCCAGTCCAATACGATGGCCTCGCCTGGACGAATCAGAGGTCGCTCCTGAACCTGTTTCTGGGGAGCCTTGGCAGGCGAAGCAGCGTCCGATTCGCTGTCCGAGTCATCCTCCTCTGCCTCGTCTTTGGTAGCCGTTTGGGAGCTACTGGGTACTTCCGGCGTCGACTCAGACTGTGCGATTGCGTTAGCATGTTGTACGTTTCGTCGCAAGTGTGAAATTTCCGGCAATGGGGCACTTACTTCCTCCGCAACGGCGGGCTTTGTCTTGATTCGGAATGACATCCGGGGGTACTCCTTGTTATCCTCCACCGCAGAAAAGCCGATGGGCACGGTCTCGTTGCTTCGGATCAACTTGATTTCAAAAAGATTGCGCAAGCGAGATGGGATGGAGGTATCGGTAGACTCGGCATCCTGGGAGGCGTCCGGAGCATCTCGCATGGAAACGTCCACCATTCCCTCTTCGCCATCGACAGAGGACGTCTTGATTTTAGAATCGGACTCTGCGTCATCCTCATTCATGACGGAGATGTCGGAATCTTCCGGACCGGTCTCGTTCGGGGTGGTCTCCGAGGCCGATTCGTTGAGGATGTCGCGGGTCGTCATCGGAGCAACGTCCAGGAGAAGCTTTTTGTGAATCGCGTCCCAGTTATAGACATCCTCCCGGTTGACGATAATAAACGAAGGGACTCCGAAGAGTGGCCGCTGGGCGCTCTTGGGGTTGTTTCCCTTCGGCCGCTCCACCCGATTGAAGACGGATACGAGCAGACGGTCGGCCTTGGGCGAGTCGAGCTCTGGAATCTCATCACGTTCGGAGCGACTGAACGAGTGGTAGCTCCTTTGGGGCTTGTCCGGGTTGTAGTTCGTGGGCACAGACTCCACTTCATACATGGCGATATCGTCGTTGGCGGTGATGTGAGATTCCGCAATCGAACTCGTGTTATCAAAAAGCTTGTAGAATTTGTTCTTGTAGACCTCGGTCATGACAAGTCGCTGGGCGTCGGAGCCCACCTTCTTGGCGACTAGCTCCTTCAGGGATTTGATGCTGGAGTTCTTGTCGATCTCCACCTCCACCAACAGCGGCTTCGAGTTCAGAGGGAAATAGTAGATCTCCTTGCTCCACACGTTTTCGATGGGCAGCTGGAGAGTCAGGTTGTTGAACGGGTCGAAGATGATGCTGACCTTGTCGCATTCGGGGCAGTGGAGAGTCGATTTGTACATGCCCGCGAAGAGGTCGGTGATGACCGAGTCGTTGCGAGCTTTGTAGATATCCCAGCACTTGTCGGCAAACTCGGTCAGAGCGGCCTTGTCGTGGACCATCTCGTCCGTCGAATCGGGTTTCTCGATGTACGGCTTCTTCTGAATCCGGTTCAGGTCCTCCTGCAACCCGTCAAGCAGGAAGAGAAGGAACTCCTGCGAGTCTTGCTGGCCGTAGCCGGAGAATGCCGGTCCGTAGCGGCCGATGGTATTCTTCAACTGCCTCGGGGCGAAAGAAGATTGGCCGGCTTCATCGTAGATCAAACGGAGGAGGTTAGCATACGACTTGGCCACCTCGCCGTTGTGAGCCAACGGGTTGCTGGGGTTCAAGTCTTGCTTATAAACATCGTCTGGAGCGAAAGGAAAAAGAACGGTTAGCTATCATAGGAATCCAGGACTTGTCTGCGGATCACACATACTGAGGAAATAGTAGGATAACTCCTCTACACTCCGAACACACTGCAGGGCAGAGTTCATGTAGCAGGTGTTTCCAAGATTGCTCAATCCCGTATTGCCGCGAGGCTTTCCATCCTTACGTCTTCCCCTAGGGGGTTCGGGGACGGGGGACGATCGCCCGCTGTTGGTCGGGCTTTTGTTTTTCAACTTGGAGGCCACGCCGTTCTTGAGGTTACCGGTCGGAACGCCCAGGCGATTGAGAGTCTGCTTGGAGGCCTCGGAGGCCCATTCGCCGGAGCCCGCGCCGGGGATCCGTTCTTCCAGCACCACGACGTCGCTGCCTCCCAGACCGGCCACGTCGAGCGTCATGCGACCGTTGTAGTTGGAGTTGGCGGTTTGGTCCTTGGCCCCCTCCAGCAATTCCCGCTGGGCGCCTTCGGACAGGGAGAGGAAGGTGTTGAGATCGAGCACGAGGTTGGAGCCGCCGTTGGCGACCATCGACGCCGCCGGGGCCGGAGAGGCGCTGCGCGAGGCGGCCGGCGTAATCGCAGCCGACGCGCTGGCGCTCCCCAAACCGCCCAAAATCCTCCAGACACGGACCTTGGTAGACATATCGATCTTGGCTAGATTCTTTGCGTCCTTCAACCACTTCTGGAAGTTCGTGTGGCGGCTCGACAGAATCCGCACCGGCTTCATGTTCTTCTCCTTGAGGCTCTGGGGCGTCGTGCCGGCCGACGGGTTCGTCAGCTTCAGGATGGTGAAGATCGGAGGGTTGATTTCGTATTGCACGTTCTGCGAGTCACCGCCCACGCTGGTGTCGTGCGCGTAGCGGACGATGGCGGGCGACTGCTCGGCCAGACCGTACCACTGGAGGATCAGATCCCAACCCTCCTGCGGCACGATCTCGAAGTCCTCACTCATCTGCAGCCCCGGTCGCAAGGGCACGAACGGCTGGTTGGCCTCGTCGAGGAAGGTCGCATTTGCCGGGTCGGTGACGAGAACGAGGTCGGAGTTGTCGACGGGGCCCACGTCGCCTTCGACGGCGGTCTTGTCGGCCAGGTCGGCGTGGGTGGAGCTTCGCGAGAGCACCCGCTTCAGCCAGGACATGGACACCACGTAGCCCTTCTGGTTCTCCTTCAGCGGTTGGGCCATGTGCAGGGTCACCTTCGCAACCTGGTCATCGTAGGACGGAGGGGCCGTGGCGGCGGTGTAGGTGGACATGCTGGAGGGGGTGGGGTAGAGGTTATCGGAGCCGGAGTTGCCGTCGTTGGCGTTGGAGCTCTCGTCGTCGTCGTTGTCATCGTTGTCATCGGCATCCATCGCATCGTTCTTGCCGGGTCGGGGCTGCGTCTCGTTCGCCGTCGAGGCGGCATCCATGTCGACATCTCCGTCCACCTCGCAGGCAGCCCGCTTGACGCCGGGGGAGGGCGACCGGGCGGCGGCCTCGGCGGGGGGCAGGCTGAGGTCTCGCTGGTCGGGGTTGGCCATGTCGGTGGGAGGATCCGCGCTCAAGGTGAGGCCGGCGCAGGCGGTCGAGGGATCGGAGTCCGGGGTGGGCGAGCGAGAGGCGGAGCCCAGCACTTCGTCCTGCAGATGGGCGGGGATGTATCGAGGCGGCGGAGAGGCGGAGGGCGAGGAGGAGGAGCGACTCTGGCTGGAGGAAGGACGAGGATTGGAGGAGGAGGGGGAGGCGGAAGACTGGAGGTGACGTCTTCCAGCCTGCGAGGCAAGCGAGACAGCCGGAAGAGGAGCTGGTCGGCGAGGCTCTGCTACCTTACGGCGCTTTGTGGAAGACGTCGTGACGGTGAGCTGCGCACGTCTCGTGGCAGCTCGAGGTAACACGGGGGAAGGGGGAAGGGGGAGGAAGTCGAGGATCTCGCCAATGAATCCGATGCGGTGAGCCGAAGGGACATTTATTTCGAACGAAAAAGAAAAAGAAAAAGAAAAGAAAAGAAAAGGTTACGCAGCGGTCGGACTGGGAGGAACCACACACGATGGAGTCGGGAAAAAAAATTGCACGAAAAGAGTTTAGCAACGAGAAAATCCGTGAGAAAAGAAAATCCGAAGGCGCCCGTTTTGGGAGGGATCCGGTGGCGACGCGCCGACTGGATGCGGTGGATCCGGAGATCGATAAGTAGATGGGAGGAATCTCGGTCCAGTGTATCCGTAGTGTCGAGTGCAGAGTGTAGTACTGATCCGTCTTATAGGAGATGAAGGGTTGTTCTGATCGAGTGCCGCAAGGGAGGGCGCAGGGATGACTAGTGGAGTTGGAGCACCTACTAGGAGTAACAAAGACTCGATCGGACCAAAGAGTCCACGGATCGAATCAACGGGAAATGGACTACGCAGTAATAAAAGAAGTTCCAGGGTTCTTGCATGTGGCGGGTTAGCAGTCCGACTGCGACGGCCTCATGCGAGGTATATATTCGCATTAGGGCTCCCTCCATCAACCACAACTACACGATGCTCTTGGAGCTGAGTTGGACACAACCCCAGAAATACCCTCCAACCTGCCAAAGTATGGATTGATGGATTCCTAATCAGAACCCCTTTTGTCCGGTAGAACTGCAGACATCCGTGTGTTCACTCCGGGGTTGCAATATCCCGAAGATCCCAGAGCGGCCTGAGAGCCAGTTCCTGTCTCTAACCCAATCAACGTCTGATGCATTCGTGCCATGCCCTTGGCTGGACGATCTGACATTCCCCGAACCAGAAAGACTGACACGAGTACGATGAGTTTGCCAGTCCGCGTATGCATGTATGCTCTTCATGCTGGTCACCGGTTATATCTGCAGGCACGACCGCGGGGTGCTTTGCCCCGGATTCTGCGATCTTTGCGTTTCTGAAGACTTGGCCGTCCTCCTGGCTGCAGCCAGGGTATTCGGGCATAAAAAGGGTTGCGATCCTCGAGGAAGAGGCGTTCGAGCATGGCATTGCTTCTGCGTTTCTTGTATTTGTGGTCACTTTCGCTTGGTTCCTGAAAGACCGAACCCTAGGAAACAGATCCTCCGTTCGTTTGCTAAGAGAAATGGTACGAGACCCCCCGGATCTCCCAAGGAGGAACCGGTTTGGGAGGTTGACCCCGTCCGATAGACTTCCTACTGCCGGTTGGTTGCCTTGGTGGCTTTGGCCCTGCTGTCCATTGCTTCCACCAGCGCAGGCCTAGCCCAGTGTGAGGCGAGTAAGCCAGAAGGCCCTGTTCTCGTCACGCCGGACTGTGTGGATGCAGAGTACAGCACCCCGGTCATCGACAGCGAGACGGACGAAGCCTCCCCACAGGCTCATCGTCGAGTCTCCGGACATTTCAACGGCACAGACATTCGATTCAACGTGTACCTTCAGCCTCAAGCGCAATGGGACGGACGCTTCTTCCAACTGGTCTACCCAACCCAAGACGAGAACGCAACGGAGCACACTATCGGACTCGGCATAGAGAGCGGCGCGTACACGGTCCAGGTCACCGGGACTCAAGGCTATCGTGCGGACGCTGCGGCCGCAAAGTTCTCGCGTACGCTTGCAACAAAGTATTACAATGTCTCGGAATCGCGCCATATTTACGGCTACATCTACGGTGGCAGCGGCGGGTCCTTTCAAACCATTGCGGCGATGGAGAATACCCAAGGAGTCTGGGACGGGGGAGTCCCAATTGTACAGGCAGTGCCGGTATCCTTGGTGCTGAACTACGGGGTTCGCCAGCTGGGTGCATTCGTACTGGAGAACAAAGCGTCCCAGGTGATCGATGCCATCCGGCCGGGAGGCAGCGGCAACCCTCATGAAGGGCTGAACGAAATGCAAAAGGACGTTCTCCATGAGGTAACGTTGATGGGTATGCCTCTGGCTGCATGGGAGGATTATGACACGGCGTTAAACGGTAGCAACTTAATCGCCCTGGGCGCTCTGGCACGGGACATGGACCCAAGTTACGTGGACGACTTTTGGTCCTTGCCAGGTTATGTCGGCACCGACGAATCCGACCTGGGGGAGCTGTTCCGCGCCGCACTGATCAATATCACCGCGACCGTCGAAGAAGTCGAGCGGGACTCGAACGACGTGCCCACAACCCTGGTTTTGAATCAGGCCCCATCTAATGTTTCACATCCGGCAGCACTCGAGTTCTCCGTATACAGCGCGGATGGTAAGACCAAGCACGCTGTGTCTGGTTCACTGGATCTTGAGCGCAGGGTCCTGATACTTGCGAACGACAACGACCCGGCGGTGCTCGGAAACCTAACCGCCGGACAGTCTCTGAGGATCGACAATCGGTGGTTCCTGGCATTGCACACCTACCATCGTCACCAAGTACCCACCCGCGATGGCTTCTACGGGTTTGATCAGCTCCGGGATGCAGACGGGAACCCCCTATATCCCCAACGCGAGATTGAGGTGGCCAAAGAGGTGGCCATCTCCAGTAGCGGCGGGGGCACGCATACTGGGCAGATCGGCGGCAAGATGATTGTGATCGATAACCTCCTTGACCAAGACGCGTTCCCGTGGCACGCCGACTGGTATCGCATGCAGGTCCGGCAAGCTCTCGGGGACCTGTCGGATGACAGTTACCGTCTTTGGTACAATGAAAACGCTGATCATGAGATGGTAGACGTTCCTGTAGGGGATAGGACCTCTCGCTTGATCGATTTCCGCGGGATCTATGAGCGAGCCCTTCGCGACGTCAGTGCCTGGGTCGAGAATGACCTTGCACCGCCTCGTTCCTCGCAATACAATGTGTCCAACAGCCAAATCCGGCTGGCGGCAACGGCAGCACAGCGTCGCGGGATCCAGCCCGTGATTGACATGACTGTGGATGGTGCGTCCAAGACGCGTACCCCGGCTGGTCAGGCGGTCACTCTCCACGCACGTATTCAGGTGCCTCCCGATGCCGGGCAAGTCGACTCTGTCGAGTGGGATGTTCAGGGCCGTGGCGAGTTTGTCCGCGGCACGTTCACCAGCAGCAATGGAACGGTGGAAGTCGAGACTACCGCGCGATATGACAAGCCGGGAACCTACTTTCCGGCCATCCGGGCGGGGTCGCAGAAGAAGCCAGGGGCGGAGTTCGGGCAAGCACTGAATCTGGGGCGCGCGCGAGTGGTTGTAGAGTAGAAGGAGAGGCTTCCCGGGCGGGTTTCGCGGGTCGACGAGTCGAGGCATCATGATGACTGCCTGGCTGCCTGGCGGCTGGCGGCCTCGCTGCCTGAGGCCAGCCCGCACCTGCCGAAACAGGCGGCGGGCAGACCCCGTGACCGCGGCAGGTGACTGCCCCCCGCCTTTCGCTTGACTTTTCGCTTTTTTCTCTTTCCCTCCTGCAAACCCCTCCACATCCTCTCCCAAGTCACATCCAGAAACAATCCCCCCCAAACCCGTGAGTGTTCATCATCATCATTGATATCTCGATATCTGTCTCTGTCTATATATATACATAATATACAATCCATATTTGTGTTATATCTGCTGCATTGAAGAATCCCACTAAACTTCCCCTCGATTAGTCCAATCACCATGTCTGAGCGTCAGAACGGTACCGTCAAGTGGTTCAACGATGAGAAGGGCTACGGCTTCATCACCCCCGAGTCCGGCGCCGACCTCTTCGTCCACTTCCGCGCCATCGAGGGAACCGGCTTCCGCTCTCTGAAGGAGGGCCAGCGCGTCTCGTTCGAGGCTGTCCAGGGCCAGAAGGGCATGCAGGCGGACAAGGTTCACGTCGAGGAGGCATGAAGTCGGCATGCAAGGCAGGATGAACAACAATGGCAGCATCACGAAAATACCCTTTTGAGGTGAAATACCCGGGAGGACCTTGGTTGTTTCGCTACCGGCGTACTACCCTGCACAAAAGGCAGCCCCGGCTGCGTGCCAATCGGCATGGACAGCCTGGGTGATGGGATCCAATATATTATTACTTCTCCAGGGAACTGATCTCCCCACCTACCCTGTGTGATCGTTTTCTTGTTTCAAAAACCCAATGCCACTGTCTGCGTGTTCGGAGATTTGACACTCTCCATCATCAAAATTTTATTCCGTAAAACAGAGCGTGAGTATCATTCACTTCCCCTCGGCTCCTCTTGTATCAGATCCCCTCAACGTCCACCTTAGACCAGGCCAGACATGTACCGTCGTCCACACTCAAGTGGTTGATAAAAGCACCAGAAGGGATCAAGTTCATTCCATCCGTCAACCCGACACATGCCGTCGTCGTCCCAATCCTCGCTGCCGACCCCGTGCCGCACGATGAACAGATCCTCCGGATCCCACTTCTTCTTGATCTCGCGCAGCCGGCCATACTTCTCTCCCCAGAACCATCGCGGCCAATCCGCGAGTTCCGAATCCGCCTCGTTCAGATACATGGCCACGGGGCTGGGCTGGCTGATCGACTGCAGAACGGGCCCTTCGACGGACGTGACGCGCTGCTGCACGTCGTGCTGGTCTTTCAGCGTCGGCTCGAAGACGCGGTTGCCGACCAGCAGGATCGCCGCCGTCCGATCGCCCGGCCGCAGGTCCAGGGAAGCCAGCCGGTCGACCATCTGCGCCGGCCCGTTGGGCCTGTCGTACGCTTCCCGTGGGATGAGGATGTATTCTTGATGGAACGGGATGCCGCCGACGAACTCGGCCTGAGGGATGGCCAGAAAGGAGCTCAATCGTGCGTAGGCCGTGGACTGGAGGTCCCCCGGATTTTATCTGGGAAAAATACCAACTTCAGGGGCCTGTCACTCTTAGTGCCAAAGAGAGATGTACAGTTAGATCAATGATATAACCCTTAGTCACCACTAATTTGGCAATTTTGCAGGACGTATAAAACAAGCCCATGGCCGCCTCTAACAGCCAGTCAGGATTCAAACTTAACCAGACAGACAAAATCCCGAGACGCTGGATACCCCCAGCATCTACCGACGTTTAGTAAGAATAACAGGCATATGCTCGATCCCCATAGCAAAGTGATCGTCCGCAGCATTCATCCACCGCGTTCCATCCTCATTCGGCCCAAAAGTTATGTCGAAGGTCCTGACCAACCGCGCCACCGTAGTCCGGAGATTCATCATGGCGAGTGGCTTACCGATGCATGAGTACGGGCCTGTTTACGTTGGGATAGCCCCCCATCAGTACAACAATAGAAAATGGAAAACCAATAGAGCCCGAGGGGAGAGACGAAGAAGTGCACCTACCTATTCCAAAGGGGGCAAACGCGGATTTGTCCTTCACCAGGCTGGGGTATTTGTACCACCGTGTGGGATTAAAGGTCGAGGGATCAACGTACGCAGCGTTGGCTATAGGATGGGGCAGGATATGGGTTAGAATGCATAGTCACGTATCAGGATGGGGGATACCACGTACACCGGCCCAAACTCCACTGCGGCGTATATACATTCATGCCACCGGGAATCCTCACATCCCGAACCACAATCCCCTCCGGCGGCGTCTTGCGCGGAATTGCGGCCGGGATTGGCGGGTGCAGTCGAAAGGTCTCGTTAATGAACCCGTTGAGATGCGGGAGCTTCGCGATGTTGTCGTGTAGGTACTCGCCGTTACTGTCGACGGGGATTGGGTCCAGCTCACTGAGAAGCTTTGACACTTCGTCGGGGCGCCGCGCGAGCTCATAGACTATGGCTGTTAGGCTTGTGGCCGTTGTGTCGCTGTAGGGATCATCTTTATTTAGCGGGTTTTCTTGGACGACGCCGGAGAGGGTAGACCAACCTGCCGGCTGTGATAATCAGCATGGCGTCTCCCTTCAGCACGTTCTTCTCTTCTTCAGAGGGGCTGCGGCCATTTAACGGCCCGATCAGAGACGCAAAGACATCGGGGATCATCACTTTGCCCTGCATGCGACACGGTTAAACCATCTCTCCCGGAAAGGATCAACCCCCCTATACGGACGTACATTCAACCGCTTCACCAACGTATCCGTCGCAAACTCGATGAATCGATGCCAATCCTTCGACAGCCCCAACGAGGGCATCGTGGCCAGTAACCGAAAGAACCAGCTGGGCCACAGCATCCGATACCCCGTCAGCCCCTTCATTAGCACATCCACCGCCCAATGATTCTTCCGCGCGTCGAGCATATCGAAGCTCTGCGCAAAGGCCAAGTCACCCATGATGTCGTAGCTGTAGAATGTGAACCACTTGCTGACATCGAAGGGCGGCGGCGAAGCTGATCTGGATGATCCCGCCCTGGCCGTCTCGGCCTCCAGCCGCTGAAATAGTTTCTCCCGATACACCCGAATGCGCGTCTCATACCCGTGCAGCGCGCGGTCGCCGAAGCCGCTGCTCCAGACCCTGCGGCGCCGGTCGTGCGCGCTCCGGTCTCTCCACGAGTGCAGGGACATCATGGGGTGGGCGTTGTCGTAGAATGCATTCTTGGTGCAGCGAGATTGTGCGCCGTGGACCGTCGCCACGGCTTCCGGGTGGATGACGGAGACCTCGGAGGGACCGATTCGCACGACAGGGCCGTACTCCTCGTGCAGCTGGTGGAGGTACCGGAAGGTGGGCGTCTTGCGGAGGCGCAGAGAGAGCCAAAACACACCGAGACGGGCGGCGCGCGGGCCGGGGAAGTTGCGCAGTGGGTGGAAGAGGGTGCGGTAGCAGAGGAGAGAGGTGAAGAGGCCCGTAAAGTAGGCCACTGCGAGCAGACATGTCTGCTCGAGGATACCGGCTGGTGATACAGGGTCCCGCGGTGTCTGTTTGACGTGCAAACGAGCCAATATGGCCATAAAGAGGCATAGATGAAGCCAAACGCAGCGCCATGGGTAGAGATGATGCTCCCCCCGCCGAAAGTACAAGACATGTGTAAGTATGCCGACTCCGCCAGCAATAGCCAGGGTTCGGGCGTCCATGATTGATATCAGGTCAACGAGACTCGTTGATGGGGAGTTGGGATGAGACGAGCAATGGCCGCACTGGGTCTAAGGGTACAAACAACCCTGCGCTAGAGGAGGATCAGAAGAAAACCTCTCTGCCCATGGTTCATCCGTCAATGGCGGACACTTTGGGGGCAGTGATCAAAGCAAGGATGCGTCGGCATGGATCCCAGATATGCAAGGGATAACGTGGTATCCCTTTGTAACATACAAGAATTGAGGCTAGAAATCGGCCGGGCTAGACAGTCTTCCTGATCCATGGAGGTAGGGGGAAACCCTTGCATGCCCCAGCAGCCTTACATTTTTGGCTGACTTTGTACAACTACCACTCATGTTTACTGCAGCCGGAATGCGCCAAATAATCCCGTGGACAAAACGGCGGTCTGGGAGGGGTAGGATTCCTAGTCAGATCGAGCGACAGTAGAGCGAAGGTTAAGATAGACTCGAACCTAAATACATACAGACAAGGATTCAGGTCGTTCTCTACCGCAGTGTACTCTTCTTGACCAACATTGACCAGACACTCTTGCTACAATGTCCGACCTCAGAGACCTCGCCCGCAACCTCAGTCAAGGTGTTGAGCGTTACGCCGACGAGCTTGACAGGGCAGGATGTACTCAAGACGACCCAAATCTGACTCTCCTGGGCTCCAAAGGCCTCGCAGCCAGAGAAGACATCATCATGGGCGCCGAGAAGACGCTCCAGCTCGCTCGCGGCCCCGTTGCAACCCTAATTGGGTTCATGGAATCGGTGAGCACCCGCGCCTCAGATCACCATTCTGCTTCGTTCTCCGATCTAATCCCTTCACCGCAATATCTAGGCCGTTGACCTCGGCGCAATCCAAACGCTCATCCAGCTCGGCGTGCCGGAGCAGGTCCCCTTCCCGGGCTCGATCACCTACGCCGAGTTGGCGAAAAAGCTCACCACCCCCATCTCCCCAGACCTCCTGCAGCGCCTGGTCCGGCTCTCCCGCCTCCACGGCTGCCTAGACGAAGACGCCGCCGGCGCCGTCACACACACTCCCGTGTCCGCGATCTTCGTGACCGATGCTAATACCGCGGGGCAAGCGAAATTTATGGCGAGCTTTGGCATCCGGCCGTGCGCGTTCTTGTATGAGTCCGTTAAACTCGATCCGAGTGGAGAGAATCCGCGCCGTGGGCCTTTGGCTATCATGGCGAGGGAGGAGCGGCCGGGCATCGGCGAGGGCCCGACGTTCTTCGAGGTGCTGGAGAAAGATGCTACGAATCAGGCGCGGTGGCATGATGCCATGGCGGTGCATGATGACTCGATCATTCGGCTGGTTGCGCAGGCGTATGATTGGGGGAGCGTGCAGAGCCTTGTCGATGTAAGATGCGAATCCCGTGCAATGACAGCGCTGATATTTGGTTCACTGACCCCTCTCTGTCCCTGACCTAGATCGGCGGCTCCGAAGGCCACGTCGCCACCGTTATCGCAAATTCCTTCCCCGACATAACCATAACCGTGCAAGACCGGCCCGAAATCATCGCGCGTGCGAGGTCCCGCAGCAGCCAGCACCCGCGCGTTTCCTTCGTCGAACACGACTTTTTCACTCTGCAGCCACTCACCGCAGACGCGTACTTTCTCCGCTTGATCCTGCACGACTGGAACGACGCGGACTCCGCTCAGATCGTCCGCCAGATCATCCCGGCTATGCGGGAGGGGACGCGGCTGCTCATCATGGACGCGGTACTGCCGGAACCCCGCGAGGAGGGCAACGGCTCGGTGCTGAGGGAGAGACAGCTGCGGAGGAGTGATATTGGCATGTTTACGCTGTTCTCAGCGAAGGAGAGAAGTTTGGCGCAGATGAGGGAGTTGGTGGAGGGGTGTGATGGCAGGTTGAGGTTTCTGGGGGTCACGACGCCGCTGGGGAGTCATGCTAGTCTGATGAGTTGGGTTCGTGATTAGCTCGGAGATTGGATGATTGGTCCACGTATGCAGTGATGTCTACGTCCTCTAATAAGCCATAAGGTCGTGGATCACTCTATCGATGTGGTTTCCCACATCCCCCAGTATTGAAGGGTGAAGGATTAGGGTTAGGGTTAGGCTCGTAACCAGCACCTGAGAATGGTATGTCTGCAACTAAGCTCATGTCTCTGAATGTAGATATACGGACTTTTTTTTTTTTTTTAATTAACACACCCCGAATTCAACATCCCATCAAGGAGGCTACATGAATTGTATCTGGAGATACGGAGTGCGTGGACAAAAAAAGTATCGGCCGCTAGAAACGAACAATTGCCCTGGTCTGAGGGTGTCACATCTTCCATTCAGACTGAGCCACCAGCATTCACTTTCCAAAGAATGCCTTGCCTCAAGCAGGGGATACAGCTGTCTTCAAAGTTCTGCCTTGAGCATTCCCCCTTACGCAATGCCTACAGTAGGGGGCTAGGGGTTCAATGCGCGGGAATTGCTGTACTACCCCTCAGCATTCCAGGCATTTTCGGTCTCAGTCCGTGGAGATAGGATGGATGGGATAGCTAAAAGCACCGTTCACCACGAGAGTCCCGTTTGGCTTCTAGTTCCCATCAATCTGCCACTGTGTGTCAACATGAGCTACGGCAACATCTCTCAGGGCCCCGGCCCCTTTGAACGCTTCGTTTCTGGTCCATTCTCCGGCCAATACCCATGGGCAGGCGTCGTTCTTCTCGGGGTGGCCTTGCTGGCTTTAATCCGTCATTGGCGCGGAGGTAAATCCGGCAGCAGCCAGATGCCTCTACCCCCGGGCCCTCGAGGCCTCCCAGTCATCGGCAACCTCCTGCAAGCCCCCAAGGAGACCCCGTGGAAGAAATACAAAGTATGGAGCGACAAGTACGGGCCCATCATGTCGATCCGCAACGGGCAGAACGTATTCGTCATCATCACCTCGTTCGATATCGTCAAGAACTTCCTGGAGAAGAACAACGGCGTCTTCAGCTCCCGACCGCACCTGGTCGTCATAGAGCGCGCCTCCGGGGGCCTCGCAACGTCGTTCCTCCCCTACGGACCGCAGTGGAACTCGCACCGTCTCCTCCGTGGAAACGTCCTCAAGCCCGCCATGGCAGTCAAATACCGCCCTGTCCTCGACACGGAGAGCAAGCAGATGCTGCGCGAGGTGCTGTCCACGAACAGTCTCCCGCAGACCCTGCGCCGCCAGGCCGCCAGCACCTTCCTGACAATCGCCTACGGCTACCGGCTGCCCGTCGAACCGCCCGAGATCCAAGAAATGGAGGAGCTCGTATCGTACATGGCAACGATCAGCGAGGCGTGCTTCCGCGGCACCAGCATCCTGGCCGAGTTCTTTCCGTTCGCGCAGTACCTCCCGGGGAACTCGTGGTGGAAGGACGAAGCCGATAAGATCGCGGCCAAGCTGACGAGGTTCTATGTCCACAAGTGGCGTGCCGGGCTCAAGACGCCCGCGTGGAACTGGACGAAGGAGTACAACGTGCACAAGGAGGCGCAGCCCATGGACGAGCTCGAGCGCGCGTACACCATCGGCGCGATCTACGAGGCGTCGCTGACGCCCTTTGAGATCCTGCTGATCGTGATCCTCGCGGCGCTGTATAACCCCGAGGAAACGCGCCGGATCCAGCGGGCGATCGACGCCGTCGTCGGCGGAGCCAACCGGATGCCCGAGAGCAGCGACATGGCCCAGCTGCCGCAGATTCTCTTCTTCGTGCACGAGGCCCTTCGCTGGCGGCCCTTCTCCCCGCTCGCCGCACCGCGCGCCGTCAGCAAGGAGGTCGAGTGCATGGGGTACCGGATTCCCAAGGGCGCCACGATCATCGTGAACCAGTGGGCGATGGACCACGACGAGAACATCTTTGCGGACCCCTTCGAATTCCGGTATTCGCGGTGGGAGAAGAACCCTGATCTGCCGCATATCTCGTTTGGATTCGGACTGCGCGGCTGTCCCGGGCAGCATCTCGCCAGGGAATACTTGTTTATTTCGATTGCCCGCTTGTTCTGGGCGTTCGATTTTAATCATCCCAAGGTTAACGGGGAGGTGGTGGTACAGGATTTGGAACAGCTGTTTCGTCCGCGCACTCCCATTGCGTTCTTCAACCAGGTGCCGTCCTGGTTCAAGGTGGATATCACGCCGAGGGATGAGAAGCGGAAGGCTCTGATTGAGAGCGAGTGGGAAGGCGCTGAGAAGGATGTGAACGTATTGTTGGATCGGGTTATGCCACTTCCAAACTAGGGGGATGGGCTTACTGTGGTGCCATGCTGGGAGGTTTACTTCGGGAGTAGTCTAGAGGCTCGATATCACTGACTTGATGTTATTCGCTATTCACTACTCTCTATCCTCAAACTGTTCCCTTTTTTTTCTTTCTTTCTTTTTTTTTTTCTTTTCTGTTTGAATTGCTTTTTGTCGCGCATATATTCTCCAAAAAAAGACCCAAAAAAAGCATCCAGCCCACCCACATCTTCTTCGCCTCGGCCTGACTCTACGGTCAATACTCCCTTGCAGGTCAGGAATGTACTGTACACTGATCCCCTGCATTCTTGTATACGCGCATGATGCATGGTAACTTGCGGTCTGGCCGGACGGTCAGCCCTTGATCTTCTTTTAGTATAAATCCAAACGAGGTGATGCTGGTCATGCCTTCACGACTCCCACTCACTATACAGTATACACCTTATTCTCTCAGCCATATAGCCAACCACTCAAGCGATATGTCCTCATTGACTGTCACCAGCTCCGCGAGCCCTCCTCGCCCCGAGGCAAAAAGAAGTCACGGTGCCCAGCTGACGGCTGACGGCCAACCTACAACTCTTCCCTCGTCCATCATCCACGCCTCCAACATTCCCACCAGCAACGATATCGAAGCCTGGTGGGAGGACTGCGGCCCCCTGTTCGGGCGCTTTCTCCAAGCAGGCAAATACACCCTCCGCCAGCAATTCCAGTACCTCCTCTTCCTCCGCAACCACCTTATCCCAGCGCTCGGTCCGCACCCGCAGAAATGGCGCAGCACAATCACGCGCAGCGGCCTGCCCATCGAATACAGCATCAACTTCCAAACGGACGGCCAGCCCACGCTGAGGATCGGCTTTGAGCCCGTTGGTATCCTCTCCGGAACGGCGGGGGACAGATACAACCAGCTCGCGCCGGCAGACCTCGCCAGCGTGCTGGGGAAACTGCCGCTCCTGGCCAATTTCGATGCGAGGCTGTACCACCACTTTACCAACGACTTCGCGCTCTCCCGGGCAGATGAAGCATCACTTCGTCAACAGGATGTCACGCCAGAGAAAGGCCACGTCGTCTCGCAAGCGGCGTTCGGCTTCGACCTCAAGGGCGACCGCGTAGCGATCAAGGGCTATGTCTTCTGCGGCCGCAAAGCCCTGGCAACGCACACGCCCGTCGGGGAGTTCATCGCCTCCTCCGTCGCCCCCATCACCCCGTTAACGGGCTCCTGCGCAGCCTTCGCCCTCGTGCACGATTATATGACCGACACCTCGGGCTATAACGAATTCACCTTCCTCAGCTGGGACTGCGTCGAGCGCACGCAGTCCCGTCTGAAGCTCTACGGCGTCCACAACGAAGTAACGCCGCGGAAACTCGCGGAGATGTGGACGCTGGGCGGGCGGCTGGAGGGCATCCCAGAAATCATGCAGGGGCTGCAGCTCGCTCTACAACTATGGGCTGCGCTTGGTCTCGACGAGGCGGATGATTGCGCGTATACGGGTCGCTTCGATGACGGGGTTACTTCCGGCGAGTGCGAGGTCTCTTCGCCGATTCTCTGGAACTTCGAGTTCAACCCGGGACAGCGGTATCCACTCCCTAAGGCCTATTTCCCCATTCATGGCAGGCAAAGTGATCGCCACGTTGCGGGGGCGCTGGAGGCCTTCTTTGGGAAGCTTGCGTGGAAGGAGCTTGCGGGGGGGTACACTAAGATGGTGGAGGGATTATAGTAAGTTTTCTTTTTGTTCTTTGTCTCCCCAGGCCATAGGGCGGTATGAACACTAACTCGTCTCATCTCAATTTAGTCCCGATCGCGATATCTCGCAGACCTCTCGTCTGCAGTCGTGGTTGTCATTTGCGTATACCGAGAAGAGTGGTCCATATATGAGCGTGTATTATCACTCCTCGGAGGCGTACCCATGGACCGACTAGGGAGGGAGATCCCGTAGTCATCCTACAGTCTACCTATCGTGACTAGCAAAACAAGGCAAAAGAATCCAATGATTTTTCCTCCTGCTTCCACTGAGACCAGGACGTAGCCAGATCGTAGAGCACCATGTGAAATCTAGCTTCCTGGATTCTCACCATTTGACATGTAGAGGCCATTGTCTCATTCAGCCCTAAAACCTAAGCGTACCCCAGGTCGAGTTCACAACGCGAGCCTCTATGTGCGTCAAAGTACGCGGTAAGGCCTCCTAAACCCTTCAGCCCCTCCTCCTTACTTGATTTAATCTGACATGGAGGATGGCCCCGGCTCAAGAATGTACGGCAGGCTGTTGGAGGAAAACCATCTGCACCAACTGTAAGGCCGCCACTCGGCGAGGGATGAGTGTCTCACAATGTCTGCGTAACCCTAACCGCCTTGATTCCGAACGATGGAGAGCGCCACGAATTGAGCTTTAGGCGCCATCAAGCGGATGATTTGGCACCCGGTGGGTTCCATCCGAAGTGGAATGCAGTAAACAATGGAGCCCCTTGCATTCCTGAATCGTCCTACCTCCCGTCAGTAAGTTATTGTTACTGTATATGTTGTATCCGGCAGCACCTGAGGACGGCATCCTCCTCCCCATCCCAGCTTCAACCATGGATGACCAGCTTCATGCCGGGGATAACGCGTCCCCTTCGATCGGCAGCATCGAACAGGAACCAAAGCGCACAACCACCAGGGCGGCATCGTTAGATGGGCAGCTGGCCATCGAGCAAGAGGAGGAAATCTCGGAAACGATCGAGCAATGGCGGGTGCTTTCGGCGACACTCGCGGTGTGCCTTGTTATTTTCTGCTTGTCCTTGGTCCGTATCCCTAGTCAATGCGATGACGAGGTCTGACTGCTTGTTGTTCAGGACACCACCATCCTCAACACGGCCATTCCCCGTATCACCGAGCAGTTCCACTCGCTCGAACACGTCGGTTGGTACGGCAGCTCCTACCTCCTCACCACCTGCGCCACCAGCCTGATGTACGGCAAGCTCTACACCTTCTTCCCGGATAAGCTGGTCTTCCTTGCTGGCCTTCTGATCTTCGAAATCGGATCGCTGGTGGCGGGTGCTACGCCCACGTCCATCGGTCTGATTATGGGCCGTGTCGTTGCTGGCCTGGGAGCTGGCGGCCTCCTTTCGGGGTCCATCATCCTCCTCTCGCGCCTCGTGGCTGTCCGCAAGCTGCCTTTGTATATCGGCACGATCTTTGGTGTTTTTGCCATCTCGAGCGTCGCGGGGCCCTTGTACGTTCTTCCACCCCTACCGTTGACGCGTGGATCTTTTTTTTTTTTTTTTGACGATATATTCTAGGCTCGGGGGCGTCCTCACCGACCAGCTCACCTGGCGATGGTGCTTTTACATCAATCTCCCCCTCGGCTTCGTCTCGGGCACGGCCATCCTTCTCGCCGTGCCGCGCAATAAACCGGTGACGGTCCTCTCAGCCCGCGATCGGATCATAGCCCTGGACCTGCCGGGAACCGCGCTGTTCCTGCCAGCCATCATTTTCATCGTGCTGGCGCTACAATGGGGCGGGACCGAGGTTCCCTGGAGCAATGTGCGCATCATTGTCCTCCTCGTCCTCGCCGGTGTCCTCCTCATTGGATTTACCGCTATCCAATGGTGGAGAGGAGATAATGCGACGCTGCCTGGCCGTCTGATGCGGAATCGAAATGTCTGGGGATCGGCTTTGTATACGTTTTTCGTAACGCCTGCCCTGATGGTCACCACCTACTACGTGAGTCCACTCTGATATCCACCAAGGAAACACACTCCGCCTCACTTTTGCACCCGTACCTACAAACGAAATAACCAAGAAGAACTAACAAACAATCCAACGCAAAAAGCTCCCAACCTGGTTCCAAGCAATCCAAGACACCTCCGCCACCAAATCAGGAGTCCTCACCCTTCCCTCTATTCTCGCCGTCGCGATCTCCTCCGCCCTCGTCGGCCTCCTCGTCACCCTCGTCGGCTACTATACCCCCTTCATGGTTATCGCTGCCATCCTACAGGCAATCGGGCAAGGCCTCCTCTCCACCCTCTCCCCCGCAACCTCCCTGCCCAAGATCATCGCCTTCCAGGTCATCTTCGGCCTTGGCGCCGGTCTCGGCCTGCAACAGGGGTGGACGGTCATCCAGACCACCGTGCCGAGGGAGGACGTGCCGCAGGCGACGGCGGTGGTGACGTTTGTGCAGACGCTGAGCGGGGCGTTGTTTATCCCCGTGGGTCAGAATCTTTTCATGACTCGACTTACGGCGGGGCTGCACGGTATACGCGATCTGAGCCCGGCGGGTGTTGACGAGATCAGTCAGGTGGGCGCGATGGCGCTTCGAGACGTGGTGGAAGGGGATTTGCTACCGCCTGTGCTTGCGGCTTATAGTCGGGCGCTTACCTGTACGTTTTATATCGGAATCGTTACGGGGGCATTGACGCTGGTGGGGGCACTTTGCGTTGAGATGAGGTCGGTTAAGGGGAGGGCGTCGCCGGCTGTTCCGGTTGGCTAGGGAAGGATTTTCTCTCCCATTTTGGACCGGATTCAGTTTCGAAGTTGCTGTTGTCTTGCTATGCCGGATTGTTTGATCCGTGTACGATAGGATAGGCTCTTGCGTGCCCGGGCGCCTCTCGCGCTCGAGTATATGAGGATCCATAGCTTCGTCTCTACTAGGACTAATTTTCGCGTGATCCACCGATATCCTGGAAGAGCTCGACTGGGGATAGGAAGCGAGGGTCAGTAATAATAATCATGAAAATGCCACTCTCCCCTCCAATATCACTGATGCTTCCCCTATCAATAAGGATAGTATACCGTCGACCATGTAGCTTCGTTGGTACTTTCTGAGACTATATAGATATATCTCAGTGCCACCAGGCACACATGGTAGGAATTAGTACAAGACGGGTTGAAAAGCGCCTTAGCTTGAAGGTTGGATTGCAGACAACATGCGACACGATATTACCCACAGCGTGGGTTGAGTCCTCGGCCGTGACTATTATCCAAAAATATATTTACTATGTATGATACCTGCTCCACCCATAACCTGAGGCATAGTGAAGGCCGCCTACAAGTGGTGCATAAGTATACTCGGTCCGGAAAGGATACGTTGGTGAGGTGCCCTAACATGCTTGAATAACAGTAGAGTGATCGCGAAGAATGGGCTAGCAGCACCCCAACGAAAAGATTCGGAGAGATAAGGAGGTTGACTACGCATCGATACTGTCGAAGGTACTGTACGCTTACCGGAAACGAGGGTAGCGTTGTTGTGCTCTACTTGAAGAAACTAGGGGGTGGGTGTGCCTGGTATCCCCATTCCTTGTGACTCGAAAGCTCACTTGTCAGGCATGTTCCTTCGGTCGCGCAATAAAAAGAAATTAGGCTACATCCGCTCTGGAATGTTCGTAAGTATCAAAGGGGTGTGATGGGGACTTCGCTGTTGCATCTGGACAAGGGTGGATGGGATCTAGATTCCTGCCAACAACCAATAGAGCTAGCCTCCATGAAATGTTTTACGTTACATCATGCCACAGACAAACCACATAGCGTAGGATGGTATACTTTGCATACCTGGACTGGCAAGGGAGGTGGAGCTGTGACGGGCCGCCTGAAAATGTAACTGACACGACTAACGCATTTTGGTGTAGGCGTCGCATCCTCGTGAGGCCTGTACGTTAGGGGGCTCAGCTTCCCTGGTACATGATACCATAGGGTTCCTTGCCGGCTGCTCGAGTTCCCCTTGCAGATTGGGTGGTTTCTGAGGGGGCAGCTGAATAGGCCTCGTACGGGGGGCGTCGAAAGAATGATCTTCCATAAATTTAAGTCCAACCTTGCGCAGACGAGGTTTCCAATGGTCAGCCCGAATCTACTGCTGAACTGGGCCATCCACTTACCTTATAGCTTTTACTTTTATTCTTTTTTCTGTTCCTTCTCCCTTCCCCCAATCCATTTGGGAATTCATCGCCGCTAGGGTTAAGTTCCGATTCGACACAGACGGAGCAAAGATGGACGACAAAACCAAGCCAACGCCGACGATATTCCCCCGGTTGAGCAAAACGGGTGATATCAGCCCAATGAACACAGTAACTCGCCAGGATGTCTCTACCCAAATACAGTTTCAGGCCGACGTTCCGCTGAGCGACAGGCAACGGATCGTGACAGTCTGCTGGGCCACGCTACTCGGACTATATACCGAAAACCGAAATGTCGTATTCGGCGTTGCGCAGACCGGGGCGAACCAGGATGGGGGAGATGATTATATGGCATCCCCCATAGTCCGCGTCGAGCATTGGATTCTGGCTGTGGATGCTGGGAGTAGGGTGCTTGATTGCGTAGGCGAAGACTTCCACCAGAAGTGGTTGAGTGAGCCGATAGAGTTCAACACGGCTGTAAGTTTTCAGGGACAGCCTTCGAAGGATGACAACGTCCTCGACAAGAGTGACACAATGTTGCTCTCTACGACCGACGTGGCTGTCATATATCCCGCCGAATCGGCGGAGTGGGGATCATCAGAGCGTCTGATCCTTCGGTACAACCCTTCCTTTATATGCCGAAAGTATGGAACGGCAATCATCAAAACACTGGCCTCAATGGTGGAACTGGTCGCACAGTGTCCGAAAACAACAGTGGACGATCTGGATCTGCTAGGCCCACACTTCATTCGGACAATCACAAACTGGAACCATATAGGCGCTCTTTACCAGCCTGCAGAGCGGATAGATACACTAATAGCGCGTCAGTGCGCTGCTCGGCCGGACTCGGTGGCCATGATAGGACCTGAAGGGTCTATCACCTATGGGGAAGTTTATCGACGGGCAGAATCTGTCCGAAGAGCGCTTCAACGACTTGGGGTCGGCGCTGGTGACGCGGTGCCCCTTTGCTTCGAAAAGTCTATTTGGACCGGAATCGCGATGCTGGGCGTCCTAAGAGCGGGCGCTGCTTTTGTCTTGATAGATCCTTCCCACCCTTTTGCGCGGCTGGAAGATATGTGTCGGGATATTCAGCCAAAGGTCGTCGTCACCTCCGCGCTTCAATGTTCTCTGGCGAAGAGACTGGGGGCTCCCTTACTGGTTCTCCCTATCAGCCTGGAGCCTACATCGCTGCCTCATGCGAATGGCACCATTATAGAACCCGAAACAGCTCCGCATGATCCAGCCTATATCGCGTACACATCTGGCTCAACGGGACGCCCGAAGGGGATAATTGTCGAACACGCCGCCTTTTGCGCGAACGCAATCATGAGCAGCAGATTCCAGGGTCTGGATATGCAGTCCCGCGTCCTGCAATTTGCCTCCTACGCCTTTGACATCAGTATCCAGGAATTGCTCACGACCCTGATTGTTGGGGGCTGCGTATGCATTCCGTCGGAGGAGCAGCGTCTCGGCAACATTGCTGATATTATCAATCAACTCGATGTCAACTGGGTAGAATTGACGCCCTCCGTTGCGCGGTTATTACCCCGGGACCGATGTCCATCGATTCAAACGCTCGTTCTGGGAGGCGAGCCCATGACACCCTCGGATATCGAGTACTGGTCTGAGCACGTCCACCTAGTCAATGCGTATGGGCCGGCAGAATGCAGCGTCGTTACAACGATTCAGGCAGAGGTACGCGCCTCAGATCCGACGAACATAGGGAGGAGTTATAGTGGGACGTGCTGGGTTGTGAACCCGGAAAACTACCACCAACTCGCGCCTATCGGGGCCATCGGAGAGCTCCTGGTGGGCGGGCCTATTGTGGGACGGGGTTACTTGAATCGGCCAGCAGAGAAGCGGTTCGTGACGAGTCCACGCTGGGCCTCAGCCTTCAACGTAGGCGGCGACCAAAGATTCTATCTGACCGGTGACATGGTGCAGTACGGGCCAGACGGCTCACTGCGGTATATCGGACGGCGAGATACGGAGGTGAAGATTTCTGGGCAGAGGATCGACCTCAGGGAGATTGAATGCCAGGTCAGCGCCATCCAAGCCGGATTGCCCACGGTTGCGGACGTCCTCGGCGTTTCTGCGGGTGATGACCATGCTGCACAGTCGATTGCGCTGTATCTCGCAGAGCCAGGAACGACCAACTACTCGGACTCTTCGTCGTCTGCACAACTAGACCCTGACAACACGAATCTTGTGCAGCTGGGGCTGGAGATTCGCGCCGGGCTCCAGAGAGCTCTGCCCTCCTACATGATCCCCTCGTTTTACATCCCGATCACGAAGATCCCCTTATCGCCCACAGGTAAGCTGGACCGGCGAATGCTAAAGGTATTGGGCGAGTCTTACATCCAATTCACAATCGACCAGGCAACTAGCTTCTCCGAGCTTCTGCCCGGTGGTCAGCAGAACAGTGGCGAGATCGTTTTCCAGGGACTCTTCGCCGAACTACTCGGACGCCCAGCAAAGACAATTAAAACCGACGAGAGCTTCTTTCACCTGGGTGGATCATCGGTCACGGCGATTAAGCTCGCGTCCAAGGCTCGGGAGATTGGAATTTCCATCACCGCCGGTGATGTCTTTACGCTTCAGACTTGCGCGGCGCTGGGTGAGCTGGCATTGATGACACCGACCATTCCATCAACACGCGCTATCACACCTGCCTCATCCAGCAGTGGTGAGGGCGAGGATACGCTTATCCCTATGCTGGGTTCCTTAAAGCTTGATTGTGACGTACCGCCAGACATCATCGAGGAGATCCTTCCTTGTACACCGATGCAAGAAGCGCTCATCGCCCTCGCGTTACAGCAAAGCAACTCTATGGCAGGCCGCTTCGTGTTCAAGATCTCGCCGTCGGTGCCTCTCGAGCGATTTCAGCAAGCATGGGAGATGGTTGTACGGGCCAACCCCATTTTGCGAACCAGGATAGTGGAAGACCAATGTGGAAGGCTTCGCCAGATCGTCTCGAACGAAACCATCCATTGGGTAGTCGAAACAGATCTTAGCAAGGTTGAAGAAAAGTTAAACGCCAATCGAGATCCAATAAGGAAGCCATTGGCGCAATTTGCCCTCATCACTCAACAGTCATCACCGATGCTTGTTCTCGACATGCACCACGCAATCTTCGACGGATGGAGCTTCCTGCAACTCCTCGAGGACGTGAACAAGGCATATGCTGGGAACCAGTTGCCCCCCGCCCCGTCATTCGATTCATTCATCCAGTACATTTCAAGCGTGGACTTGGATGTAGCCTCTACGTTTTGGACATCGACGTTCAAGGACCTCAGAGCCAGCCCATATCCCTCAATGCCAGAAGGCAGCCGGGCCTCAGGTTCGTTCCGTCACGCGTCTCGTCGGATCGCCCTGCCCGCGCAGGCCACTGGTCATTATATGCACCACAGAGTCCCCTCCATGCTAAAGCTAGCCTGGGCACTTGTCGTGTCCGCGCAAACAAGCTGTACTGACGTCGTCATTGGCGTGGTGGAGAGCGGCCGCCACGCGCCTGTTCGGGGGATTGACCGAATTACTGGACCAACCATTGCGACGTTGCCGCTGCGAGTTGACCTCCAACTGGACATGTCCATTGATGGAATGTTAGGCGCCATCGCGGCCCAGTCGATCGCCTCGGTGCCCTATCAGCACATCGGTATGCAGCGGATTCGCACGTTTAGTCCCGAAGCGGCGCTGGCCTGCAACTTTCAGAACCTTTTAATCATTCAACCGCAGTCTATGGCCATTGAGTCGGAGCTTATGCAGAGCGTGTCGAGTAATCATGAGGAGATTCGCAACTTCTGCTCCCATGCGTTGACCATCATTGCAGAGCCAGACCAGCACGGCTCCATCAACCTCGTTGCGTTCTTTGATGCCGCAGTTCTCTCCTTGCAACAGGCCAACAGCCTTTTAGATCACCTGGAGTCCATACTAGATGTTGTGTCTCGGCACCCCGAGAACAAAGTCGGTCAAATCCAGTTATGTACAGACAGCGAGCGCGCGGAGATCGAGCAGTGGAACCAACAAGCCTGTTTTACCGGCGAACCTAAATGTGCGGTCCATACAATCCTCGATAACTGCAGGCTGCAGCCGCGGGCGCAGGCCGTACGCTCGTGGGACGGAGGCTTTACGTATGGAGAGCTCCTGACACACGCCTGCTCGCTTACGCTGCGCCTCCAGGGGTATGGGGTCGGTACAGAGACCATCATACCCATTTGCATGGAGCGATCGAAGTGGCAGTCTGTTGCTGCTGTCGCCGTAATGATGGCAGGAGGGGCTTTTGCTATGCTTGAGCCTACCTTTCCTGTCGAGAGGCTGAGGAATATTTGCGATCAGATCCACCCTCCCTTAATTTTGACGACAGCGGAACAAAGTGATCTGTGCGGAAGACTTGTGGAGAGAGTTATCGATCTGAGTCAAACACAAGCCTGTATGGTGGGAGAAACCAGTTATCACGCACACAATCCCATCATCGCCCCTTCCCACGCGATGTACGTGGCTTTCACATCCGGGTCAACAGGGGCACCTAAGGGCGTAATTATAGAGCACGGGATGTTCCACGCCTCCTTCCAGGGTTACAGCACGAGGATGTCTCTGACTCAGCACTCGCGCGTCCTATTCTTTGCGTCGCCTGCCTTCGATATCTCCGTCATGGAACTCCTATACCCTCTCGTGGTTGGGGGCTGTGTCTGTATCCCCTCCGAGACAGAGCGTATATCCGACCTTGCCGGCGTCATCAATCGCCTAGAGGTGGATACTCTTATCCTGACGCCGTCCGTTATCCGCCTGCTGTCGCCAACCGACATAACCGGTGTCCGCACAGTCCTCCTCCTGGGCGAGTCAATGTCCGCGTCTGATGTCAAGACATGGTCGAGCGCCGTTCGGCTCATCTGTGGGTACGGGCCTGCGGAGTGCACATTGCTCAGCACGATTACAGATCATCTCAAGCCATCTGCCAATCCGTTCGATATTGGCAAGCCCGTCGCGGGTACGTGTTGGGTTGTTAGCCCCGAAAACCACAACCAGCTCATGCCGCTTGGTGCCGTCGGGGAGTTGGTTATTGGAGGGCCGATTGTGGGCAGAGGATACCTAAATCGACCTGAAGAGACAGACTCCGTGTTCATTCAAGACCTCCTGTGGTCCGTCGGTGGACATGTTCGTGGAGGTGGCCGAACCTCTGCCAGCAGCGCGGGACAACGGTTCTATAAATCCGGAGATCTCGTTCGATACGTGAAGGGTGGCCATACCCTTGAGTACCTTGGACGTAAGGACATGCAAGTGAAGCTGCAAGGGCAGCGCATTGAGCTCGCCGAGATCGAGTATCAGGCGGAGAAGGCGATTGACCGGGTCATGGCGATTGCCGATGTGGTAAAGACGCAGGGTCTGGGTGGACCCAAGCTGCTTCTGTTCATTTATTGCAAGGCAAGGCCGGCTGCAGATTACCACACCAACGGAACAGGCGAAGATGACGATTTGTTTCTCCCTAGTTCGCCGGAGAGCAATGCGACCAATGCTGCTCTACGAGACCACCTCCTCCGTGCCCTACCGCGGTACATGATCCCCCACGCAATTATCCCCTTGGGCTTCGTGCCACTTTCACCAAGCGGAAAGGCAAACCGCAAGCTGCTGCGCAGCAAAGCGTCCAAGCTGGGGAGGGACTACCTCGAGTCACTGGGGGGTAAGAAATGCGAAGAGAAGCGGATGCCTGCAACCGATGCAGAGCGACTCCTCTGCAACGTTTTCGCGGACACCCTCGGGCTGGACCCTGGCTTGGTGAGCCTAGACGACAGGTTCTTCTCGCTTGGAGGCGACTCTGTCTCCGCGATGCAGCTTCTTGCGGGGCTGAGAAAACAGGGCTTCTTTATAGGGATGGCGGACTTCCTGGAGAGGGACACTCCCGCACTAGTACTGAAGAAAGCTCTAGAAGGACCGAAGGGGTCGGCAAAGACTTCCCAGAGGGAGGATTTAGAGATCAAGACCGCAATTGTCGAGAACCTGCCCCTGATACAGCGTCTAGCATCCTCGTGGTTCGGGGGAAAGGGGTATGACAGGGTAGAGGATGTCTATCCCTGCTCAAATGCCCACGAGGGACTTATCCAGGGCCAAACGGGGCGAGCTGCGGACCACAAACTTTGTCTCCTTTTGGAGGTAAAGAATACGTCCGGACGCAGACTTGATCCTTATAGCGTGGCCAGTGCATGGCGTCAGCTCGTATGCCGCCACTCAGTCCTGAGAAGCACCGTTGTCGAGTTGCCACAGCCACACAGCGAATCGCCCAGTTACATGTTCGTAGTCATCAAGCAGCCGGAGCAATCCATCCCAGTTTGTCAACTCAGTCATAGCGACGATCATCTACAAGATTCAACATTGTGCCTCGACAGTGTGGTTTCGAGGCTGCGAGGTTTAAGGTCTCCACAGCAAGACAGTCAATTCCCGGCAAATGTCTCATTCGCCGTTCTTGCTACCCATGACGGCCGTGTATTCTGCAAGATCGAGGCGAGGCAATGTCTTCTAGATGCGACTTCCATCTCTCAGCTGCTGAAAGAGCTCGCGTTGGCTGTTGAGGGGGATTTACCGGCTGGTGCTGGCCCACAGTACGGCCAGTATATATCCTATCTGAGAGACCAACAACAGCAAGACGGGCTTTGGCAGTACTGGAAGCCAGCTATGGCTCGAGCGCGTCCTTGCGTTCTTGAGAGCATGCTCACCAGCGACTCAACCGCAAAACATCGACAGCTCCGGCTTCTCCAGAAAGAGCTCCCAGACCCGGAGTCTCTGCACAGGTACTGCTCGGCGCACGAGTTAACCCTAACAAACATCTTCCAGGTAGCCTGGGGAATGGTACTGAGGGAATACACGAGTTCTGACTCCGTCTGCTTCGGGGCCCTACTCTCGGGCCGCGATATCCCCTTGCTACATAGCCTCGAAGTTATCGGCCCGCTTTTCAATCTCGTTCCATGCCTTCTTGACTTTAAACCACCCGGGTCGGGATCTATGTCTGATGTTCTTCGGGCGAACCAAACGGAGATGAAACAACGTGTGAAATACCAACACTGCTCACTACTGGATATTCTTCCTCCTCTGCAATCTAGTGCCAACAGCGGCAATGCCCGAGACCCCTTTTTCAATACCTGTCTTTCCGTGCACGCGGCGTTTTCGGAGCAGATACCACCCGCGACAACGTCTAACAGCGGACGCAAGGTGACCATTGAGACTATCTTTGAGGATGATCCAAGCGAGGTACGTACCGCAACCCCAGCCTAGCACTGAAATTCTATACATGCCCACTGTGGTCCATTATGGGGGACACCCGCTAACTTGTGAGTCTCACCAGTACGACGTATATATAGCTGTACTCCTCTCGTCTCAAGGCTGCGAGGTCAATATCCGAACCTGGGATTCATTCTGTACGGAGGATCAGGCAATGGAGATACTTGACTTGTTTATTGTTTCAGTGGCGAGGTTGGTGTCTGTTCCATGAGATTAGGAGTTCGGTGAATGAAAAGAAGTGAAGAACAAGTCAAGAAAGCTGATCCATTTGGAAGCCAAAGTACGTTGTAACCAAGTTCCAATTTTATGCTGTTTTTTTATATGTAAAGAACTATAACTTAGTTGTTTTTAGGTTACTAGATATCCTTGAACTAAAGTTTAATGGTTTCAGGGCCTCTCAGAGGCTTCAGTTGAGCGAGGTCCACCTCGCACACCGCAACAGTTATTGACTTTTAAACCCCACCAAATCCCGCATTAAATCTTTGAATCTATACATCGTGATAGATGATATATGGCCTGGATTTCGATCTGGATACGTCAAAGCGGTGCCCTGTGCGCAGGAATGTATGCAAATGGAAAGAATATTGAGTTGGTCATTCCGGAGGGAGCACCGGTTCTGCCAACTGCTTTTAAGGAGAATCCGCATCTGGGAGAAAGTCTCGCGCGACTGCCAGCTCGATGGCACATGAAGCCGGATCCGGAAGAAATGGAACATCGCAATTCTGCTATCCCAACTCAGTGACACCCAACACGGTGTTCGGTCGATGAGGCGTTCTCTTGGCCTTGACTACTTCCGCATCCGGGGCCATGGATGATCGACGATCATTTGGTCTGCAGGATTGAAGCTAAAAGCGCAGAAGATTGAGATCCAACGTCGGCGGACCCGCTCATTAAACCTACTGAACGCCATGCATAAAGGTCGAGTGGTTATTTTGGTGGAGAAGATCCAGATGGCGACGGCGATCAAAATGAGCGGGTCACAAATAAGTCTTGGATGAGTTTTTTGATTGCACCTGGGTTGAAAGAGATAGAAAGAGGTTTTGCATGGCATGGAGTCATTGCAACAATTCACGCTCTGCCACCAACCATGCCAGATGCTGGACGGCTGTAATAATAGCATCCGTTATTGACTTTACAGACGCATCGCGAAGTATTGAGTTGCGGCAATTTGCTCCAATCAAGCGCTCATAGAGGCTGGATTCCGATACCCAAGAGTCTGTATCGGCAGTGACCGAAACAACCCCGGAGGCGTGGTGGGTATCTTCAGCTGCAGTAGCCCACTTGATGTCAAAATGATGCCAGATAGTTTTCCATGAGCCTCAGCCTTGTACTTTGGGTCCACTGCATGGCCGTACACTTATTACTCTCCTCCTTCGAGTGCTACTGGTCCAAATTCAAGGTTGAGGGAAATACACAACATATTCCTACTGAGCAAGCAGCATAGCAGCCACGGCCTCTCCAAGAGCGTACATGGGAGCCTGGTAATGACCTGCGAGTGGCGCGGGAAGCACGCTCGCATCGCAAACTCGAAGATTCCGAACGCCCTTCACCCGACACTGAGTATCCACCACCGTCCCCATCGCCGCCGTACCTCCATTCTGGAAAAAGCTACTCCCCACAATCTGCACCCGTCGGTCGAGGTCCGCATCACTGCTTGCACTAGTGAGGGGCTCACAGCCCGGCGGCGGTGTCTCGCCGTCGATAACCTCCCTGGCCGAATCGGTTTCCATAACGCGCAAGGCGACTCGCATACCCGTGCGTATCGCGGCACGATCCGTCTCGGTGTCGAGATATCTCGGGTCCAGTACTGGATCCGTAGCGGGATCGGCACTTGCGAGTGTGATACTGCCTCGACTGGTTGGAAGGAGAAGAACCACGGGGCTGCTGATGTGGTTTCCGTCCACCGGGACACGGAATTCAGAACCACCACCGGCGATGGGTGCGTAGGCGACCATCACTTCGACATTGCCGCGGGGTTCCTGGAGGTATGGGTCTGCTGGGTCCATTTGGTCCTTCTGGGCGGCCTTGATGAGCTCCGCGTGTGGCGTAGGAACCGTTGCAACCCATTCCATAGGGTTGCCGTGCCGAAACTCGGGCTTGGTGAAGAGCGGAGAGCCAAGTGCGTATCCCTTCTCCGGGTTTCGTAGCTTCCAGAAGAAGGTCGCCGAGATCTTATCGTGGTAGTTTTCTCCCACAGGGAGATCGGCGATGGTGGGGATGTTGTGCTCTGCGAGGTGCTGCTGGGGTCCAATGCCGGATAGCATCAGCAACTGAGGTGTTTTGAGAGCACCACACGTAACAAGGACTTCTCTCGTCGCCGTGTACTGGGTCCCGTCGGTCAGCGTGATGCCGGTAGCCGTCTTGGAGTCGTCGAAATCCAGCCGTGCGATGACGGAGTTCGTCAGTACCGTTGCTTTGGACAGATCGTAGGCTTTGCTGGCTGGTTGTCGGAGAGCATTCTTCCAATTCTCTGTGAAGGGTCCAAAGCCCAGAGGATTGCCGCCGTTGGCATCGGGGTTGTATTCCAGACCCGCAGCAAGCAATGCCTGGCGGATCGGTTCTCGCAGGGGGTAGACACGAGCCCCAGCCGTGGTCGAAATCGGCCCATCGAACCCGTACTTTTCAGGGCTACCGGTCGGATCGTGGTGAGTCTGCGTCATCTTGAAAAACTTCAGCATATTCGCATAATCCCACCGCTCGTCTCCAACTGTCTTCGCCCAGGAGTCATAGTCGACGGAGTGACCTCGAGTCCACAGACCGTAGTTAATGCCACTAGAGCCCGACAGCAGTTTGCCGCCGTAGTTGGGAACCGAGCGATTGCCCAGTCCGGGCTGCTTGGTCGTCATCAAGTTGTATTCCCATTCGGTGCCATGGAGATGCGGCGCAGCGACGGGACTCATGATCTTGTCGTTGTAGTCCTCGGGACCGGCCTCGACGACCAGTACGCTGTGTCCAGCCTGGGAGAGGCGACTTGCGAGAACGCATCCCACGGTGCCACCTCCACAGATCACGTATTCGTAGGTCGGGCTCATCGTGTCGATTGGTTTGGAGGTCACTCTCTAGAGAACGAGACGGTATATTGTTTGGCCGTGTGGAACGAGCGATATGCGCGACATCCCACTTGGGACCATGTGGGATTTTATATCTTCATGGATCCGATGTACCAGCTTGGCTCTCAGGCATATTTCCCAAGTGGATAGATTCTAGTTAGTTGATTTCCTTTGCCCGAGAACTGGCCCCCAGTACACTAGTCCTTACTCCGCCACTCACTCGCGTTTAAAAACGGGGTTAAGCCAAATATCCGAAGGAAAACGAGGGATTTACAAACCTTTGGCAGGTTTCTGGGCCTACTCCCCTCTTGCTGATAAGCGGGAAGGAATAGATTTCACTTCGTCGGATTTTGAACGGCAGGTAGATTCCTTCTTCCAGGCGGCAGGCAGCCTTACCCGTGGACGTGGAGATCATTGTGGAGCAAAGGAGAACAGGCGCATAGGCGCCATAGAGCACTGACTATTCTAGCCTCGCAAGGATTGCAGTGCAGCTTTCCCCTTTGTCAGCTCACTGGCAGCCAGTGCATAGTCAACGAATAGAGGACAAGCGGTGAACGGGGCAATGGATTTGGTATTGTCTTAGTGATGCTGGATTGTATGAGCCTGCTACAATCTAGTGAGAACGCCGTTTTAGTCAAACAATATTTACTCTAGTTATGTTCATCGACAGCGCAAGAGTTGCGCTTCTCGGAATATGCAAATAGCACTCTTCGGCCAACGTCGACACCATGACCAGGAGCAAATCAAGGAAGAAATTGTACGAAAACGGCGCCAATAAGCTTTTTGAGAACGCTCTCGTCGAGCCCTTCCAGCCCGTAAGAGAACTGCACCCATTTGCCCTTACCCTCTCTCCGAACTCGATGCACGCGTTGCTGGACCTCCTTGGCAGTCTGCAGGGTCTCCCTAAACTGTTCCATTTCTTTACTCCGTCGATATTTGATCCGCTCCAGTTCGACGTCCCATGGCAGGTCGGTGTCTTCGGAACCATCTCGGATCGGAGAGTGAATGGATGTAGCCAGAGATCGAGAGGAAGAATATCCCGCCAGGCCAGAGGCTGGAAGCAGCTCGCTATCATCAATAGGCGGAAGCCAGCCAGGCCCAATTCTAACCTGTTCAATATTGCGCCACGAACCGTTCCACTCTGGCCCTGCAGTATGCGTTTCGCCGTTTGGCCCGACACTATCACAGCTCAGAGCGCCGAGCCACTCCCCACAACCTTCGAGGTCGAGCCATTTGAGACAGTACGTTGCGCGTGCGAGTCTCCGAAGAATCCCCGCAGCTTCGGCCCAGTCGTTATCCAACTGGAAGGTTGCACCCCTGGGTGTACTGTATGAGAGTGACCACACCCTGGAGGTTGGGGCAATGGCGTTCGGCGTAACGGTTGGGAGCGGCCAGTGGGCCAAGGATAGATGAGTGAGTGTCGACAGACGCGATAAGAGATTGATGAGTGAGTTCCAATTCGCAGCTGCTGGAGTCGGATGTGCCAGAGAAAGATAGCGCAGATTCTGAAAGCGGAGACCTAGACTGGGTGCCGGGGGGAGAGTCGCACCACGATCGTCGCGGGTGAACTCGCCACTGTCCTCGTCAGACTCCGCATCCCATGAAGACGGAACGGGCTCCTTTTTGTGCTGTTCAGGACCTGACCTTCGCGACACCACCAGCTCATGAGAAAGTCGATGAATGCTTATCCATCGGCCGATCGCGCAGCTCAAATCAAGTCGTACAACCTCGGATTCCTGCCGAAGTCGATCCATTTCGTCCTCTTCGTCCCGATTATCCAACGGTTCTTTCTCAAACAAAGGTCGCAGACCATGCACTATCCCTGCGATCGATTGGTCTCGCGCATAAATGCCCACGTAACTCAGGAGTAGCATCTTAATATGGCTGGGCAAGGTATCCAAGAATTGTCCGTCATATTGTATATGCCACGCCCAGTGGGAGGCCATGGATTTGAGCACCGTATGCAGGAGCGTACCCTTTTCAGGAATGGTTGTTCCTGGCAGGCGATCCAGACGGTAGATGATCCTTTCCGTTTGTGAGCTCTCCGAGGTCGCCATCTCGTCCTCTTCATCATTATCTCCCGCAGAGTTCCCCAGAATCCAGCTCTCCGGGGGTGGGGGCCCCGCCAGTCTTCTCAGCGGTCGCCCGCCGACTCCAGCGCGGCGAGTGCCCGGGCGAGGTCGAGGCGGAGGGGGCTCTGGCAGCTCTAGGACGCTTCGTAAGGACGGGTGCACTGATCGAGAGGCGATATGCCCGAATCGCGTTCTGGGACCATCTTCACCGGCCGGTCGGGTCACTTGGGTGCGCCGAAGATGGCTGATCAGATCGTTGACGGAGGACTCGGCGCCGGATGACGCCTGCGACGGTCGGAAGCGGTCATTGTGGCTACCTCGTGGGCCGGACGAGGCGAGCGTATGGTGAGCGCTGCTGGCGGGTTTTGCAAAGGAGTGGTTGTGATGCTTTTTGGGCATCGAGGATGGTGTGAAGAGGAAAGAGTGGGAAGACGACGGCGGAGGCGGGCGCGAAGTAATTAAGAGTCGGCGAGATTTAGCCCCCGCCACCAAGACCAGTGACTCACGACGAGGCTGAGACGATGGTTAATTATAAAGTAGGTAATCGATCGAGAAATTGTGTACAAATGGGTCTGCCTCTGACTAATATACAATCGTTCCAGGTCATAGATCTCGCACCCACGAATCGTCCTGCATCTTGCCTTCCCGCTTGGGGCCTTCCTGGATCCAAGTTTCCACCAGGCCTTCCTTGGGATCCTCATCGGTCAGTCCTCGAGACCGCCGCACGTCCAACACGAGATCTCGCACTTTCTTCGTGACCTCCTTGCGCAGTTCCACCGCCTCTCTCCCGTACAGCAGCTCGTCGCTCAACACCCCGACCGGTTGATCACGGGTTTCGGGCGCGGCCAACTCGGCCTTCGCCTTCAGTTCCTGCCATCGCTTCCTCGATTCGCCAAAAATGGCTTCAATGTCAACCTTCTCGCCAAACGTCACGCTGACTTCCTTTCCTGGCCGCGGGAGAAATCGCGGGAACTCGCGACTTTCGTGCATGATCTGATCGAACCCCTCTAGCCAGATCGGCACGACATCGGGGCATTCGGTAGCCTCCAGGATGAGTCGGGCCACGCCCCATTTGAAATAACGCATCGTCTTGTGGGGCGCCTGGTGAATCTTCCCCTCGGGGAAGATATGGAACCAGGAGTATGAGTTGCAGGCGTAGGCGGATGGCGCTAGGTGGGAGTCATGCCCATCCGTGGTGTAGGCCGTGGGAAGATCGGAAAACGGATCGACGCAGACATTCTGGATGCTCCAATGCTGGCGTTCGGGTCTCGCAGGGTGCGGTTCGACGGGGAAGGGGCCCTTGGATAGCAATCGGATAGCCTGCGTGACGGCGGGCTGTGCGATTCCACCGTAGGGCGAGTGCGCGAGTCGATGCGTAGGGAGGACCTGGCCCATGGTGAAGAACAAGGCCAGCGGTCTTCCGATAGCCCGTGGTCAGCCCCGATTACGCCACGCCACAACGAGGTCAACAGGGGATATACCGAGTCTGGTAGCAGATGTCGTGACTTCCAAATCCCCAGCGCTTGGTCCAATTCTGTAGCCCGAAGTTATATCGCAATGGAAGAAACCCCCACATGAGCGGATCGTCCATCCTGCTGGAGTCAGCGACCACGGTCAAGACACTCTCCTGCGTCGCGGATCGCATGTACGTACACGCTGGTGTGATTCGAGACTATCGACGACGCCTAAGTCAGCTCCGATGCTGTGATTGGGACAAACAACCCCGAGAACCATACCGGTCAGCAACCCCCTCGTTCGTTGCGACGGATCCTGCCGTGAATCCAGCACCTCCAGAAACGAGTCCAGCCCGTGAACCTGCGGACGACTGCACATGTACAGGAACGAACGACACAAGCCCGCGACGCCAAAGATGGTCGTCGCAGACATTGCCTGCCAGGGCAGCGAGGGAGAGTCCCCCGTTGCGCCGGAATCCGTAGCGCGGGACATGGTCGATCTATAGAAAATCCATTAAAAGAGAGAAGTCGCTCGAGGAAATCAATGCAAAGCACCTCCAATGGCGAAGGCGACGAGACACGCAGGCAAAAGAATCCCGCTGGAGAGCGCGAGAGAGCAGAAGCGGCGGGATTTTTGGCCGCGGAGGTGCACGGGCCACCGACGGGTTTTTCTCGTCTTCACCTCCGTTTCCTTTGCTCCGCCGCCTGGCTGCATCATCTCCCTCTCCCTCTCCCATCACCTCCGCCTGCCATCATGTTCAAGCCGTCGTCGCCCCTCTTTTCGGGTCTTCTTTGGTATGCCCCCTTCGTGATCCGCCCGCAGATTTCTGCTGCGCAGCCCGTCCAGAGCTACGACCCGTGCTAATCATCCCTTTACCCGCAACAGGAAGATCCCATGGCGCATCTCCTCCCCCCAGAAGGCTCGCCAGAGGAAGCGTTTGCGATCGGTCGATCGTGTCGTCGACACCGTCAGCGCCGCCCTTCAACGCAACGGAGAGACCACGAAGATGGTGGAGCGCTGGTACAAGGAGATGCCGCGCGAGGAGGAAATGCTGCCCAAGGACAAGTACACGATCTTCGATAAGAAGGAGAAGAAATACCGCAAGGGAATTCACAGTAGGTCCTCTGCAATTTGGGGTCTTACTTCGATGAAAGACCCTTGGACGACGGACACTGACAGATCTTCTTTACAGAGCTGCCGAAATGGACGCGAGTCAGCCAGCGAGTGAACCCCCCGGGTTTCTAATCGACTGTTACGGTTGAGAATCCTTCCCCACGGGCGATTATCGACGAAATCGACCCTGCGAGTAAATATTTGAATTGTTACTGTACGATACACTACACAGCGCATGTTGGCCACCCCTTCGACCAGGGAGTGTCGGAAATTCGAAACGGGGGGTATGCAGGGTTATTGGAGTTTCTTTTGGCAATTGGGCGAATCACAGCATGATTGCACTCGATTAATGTGACTTTATCTACAATGTTCATCCTTGGGGCTTGAGGCCACATCAGAAAGCGCTTTGCCCCTCAGACGAAAACCAAGAGAAAAACAAATCAAAAGTAATCCATCTGGTTTGCTCGGACAAGTGCGAAGATAAGATGGCGAAATGAATGCAATAGAATCCGCAAACGAATGAACGTGACCTGGCGGCGACATGCAATAAGAATATGAGAGGCATTACCTGTTCCCAACATGAAGTAAATCCCCAAAGCCTGGCCTAGTTTCCGCTGACTGTACCCAGCTGCGACAAGTTATGTTCCTCCTGGATTCGAGTTGAACGGCTGTGAGAAAACTCCGGATTGTATCTTTCTAGAACATCGTGCAATACCATGGCCGATTTCTTTAACACGGCCCCGGTTAGCCCGACCTTCATGAATTGCCTTGTGAATGCGATACCCACGGCGGACTCTCTGCCAGTCCCTGAATGTTTCTTGCCACCCCGTTCCCCCTTCGTAATAGGTGTTTTCCTGCTTTTTGGAGACGCCAAACCCCTGCGGGGGCCTACGGAGGATCCAACATGCCGGGTCAACACTTCCATCCGGGGGTTCATCGTTGGAACTGTCGTATAACTCAACGACTTTGATGAAATCCGTTAGCCCCATATGCTGTCGATGCCGATTCATCGCCATTCTCCAGGAATTTATTCGAGGTTTGTAGACTGTGTTGCGATGTACTGGCGGGTACTTGGGCCTCGGTCCCCAGTCCGGCATCGGATAAGGCACATTAAATCGTGGGTCACCCTGTAGTCGTCTCGCTTCAATCGGAACCCGTGATGGAGGATCATACACAATCCAGGTTTTCTTGTTTAGCCAGTGGTTGGCAAGCATCGCGAAATGAAACGCTCTGCGTCCCGGACTAAGTTGATCTGAGAGCCAGTCGAGCCGTCGGTCCACACCGTCTATGAGTCTTATTTCCCAATCACTCATGCGCTTGATAGGTACCACTACCTGCGGAGCGATATACCTCCTGTTCATGTCAGATAACCTTTGTGTGCGAGCCATCTGCAGCCTCTTTTCGCTGGTCTGCTTTTGGGTCTTGCCGAGCTTTTTGACGGGTACGAAGAGGGCTTGTGATCCCGGACGCTTTGCAGTCCTCTCATGAAACTTCAAGGGGGCCATTTCAATCGTTGAGTAACGCGAGGATCGCGGGCTGGTGAACATGCGCACAGAGGGCCAGCTTCCGTCATCGGGGCCATCGTTTTGGTGGTGCATTAACTGAGCTCTTTCTCGGGGACGAGCTTTCCTGACGCTAGCTCGCAGAAACTCGCTTGACCCGGAAGAAATGCTCATGGTGATCGTTCCGCTTGCTCTGCGTGTGGATTCCAAACAAAAGGTTTGCTGCGAGGATAGACTTCTCAGAATCTCGGAACGAGGGCTTCCTGGGGGCGCAGGTGATCTGCCAATGCCGTATTCTAAATCTGCGGCAGTCTTGACCTGCATCCGGGCTGACCAAACCTGATATTTGCGAGAGCATCGGATGAACTCAGATCTTTCGGGCATCACCTTGGCGTGTTTCATGTCCGCACTATTCCGTGAGACTTGTGAGTACTCCTTCATCTTCTGTATGACCAATTCCGGTGTCAAAAGGCACGGGAGGGACTGCCAATATCTCATCGATTGCTCGTAGTCAGAGAAAAAGGTGACGGGGCATTTGCTTCTCATCAATGGGGACGATTGGTCCAACGAAAGAAAACGTCTACCAACGATTGATGCGGGAGTTTCGTCAGGCAGTCGCCTGCTTTTGTTCGCGGTACTGCGGCCGATAATCCTTCGCGCGTCGATTTCCATGATGATCCCGCCCGTTTCTAGGATTATAGACTCTTCGTGAATCGTCGGTGCGTTCTCGCCATGTTTCCATCGGGATACGCTATATGACTCCCTAGTCGCTACCCTGGTGATCTCGTGAGTCGGAAGAGCGCCCGACATTGTGAATGGCAAGCATGGCCCCGTTCTGTTGGTCAGGGACGGTATGCGAGAACAGGGACTCCAGATAGTATCGGCTGCGATGCATTCGTAGTCCTCAAAGCAAGCTGGTAGAAACCGCAGGGGTCCTTGTTTCTTGCGGCGACTTTTGGTTTCCTTCTGCCCCGGATCCCACCACACCCAGCTATAATCATCATTGGTCGAATTCCACGAAGTCCAATGCCGAAACCAGCGAAAGCACCTTTTGAATCGCGCCTTGTTGAGTTCATGCTGCCGCAATGGTATCCACCCGTACCAAGTCTTCGCATAGCGAGTGGCGGTGATATTTCCTCCCCCGAGCACTCGATCTTTAGTGAAACGCCGAAAGAACCTCCCCAGCCTCCAAAACAACACCGCGAGAAAGAAGATACAGATAGTCCCTGCAAACAGCTGCAGCAGGACCTTAAGACTGATGTATTTCGTGCCCGGCAAGGGAATGGCAGGAGCGCCTTTCGATGGACGGGGAACAGCTGGAGTGGGATTATGGGATTGCCGGGCAAAGATGGGTGCCATCTGATGAATGCCAAAAGATGTGGCCAGACGATAGTCATTCTGATAACAATAGGGGGCCTGGGAATGCAGGGCCGGGAGAGCCTGACGCTGCGCTGTTGATGCTGGACTTCCAACTTTCCCAGGCAGGCCACTGGGCACGTGCCCGCTCCTTCCATCTCTCGCCTTCAAATCACCGGACGCTCCTCATTCTTGCATCCTCCTGTCCACAAGCGACTATCGCTCCATCGATGACCGCCTTATTGTGTGCGCTTATTTGGAATATCACCTCTTGTCCCACCGAGGCCTGTGCCGATTCATGAGTCTCGCCTCACATCTCGTTTGCTCGCAAGAGATCGTCCATCCATTCATCTTTTTTCCCTGTCCGATGCGAAGACACACGATTCCCGGTTCCCCGACCATCCACACATCATAAACCCTAGTCAGTCAGGTCGGCTTGTGGCCCCGTGTACATACTTGGCCTGATTCAAGACTAGCGCAAAAGTCATGGCGCGTAGCCATCGAAGGTTACACCGTGCATGTTGAGGACTCTTGGACTGACCCCATCTGGCCACTAGTGTTTCGACGATAAGCACTCAATTGCATCCGATGAAGTCGTACTTTTGGCATGACTCCATTCATGCCGCGGAAACAGATGCCCGCGGGGTGGTGTTTCCCCATCCAGCATCATGTTGACGCAGGATGATAGCTACGCCGCCGAGATCAACAGCGGCCGTGCTCCACTCCGCTCGACGGAATTGTTATCGACGGTGATCGACTCAGCTAGAGACCTACCCCTCTCAACGGTCCAATGTGAACCCTGCGAAGCTGGTTGACGATGCGGGAGTCGTGCAGAATTCCCCGCATTGATGCATTTAATATACAATCGGATGGTGTCGACCCACCGTGGACCCCTGGCGGTTATACGTGGTACTCTCTGCAAATCACATCCTGTACAATTCGGATCACCACCGGTGCTGTGTCACAACTTTATCCTGGTCGCGCGGGGTATCCCTTTCCAAGCAGTCTAGATCATCGGAGCAATAGCTGTCTATGGTTACCTTTGGGCCACCCCTATGAGCCGAGTCCCTTCATTGCATGGGATTGCAAAGTGCTTGCGGAGCCAGAACAGGAAGGATCTTTCTCTCAGCACCCAGCATCTAATATGCAGGCTCTGGGTGTATTAAATTTATGTCGATGCTCCCGGTGGAGGTATAAAGACCGGCGTGTGTGCAGGGCTTCTGACGCTCTCAGGCCAATCTTCCCGTCACTTGTTCCTAGCTCCCAACCATTGTCATGGGTTCGATACCAGACATTAAGCTTCCATATCTTGGGCTCTCTTTACTTTGGGCTCCAGTGCTGGTAGGTTCCGATCCAACGCTTCTCTTCACCCCCTCGGTTCATGTACAGTTGGTCTTACTGCATGTTTAAATTTAGGCCATCACCTTTTTAATATGGCGGGGTATTTTCAACATCTATTTCCATCCCCTTAGCAAGTATCCCGGTCCCAGATTGGCGGCTCTCTCGCACTTCTGCCAGTCTTACTGGACCTTCACCGGAACCTTGCATTCCAAGCTCAAAGATCTTCACGACCAGTATGGAGAGGTTGTGCGCATAGGTCCTAACATGCTCGTATACCGCAATGCACAGGCATGGAAGAATATCTGCGGCCACCGCAAGTCTGGCGATGGGTCTTTTCTCAAAGATATGAACTTCTACATATCCCCCCCCAAGCGGTCCCATGCTGTTAGAAGCCGACGATGCCAATCATTCAAGGCAGAGGCGTCTTTTGGCCCATGCCTTTTCTGATCGCGCATTGAGGGAACAAGAACCAACTTTGCGATATTATGTGGACTTGCTAATGCGTCAGCTCAATGATTCTGCCGCCTCCAACGAGGCTGTCGACGTCACCAAATGGTTCAATTATATTACCTTCGATATTATCGGTGACCTGGCTTTCGGGGAGCCCTTCGCCTGCCTGAAGAACAAAGGCTACCATCCATGGGTCGCAAGTATCTTCCAGAACGCGAAGGGAGGGTGCCTAATGCGACCATTTCGCACGATGCTACCCTCGTCCCTTTTGAGTATTCTGATGCCGGCAAAGCTGACGCAAATGCGCGAGAAGCATCAACACTTTAGCCGAGAAAAGGTCAGAGAGCGCTTGAGCCGACAGACTACTCGGCCTGACTTCTGGACTTATGTCCTCAGGCACAACGACGAGAAAGGAATGACTGTCAATGAGATGGAGGCCAACGCAGACCTTCTGATTATCGCCGGCAGCGAGACAACGGCATCTGTGCTTTCAGGCTGCGTCTACTATCTGTTGAAGAACCCAGCTGTGCACCAGAAACTACTCTATGAGATCAGAGGGGCCTTTGATAAGGATGAGGACATTAACCTCATGTCTATTGGCAAGTTGTCTTATCTACATGCCGTTCTCGAAGAAAGCCTCCGCCTCTATCCCCCAGTGCCAGCCATTCTTCCCCGAAGAGTTCCCCAGGGAGGGGCATTGATCAACGGAGAATTTGTTCCCGAGCAAGTAAGATTTTCTTACGCAGTTTCCACCAACTGATATTAACAAATCCAATGAACAGACATCCGTATCGGTTGCATGGTACTCTTCCTTCCGCGCGAGCACAAACTTCACAGACCCAGATGCCTTCCTCCCAGAACGATGGCTTCTCGACAACAAGGATCCACGATTTGCGTCGGACAAGAAGGAGGTCCTGCAACCCTTTTCCTATGGGCCACGGAACTGTCTCGGAAAGAAGTAAGTTCTGAATTGCCTTTTTCTGGTAATTCAGCTCGATAGCTAATAAACGCTTGCAGTCTTGCCTACGCCGAAATGCGTCTAATCGCCACAAAGCTTCTGTGGAACTTTGACATGGCATTCGAGGAAGAGTGTGAGAGATGGGACGAGCAAAAGGCTTATAACATCTGGGAAAAGCCGCCTTTGAACGTGAAGCTGACCCCTGTGCATCACTGACAACGTGCGGGAAGAAATGGCCAATTTCGCTTGACTCTTTTCCCCAGGTCCTTTTTTCGCCTACATGTCAGTCTTGCATAGACGGATTGGGCGAATGGCTACGGAATGTCCATAATTGATTCAGTTATTGTTTCAGCTCTGATCACGTCCCCACTCCTACCCCTTGTCTTGTTGAAAGCGATTAATAGCCTCTTCGTTCGACTTAACTCAGATGATCTGACAGGATTGAGCTATTCCGCCTCACTCTTTCGCCTCATTGTTTTTGGCCTTCCGTACGGATATGATCCCAGTGTTCATACTTAACCAATTCCCCGCTACCCTTTCAATCACATAGTTTAGTCCTCGGATTGAACTCGAGTCTATGTAGCGTATAATTCGTATCCTGCGAAAGAGCTACCGAAGATAAGACTTCACACCCCTAGATAGCGCAGAATCATAGACCTGAACGGAAAGCCCGAAAGGGGGTTCCAGCCCCTGTCCAAAATTACATCATACCCACCACCCGGTACTGTCAACCACGCCGGCAAAAACGAGGCTTGCTCACGCGAGACGTCCAAACCCCATTAACGCCACATAATCCGTCGATCAACTTGGCTTGGCGGCGATAATGCAATCAATTTGAGCAGGTTTTCATCCCTAGGGCCAGGCGATGAAAAATGGATGGCCGACCATGCAATGAAAGTGCGGGATGCAGCCCTGCGATTCAATAGTCGAATCACCACCCAGCTAGGGATTTCCATTCATCAAGACCTGAGCTGTGGCACGGCCCGGGGCGGAATCGGATTCGGAATAGGGATGGCAAAGTGGGAATGCAAACAAAGGAAGGGCGCAGGGGACAAAGAAAAATCAAATCGCGCGTGGGGCAGAAGAGTCGATAGACAAATTGATAAAACCCCTAGAAGAGCAATAGAAACAATCTTGCTGTGGGGTATTTGATTCCCTCAAATGAAAGGTAGGCGTGGCTGGTATCTTTGCTGGTCGTTTGTACCCAATCTTGGAGGCCCGATGTTAGGGCTAGGGCTATATTTAGCACGGTGCGAGGGAATTGCTTTTTGTGATCCCCACGGCCTCGTAGGGGGATTGGTGTTGCCAATGAAAACAGTCGCTTCATGACGCGATCTGGTATTTCCTTGGATGCTGGGTTTGACGTCCTGTCCGGATCGACACGGTCTAGAATGCATGGCTCCTGACAAAACTGAGATTTGGCATCCGACTGGTTGCACAGACGGAAAAACAAGTCACTATGGCAGGTTCCCAGCTGCGATTGTAACGTTCACATCACCAGAAGTGATTGATCTAAAACAGAGACCTGTGCGGGTAGGTTATTTAGTCCTGTTTCCAATAAAGTGTTGCACCAGATGCTGTGTGATTGGATGTTTCGCAAAGGTGTTGCAAGTCTATAGAGCGCACGCATACGCAGAGTATTTTGCATGGAGGCTGACAAGGAAGACTGCTGTATCAGGTAGAAAAGAACTTCGTTCGTTTCAGTCCCTAGTCCCCACTCAGCCGACTGACAATATGGCTTGTGCCGAGGAGGCGCCACATTGAAACCGTAGGGCTTTCCAGACAGAAGGGATTGGATTAAATGAAAAGTACGTCTTCGGTGAGTCTTCAGCCCACCTTTACCCTCAGCTGAAGGGGTCGGGTTCAGAATCAAAGGGGCGGACCGACGGTTGTTTTTGCCACGAATTAAATGAAGTGCTGAATGACCTGAATCTGATCCTTTGGAGTCAAACATTCGACAGTCTATCCTGTGATAGGTAATGATTGCGAGTAAAGTGAACAAAAAGAAAAAAACCGATAGCACTTTGTCACTGACAAATCTGCGTGCCTCATGGAGGGTTTACAGGACTCGTATGCTAATTGCAACAAAACGGCGGAAAGTCAGTGCGTCGATAGGACGTACTCGTATTAGATCTATGAAATCCACTGGGGTGATAAGCGTCCGCATGTGAATTGTTCCACAAGTGTTTCGGATTCCTAAATCCAGAACAAATGCTGTCATTACTCAAATGGCGAAGATTGATATCGAATAACCGGGTATTGAGCGGTGTACACATTCAAGATGCGCTATTTTCTTCGGTAACACGGGTGTGGTAATTCCTGGAGGCAACTTGGAAGGGGAATAGCAGAGAATGAATGCACAGTGTGGAGAGATTGGCTTGAATCCCAACGAGTCGGATGACAGGGAAACCCTGATTCGGTTGACGCAATACGATCGCCCAGCAACCGCTGTGGCTGACAATAATTTGGGCCCTCGTCAGACGGTATGCCATGTCAGAAGGGCGAGGAAGTAAGGACAAGCCCGGAAAAGGGTCTGATAGTTCACCGCCACATCGGCACCGTTGATTATTTGCCTCAGCCACTCGGTGTGGCTCGTAGGGCCAATCAGAGCGGGTTCTTGTGACCACATACCGATGCTGAAGTATAGATCCGATCGATCTTGCATTTGCATTATAGAAAGGCCCATTCCAGACCAAAGTATAATAAACGAAAAAAGGGCCAAAGGGCAGTAGGTTTGCCGTCATTCGGCAGCAGTTCCGGGAAATGCAGTCTGGCTTTGCAAGGATCCGACCCACGGTTCCTTGCACTAGTATTGGCTAAAGGACTGGATACGCTGGTGATAGTCCAAGTCAAATGTACGAGAGTCGGTGTGATTGCGCTGTCGACGCACCTCCTTCCCCTTGAGATTGAGGATGCAGGAGGCTAATGGCTTTATCGGCATCCTTTCGGCCGAACAGATACTCTTATCGGCCCTGACAGCGACCATACATCCTTGCCTTGGAGTGATCGACAGTGGCTGCTGTAAGATCGTGCTTCGCGTGGATGAGGAACGGGACACCAGGAACCATGGTCCTACTGATGGGTGAAAGGAAAACCCGATCGATCATGCCGGGATCTAGACCTCACGATGATCGGGCGAAGGAGCCGACAACTCGATGGAGGTTAGATTCACGATAATTGTTTTGGGTTGACCCACCGCACGAACCTCGTGGAGCCCCAGAAGAAAGGAATCAAGAGATCTACCAGGAAGACTGCGCCAAAACTGGACGAAAGGAACATCTTCTAAATGGAAAGCAGAGATTTTCTTTCGCGGAACCAGGCAGCAGCGTTGTGTCGGGAGCAGCGGTTCCCAGGGAGCTGGTTCGCAGCATGTAGGAGACACCGAAAGAGGGAGAAGGAGAGGCTGAGGTGGAGATGCGAGATTGACAAGTGTGGCTGACCCAGGGGGATCTGTGGCGAAGTTCCTGCGGCTGGGGCCCTCCCGCCCCACCGCCTTTCCCTTTGGGGTTATCGAGTGTCTCCTTCTCTTCTCGCCATCGTCGCCATGTTTCCTTTTCTCCCTTTCTCAACCCTTTCTTTTTGCACCCCACCGGTGGATCTGCCGTCTGTTGACAGACAATTGCATCTCTGCATCAGGAAGTACCCGTTCGACCGCGTCTCCAATCTGCAGCACTGACCACCTTACCTGGCCCCAAGGAATGCCGCGAGTCACTGGAAATGTGACCCGGATGATCCCGTGAGCTCATCAGGTCGTTCCCTTCTAGTGAGGTCAATCAGCCCTTCCCGGCTCTGACGGGGGGATCCCTGCTACCATGGCGGAACACGTTTCGGATCGGGCAAAACGTGGTCCCCAGCATTTGGCGACCAGGTACTGGGGTCGACGTCTGATCGGCGTTTGCTCTCGGGATTGCGACTTAGCTTCTCGGGTCTCGACTGGGAATATGTTGCGACCAAGGAATGTGCGAGTGGCTGCATGCGCATGTCACCCCTCTTTGCGGACCTCGAACTAGATCTTAGGGGACGATCTCTGCATGCAAGGGGACGAATGGAGAGAGAGGAGAGGCGTACGACCCATTCCTGATTTGATCCAAGAAAGTCCGGGAAACTCTACCGCTCCTGCGCGCAGCCTAGCTTCCCTCGTATGGGAATCGCGAGTTGGCGGGCGAGAACAAACCTGTAGTGGCCGAAAAAGCGACACGAAGACCAGAGGAGCTGCCGAAGCAATCCAATTGCTCGCAACACTTCTGGTACAATCTTACGGCCAAGGTTACTAGATTAAGCTCCCAGCCAGATTCGCCCAGAATGCAGCGTCCCTGAGACAAATCTGACGTCTCATTTTGCAGTTCGAATTAAACTTCCGGGGATTGCAAACGCGATCTCTTGGTAGCCATCGAGCTGCAGGGAAATTCCCCACACGGCCCTGATTGACGCGTATAAAACCAGCAATTCAAGACAGACGAACAAACAAGAAAAAGAAAGAAAAAAGCAAATAATGAAACAAAAAAACTAGTTTAAACTCTCCTTTCAATTGATCGAATCCACTTGCGGGTCCCTCCCATGCAAACGCCCTTGTTGCAGGATCGTGCAGCTCCCATCTGTACCCAACGTCAGAAGACCATAGAATGACCGACATGTTCGCAACATAAGTACGATGAATGCAGATCCGTAGGATTTCGCCGTTGAAGATCTATCGATAATAGTTTTTGCTTCGGTGGTGGCAAAAAAAAAAAAAAAAAAAAAAAAAAAAAAAAAAAAAAAAAAAAAAAAAAAAAAAGAAAAGAAAAAAAAAAGAAAAAGGTTACCTGCCTTTGAGTGTTACCTTGGTTCAGATTGCGACTACCTCAACAAGCTTCCCATGATGCGGTGACTTCTGGGAGTCAGGTATATGAAGGCATGGCCATCGCTGATTCTATCTCGACTGCATCTTTCTCCAGCCCATCATTCGTTACTGCTCTTTTCTTTGGAGGCCTCAATCTCTCATAAGCCCATTTTCTTGAGTTTCTTCGTTTGCACTGCAACACGACTATTTATCTATCTTACATCTCCCCATTTGTTCCAACTCTCAGCAACGCCATAATGGTCCAAGGTGCTACAAGAGCAGACTCTGGCGGTTCGAGTCGCGAATACGGCATGACGTTCGAGATCTCACCCCCGACTGCCGTACGCCCCGGGACACCGTTCACCCTGCCGGTCATTGTTGCTGTTCGTCCCGTCGGCAGCACAAGAGTCAGCCCTGGTCAACAATTGGTCGTGAACATCTCACTGCGAAACGAGGCTGGGACGGCGGCCGTTCCGGGGCTCATTGGAACCCTGACTTCGAGCGTGCGCAGTCGCAATGGGAACACGAACAATGGCTACGGGCGGTTCAGCCCCCTGACCATCACGCAGCCCGGACGGTACAGGCTACGGGTGATGCTGGGAGCAGCCACTGCCAGTGGAGTCACCACGCGAGAATATGTGGACTCGGGGGTCATCCACGTGCACGGGGGGGCTGCGCCCTCTCAGCGTCCAGGTACATCGCTCATTAACCTCATATGAGCCCCATCACTTGCTGGCAAAAGCTAACAATTCCACAGCCCCGTCGCAAGTATCCAAACTCGAAAGCCTCATCCCCGAAAACATCGACATCTCAGCGGCGGAAATCGCAGCCTGGCAGCGCGCATAGAATCCGATCAATGGTTTATACAGCGGAGGAGTTATCGTTACGGTTTGTTATTGTTTAGAGTTGATCTCAGCGAGGCCACGATGCCACGATTGCGAAGATTATTCATGGTTGAACTCTGGAGTCAAAAGGACGAGCAGACGGGGGATGGGACTGAATCTGCCATGTTAGTCTGGATACTACAAAACGCCAGTTTTAATGCCTTAATAAGAGTTTTACTTTCGTCATACACTTGTAACCTGAGGGATGGCTCACCTTCGATCATCTTATGGGTCATAGCCGAGTAGAAAGGTGAGAAGTTGTATTCAGGCGATGGCTCGAGAGCCTGTTCACTATTCAAAAAGATTCGGCTACTTGCATAACTGAGAAAATATACATGCCCGTCTCACCGCAGACCCGCCTTTCGTGAAGAGCATTGGCCAGGGAATAATCCTTATGCATAATATTTGTGATTTAATGCCGAAAAGCTACGATGCAGAACGATTCAGGCACCAACTCAAAAAATATTTGCCCAATTACTCTACGTCAATATTGACCGGATATAAAATATGCATCAAGCATCTTTCATTGAGACCTAAACTCTGCGATAGAAACGAGAATATTCATAAGACATAAACCGCAAATCTGTTGATAAAAGAAAAAGTCATAAATCATGATACACATCACTGATGGCCCGGCATCTCTGCCGTTCGGCAACTGTGCCGATGATCGCTATTTCAGCTAGAGTGCTTGGGTACCAGGCCATGGAAATGACATCTGTAAGATTGAGCGCAGGGATAAGCGTAGACGCTGTAGCTCCGTCGAGCTTAATCCTAAGTGCGTCATAAAAGCCCATGGTCGCTTCCGTAGGGCCGTGTCTGTCTGGAAAAACAGACCCAGCGTGAGGTAGATAGATGAGAGCCGACAGTTGACAGCCAGTCAAAGGCTCCGAGGGAATAAAAGCCGACAAACTCGAAGATCCGAATGGTTCAAGTGAGGGTAGAAAAAAAAGCTAATCCGCTCAACTTGGTTGAGCGGAAGACCAAGGAATTCAGCTCTTATCGCCGAATTCGCGCAGCTTCTCAACGCCGTCACGGACCGTGTCTCTCAGACTGAACCCCCCAAACAGCCAGTCATTGGAGTGGCGGCCATAATGATTAACCGTGCCGCTGTAGCGCCGGTAGTCGTCACCGCTGCGACGCGGAGAGTAGGTGTAGGAACCGGAGACGCGCTTCTGGGCCGTCACGGACGGGTCCTGGCTCTGAGCGGGAGACATTGGGCGCGGACTGGTAGATCTCCGGGCAGAATATTCAGTAGAGGGATGACTGCGCGGAATGTCGAGGGTTTCGGCGCGGTGACGAGTCCTGGACCGAGGGACGTCCAGAGGCAGGTCGGTGGGGGTGGGAGAGTCGGAGCGAGCGCGCGAGCGAGAGACGGAGCGCGAGGGGAAGAACTTGCCGCTGGCGCTGAGGGACAGTTTGTGTTTTTTGGGAGGTGGGGAGGAGGACGAGGTGGTGGAAGTGGTGGTGTAAGAGAGAGGCACTCCTTCCTGCGAGAGACGAGGGTTCTGGTCACTCATTTATTGATAGATAGATTGGCGTGAGTAGTAGAGAGATTGTCGGATGGTTTTAATCTAGGATAGAAGATAGTCAGAAGATGGAAACCATCCAGAAGACCGGGGCGGTCCGCCCTATTTATAACCCGACATCCCCATGATCAACAGTCAAGCACCTCCGGTGAAACCTATCAGGAACGCCCGTCTCATCAAGCGGACGAATGAGCAGCTGCCAGCAGACTCCATCGGTAGGGCTCGTCGGGCGGTGACTCAGCAACCAGTGGATCCTCGGGCGGTCTGCGACCCCGCATTGGCTCCACTCCGCCTGCCCTACGAGAGGCTCAGACCAATCACGTTGCAGCGGCCCCCAGCTGGACCCATCAGGAGGCTCGAAGTTCACCGCTGCCTGGTCCTTCAGGTGTCACCGTTATGCGGCTGCCTGAGGACGTGTCATTTCTCTTTTCCCGTGTCTCGCAGTCTGTCGTCCTGTTTGTACGAGACTCCCTTGCCCGACAGAGAGAATTTCAGGACAACAAAAGAGGAGATAGAAAGCGCCCGACCAGACCATCTTCTAGTGCCCTTCCAGAATGCAGACTAGCCCCAACCCAGTAATTGCCAGCCAAGGCAGGCTTGGCCCCCACGAAACGACCGACATGATTTGCTCCCCGAAGAGACACAACAGGAATGATGCTGCTGACGACGTGCCGAGGAGCTGAACGGACTCCGTGCTCTGGTCCACCAGCATGTCCTGGTCAGACATAACATTCTTCCCGGGGAATGTTGCCCGGCTGTACGGAGTATTATGCTGTAGGTAGATTCCACGGTCTAGGTCCTTTACAATTACCGGGCTCACCACACTTCGAACACCCAGGAGGAAACCGAAGAAAAACAGGAGAAACTTGCCCAGTGCCGAGATGCGCAAAAGTTACCCGTTTGAGGTTGAGGTTTGCCCGGTGATATCATAGCGTCGTTTAGCGCCGTCCGTCGGCACGGGAGTTCCGTGGAGGTTCGGAGATCGCTTTCGGTCGCATCCCGCGATTAGATCGAAACAAATGGCGGGTAGGAGACATAAAATCGAATGATGGCTGTCTCCGGATCCAGGGGTACAGCTGATGGGTTTTGCTGCGGTGTTGGTTCATGCGCCAGCCCTACAGAGGACTCCCGGGCCACGGTTTGCCAATTTGGCGGATGACTGACGATTGCAGGTGATCATCCTGCAGCCTTGGTCATGTTTCTATTCCTGTCATTCTACCGCGACACAAGTCATACGCCATTGTAATAAGTAAATAAACAAGATAACAGACATTAAACAATAGGTACTGGTTTATCTTGTCTCTTTTTCAGTTTCTCCGTTTTTATGCATTTTCCATTTTGGCGACCCAGTGTTGAAATGTCACCGCCAATATAAACAAACGCCATCCATTCTACCGACATGCCGCCTTGCTCGCAATGCTAGAATGACACAAAAGTCCAATCCATTAAATCCAATAACCGTAACGTCATAACGCAGCAGATCAATATCACAATAATCAGGTGAGATACGCAGAAAGTCCAGCGGCCAGAGCGATCATTCCTCCTTCAAGGTCCACAGGGCTGCGCTTGGTCGTCGCCACGCGCGCGGTTGTTCCGAATGACACCGACGATGGTTCCGATCAGCCGCAAGACGCCCCAGACCATCCCCCAGCGACCGACCCCGGTCAGGATGCCCACCAGCCGCAGCGCCCAGCTCAGGCCGGTGCGGAACCCAATAAGAGACAAAAACATTGTCGCCGGCCGTGGTGGTCGTCGGCAGCACGAAAAGCGAGCGAGCCTTGTCCAGCGGCGGTCGGATCATGCGCCGCAGCGAGCTGCCACTGCTTGATCCCGCGGCGGTGGTGGAGTACTGCTGCTCCGGGACCGCGGTGGGCCGAGAGGAGTGAGGCCAGAAACGATGCGACCAGGTGGTTTTGGAGCGGATGATCCCCGCCGACGCTGCGTCGTCTTCTGCGGCGAGGTAGGAGGCCAGGAATGGTGATTCGCGGGCGTTCGAGGGCTCAGTGGCCGTCAAAACGGGCAGGGTTGATCGCTCACGCGGGGTCGTCCCTCCGCAGTAGGGCCAGGAGTGGCGTCTTCTGTGGTGGACTAGGTATGGCATGTCAACGAATCTGGAGACTAGGATGGGACGAGGACGGTATGAGATGAAAGCTTCTACCAACGGGACGGAATAGAGAAGGTTTATAAGCCAAGATTCCCAACGGGAGTAGTAGAAACAAGGCAGACAGAAATGCAAAAGTGATCGAGAGAGAGAGAGATGGAAAAGACAGGCCAAGCCCGGGGTAAAATAGCCCACCGTGGCAAAGGACAGAGCCGCAAATGATATCCTCCTCAGCGAAAGACCCGGATCTCACCAGACAAGCGCTCTCCAGTCGTAAGCGGGTGAAATGAAGGCATCTCCATATCGAACCCGCGGGGATTGAGTGGGCAGACGCGATGGGATTATAAAGCACTGCGCCCTCCGGGGAACGAGGTCATGCGGGCGGCACGGGCAAGGCGCACGCGTCAAAAAAGGCGCAACAGACGATCGCCCGGATGACTGGTTGAGTGCGTCAAATCTGGAGCTTGGAGAGACAGTCATCGTAGTCATGGACTGGTGCGATCACACGGGCCGTGAACGGGATCGCCCTAGATTGAGTCATGCAGGGGAGCTGGCGGTGGAGGGTACGCCGACCGGGGATTTGAATCCTGTTGACTATTTTAGTGACAAATAATGGGCAACGCAGAGAAGCTTGCGTTGCCAGGATAGCATCAGTGGCAGGACTGAGTTAATCAACTCCAGGAAGCTTCTACCCTGGCGATGATTCTTCACGGCCACCTGCGGCTAGTCTGCCGGATGATAGCCGTGTTTCAGATGTCTGAGATGATCAAGCTGATCAACAGTCAGCGGGTGGTCTGCATCCTTGGACTCCATCATAGGTTCAAGGGTGGTGCTGTCCCTGGGCACGAGCGTCGTGATTGTGCAGCCATCGGTCGGCTGCAGTGCGACGTCAGAGCAGCCGATGAAGTTGAAAGCTGAAGGAGGAGGAGTTGTAGGAGTTGAGAAGAAAAGGGTCCATCACATGATAAGAACAGTCACGTGGTCTAATGGTTATGATATCTCGTTCACATCCAAGTGAATGAATTCCGAGATGGTTCCCGGTTCGATCCCGGGCGTGACTATTTTTGGTTTTTTTGCCTACTTCTGTGGAGTTCATGTTCAAGGCACTGGATTTCTCCAAGCACTAACAATGAGCACAATAATGAAAGCATCGATGCACCGTATTGGTCTATGAATAGAATCAATGCTTTCTTTTCTATTCATCCCACCCAATCAATCAACAATCGAGCGATCATACATCAGCGCCAATCAACCACACTGACATCCATCCATGAGCAAATTCCCTCCTTTTTATCAGAATTCTATCATCATCAGGACATGCTGGTCAGGATTTTCACAAATTCTTCTCGATCTATTGTTGCGCGTTAGTGTTCGTCAATCCGTCGGAGCGGGTATATATATCCCCAAGGCACACACCTTTAGCCGTGGGGAAATTGACCGTAATAGGCCCAGTCTTCCTTAATTTATTAGAATGCTTCGGTGCACCTGCCATAATGGTAGCCATGTTTAACACCGCTCCTCGCGAATATATAACCGCAGGAAAGTCTACTCGATTGTGGTCAGACGACAGACGAACCCCCGATGGGACGGACATCGTCAGCCACTGATCGTTGTTAAGGTCCTTCCAGCGCGAGGCAAATTGGACCGTGCTCCCCTTCCTCCAGAGCTGGACTTCCGTTTCGCCTTTGCTGGATTTGCTAGTCCCGAACATGCTCTTCCCCTTGGTCGTTAGGGAGACCGCGCGACGGGAGAATGCAAGCTCATATGCCGAAGCCAGTGAGGTCATGAATCCGCGGAGTGCCTGCTCCTCCTTGAAAACGACCGTGAAATTCCCGATCTTCTTTTCGCAGTGCGAGAAAAACACCGGGTGGTCGGCCGGGTATAGCTTGTCCACGTGCGACGAGATATAATCGGTGTAGAACACGCGCGGGAAATGGACGCGGAGACTGGAGTGCTCATAGACATAATCTGCGTCGCGATAGAGATAATACAGATTGATGTATTTCCACGATAGCCGAGTGTGGAGGACTGATATCGCCTTATATTGCTTCTGGTCGAGATTGTGGTCCGTCACGTCGTACACTTGCCCGGGATTCCCGGATTGAGTCCACCAAAAAGCAGGCTTGAGCGACAGACTTAACACGACTCTCTCAAACTCCTCGGCTTGCTGCTGAGTGCGGAAGTGTAGGCTGAGACCAATATTGGGATTGTTGTGGTCGTAGATGTACGAGAAAATAGGGTGGTAGTTGCCGTCCGTCTTGCTGGACCTCTCCTGGCGGGTGTCGGACCATTTGATGAGCACCTGGCGAGAGTCCTGCTCACGACAAACCTGGACCTGGCTCATCGGCATGAAGATCTCCATGCATCGTGGGTTTTTCTCCGCCGCCGAGGAGCTGATGACCATGCGCCGCATCGACCGCCAGGCCTCGCCAAAGGAACGTTCCAGGATACGAACTTCGCACGACCCATGCACCATCGGGGGATTCATGGACTTCATGGTCGTTGCCTTAAGTTGCTCAAATAGCTCCAGCGAGCTTTTGAAGACCACGGTTTCTGAAAACTCGGCCGAGTCGACCGGCTCTCGTTGCCAGACAGCATCAAAGTAGGCCCTTGGAACTCCAATAAATTGCATGAGATCTGCCATGTATTGGAAGGAGATCGAGACACTTTGGGCCCCAAACCTCAGAATGATGGGCTCTGAAATCTTTGCGCCAGGGACACTGATGGATGCTTGGGTAATTTGCACAAGCTGAGCAACATCCTCTGGGGTGACTGTATCGATTCGGTCAGCCAACCTGGACGTGTCTTTGGGCGCAAAAACTTACAGTCTCGTTGTAAACAGAGGGTGCCACTCTGATTACATAGTGTTATTTTGGGTTCACTTTCACCGTTCCTAGTCGACAGCAGGAGCATGTACGGGGCACCTTTAGTACGCATACGAAGTCTTTTGCTCCCGATGCCCGCATTGACAAATGTTCGGAAGAGAACCCTCTCCTCTTCGTTTCCAGCGTCCTCCTGATCCACCGAAATCCATCGGACATTCTCCAGTCCGAGGGGAGTATAGTTTCCCGGTTCTTCTTCAGGCTGTAAAGGCTCCCATATGTCAAGGTTCTGAGAATGGATGGCCGAATACTCGGGAATATCGACGGAGGTGAACTGCGAAAACTCATCTTTGATGCCCTGTTGGCCTTTTAGTATGGTCAGGACTATGCCCATCGTAATGTCAACTCACTTCGGATAGGTCGGAGATTAGCTTTCTGTTCTCGTCGGACAAGACTGCCTGAGAAGCTTCATCTTCCAGAACTATGTCGTACAGGATGTACGAAGCCTTTAGCAGATCAACGTAAGCTTGAGAATTGGCAGTCCCTGATTCAATCGAAGGGCTGACACTGCCCCTGGAGTTGGTAAGACAAGGTTTTTCACAGTTCGTTAGCGTAGTCCGCGCCTTGAACACCGTCAATCAGCCTTGTCAAGAAGATTAGGATCGAGGGAGGCATGCATACCTTCAACAGCCACCAAACAGCAAGTCGCAGCCAGTCATTTGTATTAAGCCTGCGAACATTTGTCAAGTAATCAAACTTCCTGATAAGTTCGGCATCAGGCTGGTGAAACTTGTCGCGCGGCTCGTATCGCAGCGGTCGGTGGAGTTGATCGCGGAGCCGAATTTGTTGCAGCTGCTGCATCGCACTTGTAACGGCGTTCATGACCGCCGTCTGGTCGGGGTCTTTGGTCGGGGAAGACTCATAAGACTCGTAAATCTCGGACACAAAGGGATCCCGTACTGCCGGATAAAGTTCCATACTTTCATGATCTAAAGCCCGGGCTTCGAACAGGCAGGTATCTTGCGTGGAAAATGAGAATCCCGAGCTTCTCTCTGTAGTGCTTCGCGATAAAGGCTTTTTGATGGACTGGACTAACTGCGATTCCCCAGGGCCAGTAAAGCCAGAGCCATCGGACAGTGTAGACGTGAGGGAGCCGGACGAGATTGTGCGAGGCCGATTCGCCGGGGTAGAAGGAGGGGCGGATATGGTGTAGCTTATGACAGGTAGATCAGTCTCACTTTCTTCTTCGCTGTAGATGGCATCATGTTGCGCGGGAGTTGAGAGCGAGAATTGTTCTTCCTCTGGCGGAGAAGACCCAGACACGGAGAGAAAGCGGTCTTGTTCCAGGGCATCCGTCATGGACTTTTCGATACGTTCAAGAGACGAGCTAGCTCGATGAGAAAAATGTTTCCTTCAATTAGTGGACTGCAGTAGATACTTACTTGCCTATCGAGCTCATGCACAAGCTGAGGTTGCACGTGTGGACCATGATCTTAGACTTCAGTTCCTCGATTTGGCCCCGTTGTGTTGCCCATTTCACCTTCTGCCAGAATTGTGTTCCGTCACCGACACCCATATTCCTGTACCTAGTAACCAGATCCTTCAGGTGCTGCAGGGTTTGGAAGCAGCCTGCCAGGCATCGTTGCAAGGTGCGCTTGCGATCGTCCCCGAGATCTTCGAAGAACGTGGCACTAGACAGGACATCGTCTCGCAACGAACACAGAGCCCCTTGTAGAGACGCCAGCTCATCGACAAGTTTCCGAAATCCGTCGGGGGCATCTCTGGCGACGAGATAGCAGCTGTGGTAGAGGTCCCACGCCGTCTTTGTCAGGGTCACAATGTCCCCCGCAGCGAAATCCGAGGTCATGTTGGAACGATGTTTAGGGAGAATATGGTTAAACTCGTAGACACCCATCAATCAAAATACAAAGATAGTAGAGTGAGAGGATCCGATGAACAGCCGATATTTGGGGAGGCTCATATTCAGATTGTTGAGGGGAAGGAAGAAGACGAACGCGACTTCGCGCTAAGACAGTGAATGAAAGACAGAGTCTCGTGAGTATCACTCACTAGTGTCGGCAAGGGAACACTCAAATAGTCTGATCTAGGGATATTGCCAAAGACAAGAGAAGATCTGCAAGTGAATTGAGAATCGCCAGCTCTCGCCAGCTCTCATGGAAGTCTAAGGCCAGCGATATCGGCGACCGACGGCCGGCAGACAACGCCGGTTACGAATGATGGGACGAACACACGCGAGGAAATGCTCACCCCAGATCTTAGCATCCTTACAGGGGAGGCGTCGTGTGGCGGGGGTGCGATATATAGGACTCGACAAGGTTTTGGCCACGCGAGGATCGCTGAAGAATCACTTGACGACACGAGGTGCCCAGGGCCCCAAGGCTCACGCGTCGCCAATCATCCCCAGATGCCAATAAGATGAGGAAATGCCCCAGCGCCTTCGTACGAGGATGTCTTTCATCGTACGGCGCCACCAAGCGCCCTGTAGTCTGAAGACAAAGACGTCCAATAGGCAGGATGCGGGTTGGGATTCGTCCTTGGCATGTTCCTGAACTGCAGATTTCCGATACCAGAAAGTAATAATATGTGGTTCGCCACATGGCGCTCCCGAATGATCTCGGTTTTCATGCTGGAACGGCGGTGATCATCCAGATCATGTAGATGAGTCTGGGGATTGCGAGGTTTAAGTTGGGAGTTCCATTGTCTGGCGGGAGATAAAGAACAGCAACGGTCACGTTTGCTTTAGACTTTTCACGAGAAGAAGAAACCGTCTGGATTTACCAACACTTCAGATGATCCCACATCGTCCACTTGCGGTCTTCTTCAGATAGTGACAAACTCGAAGGACCGATGGGGTGGCCACTAGAGTTGGAGGTACTTTGGAAGGGATGGATCGGGCAGGATATGCGACGGGGCCAATCACGGCTTGTAGCAGATCTTTCGCAGATCCACAAGAACCGGCCAGAAACGACTCCACCGACTCCAGATCGTAGTATTTATTGAGGCGGGGAGACCGTCTGTTCCCAGGGAATTGTTCTGTTCAGCTTATCGCATAGTATACACACCGCAGAAGCATAGGCAATATGGTCAAGATCAGTGAATTTGCTGTGGAGGGGGTATGTCCACATCTCAACCGCCATTATACATGCTGCAGTATACATGACTTGTTCTAACACAATCCCAGTGGATGGACCGCTACGAGAACGACGCAAAATACAACCTGGCAGAGACGTGCTGTGCCTCCATCTCCTTCAACGACCTGCTCTCCTTCTCCGACAACCCCAATCCCTCCATTTTCGATTTTTCCCAGAAACAAACCTACGGCGCTATTCGCGGAACCTCCGGCTTGCGATCCAAGATCGCCAAGCGATATGCTTCGGAAACATTCCAGCCGATCTCGGAAGATCAGGTCCTCGTAACGAACGGGGCGATCCAGGCGAACTTCCTGGCTCTGTATACGAACGTCGGGCCGGGCGACCATGTGATCTGCCATTACCCGACGTATCAGCAGCTGTATTCCGTGCCCGAGTCCTTCGGAGCGGAGGTGAGTCTGTGGAAGGCGCGTGAGGATCAAGGGTGGGACGTAGATCTGAACGAGCTGAGGGGGTTGATCAAGGAGAACACAAAGGTCATCATTATCAAGTAAGTTGATGCGAGAGCGGAAGAGGAGATGAAGATAGCTGACCAGCGGTAGCAATCCACAAAACCCAACCGGAGCAGTCATGAAGCGCGAGAAGTTGCAGGAGATTGTCAACATCGCTGGAGAGCATGATATAATCATTCACAGCGATGAGGTCTACCGGCCTCTCTTCCACGGAATTCATCCGGACAGCCCGGAGTATCCTCCTTCAATCTTGTCCTTCGGTTATGAGAAGACCATTTCCACCGGGTCGATGTCTAAGGCGTATAGCTTGGCAGGGATCCGACTAGGGTGGATTGCGTCCTGCAGCCGGGACATCGTTGAAGCGTGCGCATCGAACCGCCACTACACCACGATCTCGGTCAGCCAAGTGGACGACGCCGTGGCATCCTATGCCCTGTCAACCCCGGTTGTGGATAGGCTGCTTCAGCGGAACCTCTCCATGGCTCGGGCGAATGTGGATACCCTCGAGGCCTTTGTGAAGGAATTCGAAGGTGTGGTCGAGTGGGTGCGACCCCAGGCTGGAACCACTGCATTTCTGAAATTCGTTGACAAGCAAGGCCGACCTGTTGACGATACGGCGTTCTGTCAACAGCTCCTTGACAAAACCGGAGCTATGCTTGTTCCGGGAAGTGAGTGTTTTGGAGAAGGATCCGCCTTCAAAGGATACGTTCGGTTGGGCTATGTTCAAGAAACTCAGGTTTTGGCGGATGGCCTCCAAGCACTCAGGAAGTTTATGCGAGATGGATATGAAAGGGTTCCTGTTGCCAGTCAGTGACTTGATGTTGGGGAGAGTGAAAGATTTGCATACGACTGATGTACATATCCGATCATAAAACTTTGGTCCAGTTGATCAATCCAAAGCCATGGTTTTTAAATAGACAATTACTTGCGCCCGCATATAATTTACATCCTCCATTTCCTGGTGTTTAGAATAGGACGAGCTCTCGGCCATGCTGAGCAAAATATACATCCCATGGTAAAGAGGTGTTCGACGCCCAGAATTCCTTCATTAAACCTCGTGCACGAGTGAAGTTACCCAGGCCACGACTTTGGACGCAGGCCATTCGATCTTGAATTTGGTTACGATCGCTGACCACATCTGTTTCACATCCGGCGTTGAATATTGGCCATAGGATGAGGATATTCGAAGATGAAAAGGGCGGAATATTTTCCACGGCATCTAGGATGTTGGCAATATCACTTCGGACTGTTGGATGTTCTTTCGGTAATAGCCATACACGCCGATGCAGATATAAGAGGGCAGAGTGAACAAAAGCAAGGTGCGTGTATCGTAGCTCACTGGGGAGCTCATTGCCATGGTGGTCCTTTGTTGCCTGCGAAGCGGTGCGTTCAGCGATGGCAAGGATTGCGGTTTCTAGAATTTCGGCCTCGCTGACAAGCTCTTGGGATAATAGGTCTGATCGCCAGACACCGGAAGCAGCGTGCATACCGGTCTGACATGCAACTTGGGCAGTCCGAGCCAGCAAGGGTATCAATTCCAAGGAATAGCCGCAGATATCATCTACATGGCTTGGTATAGAGCTGGGGAGCTGGCCGAGAAGCGAATTTTGACCTTGCAGGGTCTCGCCAGTATTGACACCGGAAACACAAGCCAAAATATCAAGCGTCGCGAACCACTTCACTAAGCACAAGACAAAAGGATCACTGCTGTCCAATGATCTGCGCGGGGCGTTTAGCATGACTTTCAGTAGCTGCATGACTCCAGACAGATGAGATCTCCATATGTGCATATTGCCATTACAAACGTCATTGGTGCACAGAGTCATTGCCGTCAAAGCCGTTTCAGCCCGGAGCATATCTGTCGTTTCGTTCATGGCAGTACGAAGACCGGATATGGACAAGTTAGTGAATCTCAAGCACATCGCGTGTGATTGAGCGGTTGTGTCTCCTATCAAACGACTGTGGTGGCTGCTGGCCGAGGCAAGAAGCGCATATAGGAGATGCGGAGTCTCGATTGCGGAGCTGATCAGTCTGTCAATGAAGAACTTGGGAGCAGCCGGGAAAAGCGATGGGGCCGTCTCGGTGCTCAGAATGTGCAGGAAGAACTTCGACTGCTCCGATGACAACAACGGTGAAAGGTTCAACACTGGCTGTTGAACCAGGGCCGAGGTATTCAACTCTGCCGGTAGGATTGGTTTCTCTGGAAACGCTACAGGACGTTTAGGGGTGGGCTTCTGGGCATCGGTCTGACTAATGATACTCAGGCCATAGAGACATTCTTTGGGGAACCGAGTGCACCGCGAGCATACTGGGCGGCGCAGATCACACTAGATGCAGGATTAATGGGATAGACCATCAGGTGGCTGCAGACCCAGATAGATATACCTTGACCTTCTTTCTTCTACACTCGGAGCATCCATCTCGCCGTCTCTGAGTTGTGATGGGGGGTGTTGATTGTTGATTGGACGATTGACAATGTGATACAAAAATGACCATGAGGACTGATTGAGGTGACAGTCGATGGGCTCGAATCAAGATTGAGTGCAAGTTGGACAAAAGTACGGAGAAAAACGCCCTCCGAAGGGGCGACGGATGACTAAGATGTAGCTGTGCGCTAGTCCCAATAAAGTAAAGATAGCGATCCGGCCAATCGCAGGCCACTCGACCGGATCGGGTAAAGTCCTTTGGATCATAGCCTCAGGCAGAAACACGCGAGCAGTCTTGAATTTGGACTTGGGGACGGAGTAACAAATAAGAGAACAGGGCTAATAAGATTGCCGTCAAGGTATTGTGGCCGAATAAGATAGCAAGAACCAATCTTGGTTCCATGACATCAGAAGCATGGTTGAAACATCCATGGACGGTACATGGTTCTAGGGCAAGATCTGTCGTTCCATGCTCCAACCCTTTTCCCGGGAAAAGAAACATGTCATTAAAAATAGACCCGATAGCACAGGATTACCCTCTGAATTCTTAACTGATTATTGACTGGTTCTAATCAGATGGCAGATGACAAGAACCTGACGTATGTCAGTGAAGGCACTGCCGTCGTTGGCGCACGTCATCATGAGCTATAGGGCTTATCGCCGGCCGCGAAAACCCCGAACTATATATTGAATTACTTGCAAGAGTCATTAACCATTGTAAATGATACATCAGATAGAAACAAGAATTGAATTTTGACGCATGAATAGCGTTCTTCCTATCGGCCTACAAAGAATCAGCACACCCCGATTCATCGACTGGAAAGAGAGTCATAGAATATACTGCATACATAGTACGATGAAAGCCCTCCAGTTCCATGCAAGCGGCGACCTGCGCCTCGAGGAACTAGAAGACCCGATCTGTGGCAAGGGCGAGGTCAAGGTGAGCTCCCACGCCACTGAATGCGCAAGATCGCCAATAACAAAGCTAGTAGATGCGAACGGCGTTCTGTGGTCTTTGCGGCACAGGTAGGCCCACGAACGATATACAAGGTCATAGCCGTCCTAACCTCCCTCCATCAAAGATATCCACGAGTTCTGCGCTGGTCCGGTCCTCATTCCGCAGAAGCCTCATCCCATCACGGGCGCCACTCTGCCCGTGACAATGGGCCATGAGCTCAGCGGCATCGTCACCGAGGTCGGGGAGGGATGCGAGAGGATAAAGGTCGGGCAGCGGGTGGTTGTGCGACCCACCATCTACGATGAGCAATGTGCCTCGTGCAGACAAGGCGTTCGGCATTGCTGTGAGAACATTGGCTTCATCGGCCTCAGCGGTATGTGGCTTCGTTTTCCTGCATCTTTCACATCGACGTGGGAGCTGATGAGCAGCATTCAAAAGGCTACGGCGGCGGGATGGCCGAATACATCGTCGCGCCAGCCTCTCACTTCTACGCGCTACCCGACAACGTTGCGCTGGATATGGCAGCGCTAATAGAACCGATGGCAGTAGCCTGGCATGCCGTCAACGTATCGCCCTTCAAATTCGGCGACACCGCAGTGATTGTCGGGGGCGGCCCTATCGGCATTTGCGTCATCCAGGTGCTGAAGCTGCAAGGTGCCAAGGAGATCATCGTGGCGGAGCCGATGGAGGGCCGGAAGAAACTGGCACGACACTACGGTGCCACGGAGATTCTCGACCCCGGCAGCGAGGAGGTGCCGAAGCGAGTGCAGGAGATGACGCGACATCGAGGCGCCGACGTGATCTTCGACACCGCGGGGGTCGAGGGTGCGCTGAACAGCGTCATCTCGGCCTGTCGGACGCACGGGGCGATTGTCAATATCGCGGTCTGGGAGAAAAGGCCGGAGCTGCATGTGAACGATCTGATGTATCGAGAGGTTCAATATATGCAGTCGGCGTTATACGACGAAATGTCGTTTAAGAACACAATTGAAGCTCTGAGCTATGGTGCGTGAAGGCTGATCGGTCTAATGCGTACTCCAAGCTAACTTCGACCAGGCCAATTGAATCCGCGAGAGATGATCACGTCAAAGATCAGACTTGAGGACGTCGTGGAAAAGGGCTTCAAGGCTTTAGTTGAGGATCGTGATCGTCATTGCAAGATATTGGTGGACGTGCAGGCTTCTGAGTGCTCCGAAAATGGGCCGAAGAATTAGTTTCTGAACCTTTGAGCAATTGAGCGATTTTGGCGGAAATAGCATAATGAATCCATTTTACCAATCGTCATGGGACGGCACGATTTCAAGCCTATTAACTACCAGGCAAAAGGTACTAAGTGGACGACATTCAGGTAGATTGTTTACCGATTCTCACTGCCCCATTCACTCGAAATACAAGCGGCCTCTTATTTAGCATCGAGACTATCATTGGCTCTCCAGCTTTGAATATGAAGTTAGTAGTCTATTGTCACCGACTGGTTATGGAACAACGTACGATCTTGGACCCCCAGTCTCTTGGTCCGTCTCTTTTCCCTTATCGTCAGGATCGCACTGAGTACCGCGCTCCAGTCGGTCAAGCGTCTGCCGTGCCTTTTGTTTGGTTTCGTCGGATACATTAGGGTCGTTGAGCGCACTTGATCGTGTTAGATACAGGTGCAGAGATGGATCGTTGGATGCTGCAAGGACAGGCTAACTCTTTGAATCCGCGAACAGCATCCACCACTTCCTCGGTCGAGGACCAGCGTGTGATTCGAAGACTAGACGACATGGATACTTTTCTTGCTGTTGAAATCGACAGGTTCAGGTTCTTCACTGATCAGGCCAGGGCTGAGGTGGCTGATGGGCAATTAAATATGACTCCATTGGGTATCTGACACACTTATGACGGAGGTGGCATGCAGATGATCTCCGGGTCTCGCAACAAGGTCTGATGCAACGGTTTCCAAAGTGGCGCAGCAGGTTTCCCCAGGACATTCTGATGGACAGGGAACTGTTAGAAGCCACGCACTTTCAAGAAGACCAAGATGCTTGCTTTGCAGCAGGAGACGCGGCAGGTTATACCCTGCGCGGCCGCCGACTCACTTTCCGCGACGCACTAGCCAGTTGGCGAGGACTCGATATTAGCACGTTCGTCTCTGATCAATGTAGATTGGATGGGACAGAATGATAACGTAGTGTTGCCCGTCGCAAGCCGCAAACAGGGCCAGCCGGTCCTCGATCTCTCCTGGGAACTCATCTGGCCGGATTATCGAATAACGGTCCAGGTAGGAAGGTCGAGGCCCTTGGCTCTGAGTGCCGAGTCAGATGAGAATATCCGACGCATTGACCGTTGGCATTGTAGATACCAGATCGCTAGTTAGTGCCAGACCGGAAAGAGCAGAGTCAGGATCAGGGGCGAGTGGTCCTTTAATCCACCACTCGGTCCGTCCCATATTTGGCGTTTTCTTGAGGTATATTCCTCCCGTGACGTCAGAATACCCACCCTTGGAATCTCGCATGTCGCTCGTCAAGGTGGTTTAATATATATGTTCATTATAAGACGTGTTTGGCTATTACGTACATAAATGCAATTGGCAAGATTCCCCCATTCGAGCAGCGTATACAATGAAGACCTCAGACTATGACCTATGACAAGTTTCCGGATCCAAGATTAACAAGATCCAAGAAATCGTCATTTATAAAGCTGTCAAGACTGACATCGGTGCTGAGGCTCAGCACCGAGTCCCGACGCATCCGCCCGGACTCGTCGCCGGAGGTCCCCAACGCACCACTGCCAGTATCCTCCGAGAGGGGGTACGATCGCGTCAGATCGGGGGGCTTGGTGGTTGTCACGTCCTTGACCATGGCTGCGAGATGATGTTGAATGGCGGGATCGGCGCATTGCGAGTGCCGCAGCAGCTCGTTCTTCAGCTCGAGGGTCTCCTGTTGAAGCTGCGCGAGGTGGCTCTCCAGTGACTGCTTCCTCTGCGAGGCCTCTTCATACTGGTGCTTTAGCCGCTTCGTGAACTCTCGCTTCTTCTCGCGGCATTTTGTCGCGGCCCTGCGGTTCCGTGCGAGAGATTTCTGGCGTTTCTGCCGCTCTGCGTCGTCTCGGTCTTTATGCACGTCCGGTGGGTCCGGGTGCCGAATGGGGGGAGAATTTCTTCGTTTCCGGTTCTGCGACGGCTGTGGAGCTGGGGTGAGATTCCAATTTCCGGGCTGGCCGCGGAGATGGTTCAGGTTGAGCCAGGCGTCATCCGTCAGATAGGGGAGGAATAATGGGGAGGAAAGATCTGCCGATTGAGAAGGGGGAAGAGAGAGGTCGGCGGACATGACGGTGATGGATGAATGCTTCAACGTGCGGCGTCGAGATAAAGAGGAGTCGAGGTCGACGGAGCACTTGAGAATGCAAATATGGGGGAGTCCAGCAGGGACAACCCCCATGAGCAACTTTGCGAGGTGGACATGATGTAAATGACTACCTGGCCGTACATGCGACCCGAGAGGACATACGGGTACATGAGTCAGTCCACGCTGGGTCTACAAGAAGTACCCCGAGCAGAACAGGCGGAAGCATTGGTCAGAGCTTGGCCTGCATCCCCGCCCGGTCTTTTCATCCGCCCAATCAAGATCGGGTGAGGAATCAGGGAATTCGGTGGTGGAGGTGGGCGGGGAAGTCTTATAGGCAGGAGGGGCCCTTTGACTTTTCTCGCGCCATCCCTCTAACCGCCTATTCGTCAGGGAGAAAGCTTCCGCCCGTTGCCGTCTCCCCACATTTCCCCTCAGTCAACGGTCTCGATTGTGACCTCAGCATCACATCACCCTCTAAGGTACTACGACTCGGAAGTACAATCCACAATCTCAGCCTCCGGATTTATCATGCGGTATGGTCGCCCCGAACCATCGTGTGTTCTCTCTCGTGCCCCTGAGAGTCGCCATGCCTACAGTGTGCAGCCGGTGCCCACGAGTCTAGTCGTCCGTCATGTTCCACAGAAGGTCAGTAGCCCTTGATCTTTTTTTTTCCTTTCTTCTTTTTCGAAGACCCGGGAACAGCAGTACTGACTGACTTTGTTGTGTGCAGGAATGCCCACAAGCCCAGCGATGCCTTTCTTCGCGACTTCCAACGCAAGTTCTTCCCGGTCACGACCATCCCATACACCCAGGGAGTGGGAATTGCGCCCGACCAGCTTGTACTGTGGCATCCCGGAGCCGTAGATACTCTTCCTGCATTCCCACCAAGGTCAACCTCCTCACCACCTCCTCTCAGTCGACAGAACTGCTCGTGCAGCGTGTTCAATAGTAGGATGTGTGCCGTGTTGCATGGGAGCTCAGCCGAGGATGCTTCTCCCCAGACAAGTTTTCAACATTCGGGGCTCCAGAGCCAGGGCAATACGAGCGAGACTTATTGCCCATCCGCCAAGTACCGGCGACAGTTTCCAAATTCGCATCTCGATCAACCAAATGCTATAGACGAGTTACACACCCCAGACCATAGCCAGCAGACGCCCCGATTTCGAGTGACTTTGCACGCTCGTACGGCGACCTACAACCCTGCCAGCCAGACTCCCGTCACGTATTTGAATCGGCGCCAGACGTACAAGATCTCTGTTGTTGACACAACACCCCCGGTTGGGATTCCCCATCCGGTACGATACCGCACCCACTTCCGCATCGCTTTCGATAACAAAGACCAACGAGCAGACCCTGTTGCGGCCTGGAGACTTTGGCGGGACCATCGCGGGCTGAATGAGGCCAGTACATGCGATGGACAACTACGAGCAGTCGAATTCGTCGACATGATGTCGAATGCGATACGCGGTCGTCGGGCCGAGTCGTCGGTTGTTCTCGAGAGCTCTTCGCTTGACGGCTTTGGCGTCGTGTGGATTGCTGACCCGCAATCGGGTCAGGCAGCATGTGAAGCACATATTCTCTTTAATTTCCTCTCTACCGACTTCACCTTGTCCAAGGGGGTTCAAGGGGCACCGCTACGACTGTATGCTAAGACAGAATTACTCTCGTCGGACGCTTGGGCGCATCCAGTGCCCTTGACGGCCGAGATAACCTACTGTAGAGTCAAATTGTTCCGAGACCACGGGTCCGAAAGGAAATCATCCAATGACGCCGTGCATCTGCACAAGGCACTCGGCCAAGTCCAACAGAAACTAGATGATCTAGAGTCTGGCATCGCGCCTCGAGGAATGAATTGCCCGAGGAAACGGAAACGCGGAAAACTCCCATCGGCCGCGCGACGGCATTTCGAACCACCGTATCTGGTGACGACAAGTGATTTCTCTGTCAGCGATGAACTCCAACGAGTAAAGTCCGGCCTAGAAACCGTCTTGTCGTCGTCCTTACCCCAAAGCGTCCTTTGGTTGCAGAGCGACGAGCGGGATGATCCGGATCAATTCCCGATTGAGTTCTCGAACTCGGCGCAGGACCCGTTCCACACCCGTCAAGGCCCTGCTATTGTACATGGATATCCACCCTATGAAGCTGTAGCCGCTCGGGCATAAAATCAGAGGCACCTCCACCAGATTTCCTACGGTCTGGAGATGATCCGGGTCAGCTTATTGTATCAAAGCCGCGGGCTAGCTTGGCTGCCGTGTTACCAGCAATTAAGGTTGTGGTTTGAGAAAAAAGACAATGTATACCACGAGGTCGACGCCGACATGCTGAACATCCATCAGAGTAAACAAAATTGGGTCACTGAAAACATACCAAGGAAATTCCACCCACGATGTGCTGGATCCAGAAGAACGAGGACCATCAGGCGGGTTCCGATTCGTTGCCTAAATTCCCCACGGGCTATCCCAACCTTGAAATGATCCCTGCACGACGCCAAAAAGCCACGCGGCCCACGGACCCACGAGCGATCGAGCCCAGTGATGTCAGTCGGACGTACTCCGGACTAACGTCGTGAGTCCGTCAAGGTCCTGGCCAGTCATGCGTTCAGGTCATTGGATCGATAGCAGCCCAATACGCCGGACCAAGTGTCATATGCAAGTATAAATCTCGAGATGATCCGGCATTCGTCGATCGGGGCAAGCTTTCATGTTTGCGCATCCATTCATAGTAACTCGCGATACCGGTCTGACCCATAGTCCTCTTTGCTTATGATTTGAGCCCCGAGGCCACAAAAGCTTGTCAATCCCCACCCGAGAGAGTAGTGATAGAAACCCGAAACCCAGTGGGCGCTCTCTTCTCTTCCCGCCATTGAACTCTGCGCTAATCACACCATGCCTACTTAGCTAGAGCCACATCAGACAATGGCTAGTCCCCGGATGCGTCGTGTGTGGGAATGGCTGCAAACCACAAGTAACCCCTCGGATGCGACCTCTTGCTCGCGGGCCTCGAATCCCGAGACTGCCATAGCCGAGACATTCACGAGGAGCGAAGAGGACGAGAGTCACGGTGTATCGACGCAAGATCCCCAATCGGGTCCATTCCCCTGTCGGTGTTGCAGAGAGCACAACGTGGACTGCGACGGGCTGGTTCCCAGCTGTTCATATTGTATGCACGAGCAGTTGCTGTGCTTTTATGTTGCGCCAAAGGGCCGGGCAAGGCTGCAGAGCTCATCATCATAGCAATGGGCGGGGTTGTTAGGGGATGTTGTTTGATCGAAGAGGACGTTTATCCGGATCAAGGAATGTGTGCTAGGCAGGCTTAATTCTAATGCTCTTCGAGGAGTATTACACCTATTGGCTCGCCCCTGTTAGAATTTTGTATAGAAGCCAGATCCTATGCATGCTACAACAGTAATGAATACTACAATCGTACGGGTTCAACTCTTGCTGACCTTGAAGCGATTCAAATATCTGTTGTGAAAGGCAAGAGGAGGAAATGCATTTTATTTTTGGAAAAGAGCCCTTGAGAGATGATGAAGAGTACTCTATTCATTTTTGGGCACCAAGCACAGGTTCCAGTGGGGTCCGACCTGGATCTAGATATAGAATATCTTCGACGTATCAATCCAGTAAAGAATGAGCAAGCGGACTCTCAGTCATTTGTGCTTGATATCAATTCCCTTTCTGATGTGAAAATATGACTCTGTCGGCGCTTTCTCGATCACCGTCAAGGTTCCAACTGCTTTTCTCCTTACACAGCGCAGAGCAGGCAAGAATCCCGCCTGACCCTGTATGAGGAACGTATGGTCGAGCAGGACAGAAGATCCCTTCCTCTTCCCGATCCGTAGTACCAGGAGAAATAGGTTTCCTGCAATGATAACCAGGAGACTGAACCGGCCATTCCAGCATGCCATCTGCCATTCAAGAACCAAGCATTCATTGAATCTTTGACCCTGCGCGCTCACGCTCTCTGCGATTTAGATACAACCGCAAATCGTCTCTAAAGGACGTCCCTCGATTGATAAAAGCAAGATAGAAACCCATCAGCATATTGGATAAAAGGAGCCCATCGATAAGATCAGGCCGCATGAGAAAAACACGAAAATAATGAAGGGCGTTAAAAACGATAAGACCGATCAATAATAGCGAGGGTGTGACTTTGATGATGAAATCGGTAACCCGTACATAGCCACACATCGTGAAGATTGACTTTGACACGTGAATGTTATGCTTGCTGATACTGATTGTTTTGATGGTTGGAAGCCTAAAATCTGATTGATTATTTTGGGTCGAGATCAGATCAAATAAGCTCAATGATGTAGAGAAAAGATGGCTTAACCTCGAGGGACTGAACGGGCTATTTATAAAGGCGTTCGCCCTCTGCTTGCGGTATTTTTGGACACGATCCTTCTTTAGCCCCTTGGTGCTAGCTTGTTAGCTTTCAAGCGCCCCACGTCCTCCCATTTCATGAGTTCATGCCATGGTCGGGGAGAAGGCCTCCGAAGTGGAGCTTAATAACGTATCGACGGTAGCTCAACGGTTGTTTCTCAGCCCCTATCAATGAGTCCGGACAAAGATACTCCGTAGCTACGCTCATCTGCCTAGAAACAGTTAGCGGCGGATGCATCCAGTACTATTCTGAGAAACTTCTGTGGCAAAGGAACTGAGAGCCTCAATCCCACCATAGTTGCCCGGGTGGAGATGAACCAAACCTTTTCTTCTTCTTGGCTCCACATCTCGAATGAAGTAACGATAAGGAGCTAGCATCGGGCACAGAACATACGCAGCCTCGCATGGCAACTTGGTAAGCGGTAATTCCATTGGTTCTCTACGGGCAGACACACAGAGGGTTCGTCCCCAATATGTAGACGTCACCACGGACGAAGCCATGGATATCCAAATGGGGTTCGAATATGTATCCTGGGTAGCTGGAATAATATCGAAGGGGCATCCTTCCTGCTTCAAGACACTGACACAAACAACTACTTCGTTTCACACCCTGGACGAGAACAATGCGAAGAGGGCGTTGTTTCGCCGGACACGATCCGGAATCAATATGATGCTTTCAAAGTGGCAAAACCAAAAAGACGTTGCCTAGAGCCATTCACCTGGCTCGCAGCATCCTGTACTCAATGGTAATTGAAACTGATGACTTTTCATTGTCTGCTGTTACAGCAGCTTCGAAATGAAAGCATTGACTCGAAAACTCTGGAACGCGCTGGAAGGGCTGGGATTCGACGGGTTGTTCGTTGGATGGAACCCAAGTACCATTTGTGTGCGACAAAGAATGATTCCAGGAGAGGGAGAGAATCCATGGACGATGAAACGCAGTTTCTTTGAGGCGCCTCCGCCAAGCCCGGCGTTCTTTATCCTTAGGCCACTGTTGCCTCAGGCCACGGTCGCGTCGATCGGATCAACGCGTCCCAACGTTTCTTTCACATCAACAACCTCACAGCAGCTACATAAACCGTCGTCTGTCCTTGTCAAGTCGCGCAGGTAAAACCAGTCCCGCATCACCACCTCCATCTCCGAAACTGCCCCTCAATTCCTCACCAGTTCCTCACTCACAACCAAACCACCAGGGACGATATCCCCAACCAATCACGATGTCATCAGTCTCCAGCGCCCCCTTCGTCCTCGACACACCGACAATCCTCTGCATCGGATTCGCGCTGTCTTTCATGCCCATCGCCTACATCCTCGGCCGAACGCTGATCCCCTCGACCCACGCACGCAACCGCCTCCTCTTTTTCTGGCACGCCTACGACGCCCTCACCCACATCTTCATCGAGGGCTCCTTCCTCTACCAGTGCTTCTTCAGCTACACGACCGTGCCCATCGGCTTCAACCGCGAGCCGTACTTCCTCGGATACAAGGACCGGGTATACGGCGCCGCCCACGGCACGGGGCCCAGCGCCCGGCTGTGGCAGGAATACGGCAAGGCGGATGCGCGGTGGGCGGTCGCGGACCCGGGGGTGATCGCGCTCGAGATCCTCACCGTCGGGCTGGGCGGCCCCGCGGCCATCTACGTCTGCTATCTGCTGTGGCAGGCGTCCAGCGGGAAGTCGAGTGCGACGGTGCGCGGCGCCGCCAAGGGAAAGCTGTGGCTCGTTGCGCCGGCCCTGGCGACTGCGGAGCTCTACGGCGGGTTCATGACTTTTGGTCCGGAGTGGTTGACGGCCAGCTCGCAGCTGGCGACGGATAATCCGGTGTATTTGTGGTTTTATCTGTTCTTCTTCAATACGCTGTGGGTGTTTATTCCGGGGTGGGTGCTGTGGGAGGCGTTTAAGGAGTTGAAGGGGGCGTTTGTTAAGGCGGAGGGGACGAGTGGGAAGAAGAAGCAGTAGATATATGTGCTTGAATGGGTACGGGAGGAGAAGGGATAGGGGGTGGTTAATGAGTCGGTGCTTTGACAGCGAGATACCATACTATATTTAGCTTCCGGGGGTCAATTCTTTGTTTCGGGTTAGAGAGGTCTGTCAGTTGATTTTCCTGTAACTATGTCTATCAAAATATCACACATGTTCATTCATCAAAATCGCTCTGAAGAACGGTAGTCAATCGCGAAAAGGTGTAATAAAACCCCTACAGCAACCATTAGACTTTTCTATTTCCACCACCACCGTGTTAATACTTACCTGAAGAGAAATGATCTCCACAATTTCTCTATCCGAGAACTCGCTCCTCACACGCCTCCACAGCTCCTCGCTGACCTCCGGTCCTTGGATGATTGTTTCCGTGGAAGATGAGAGCCAAGATGACCTTACCTTTCTCGGACTCGTATTGCTCGCATTGCGACCGGGATCACGAAGCTCTTATTCCCTCGTATCTGGCGTGGCTTGGCTCTTTTTAGGGCTTGCAATGCGAAGTGCGAACACGAATTGGGCGAGCTGTGCGAAGATCTATATCGCAAGGCATCAGTTTAACCATGACTGTTGATTCCGAGATTCATATACAGCGGTTTTGGGTATAAAAAGATGGCAGACACCGTTGTTAAGTGGTTATATCTTCTACGTCTATATCAATTCATTTCCGCTCATCTTTCATTCATCTTATATCCTCAGCTATAAGTTTCAATCCCAAGTTATACCCACAACCATACCAACATGTCCGATGAAAGCATCTACTTCTACAACCCATCCCTCGCCGCCTCCATCCTCTTCACAATCCTCTACTTCCTCCCCTTCCTCTACCACCTGTACATGACTGTCCTCGCCCCCCGAGCCGGCAAATACAACCGAGCGGGCTACTTCATACCCATCCTCATCGGCGCTCTCCTCGAAGTAGTCGGATACGCAACCCGGTCCGCCAGCGTGCAGCAGCCGTCAGACGTCTCTCTGTACGCGGTATCCGCGACATTAATCGTGATCGCGCCGGTCTTCGTCTGTGCCAGCCTGTACGTCCTCACCCGAAGACTCATCCAGAGTGGCTCCTCGGGCGAAAAAGCCCAGTCCATTCTGTGCGGCTGCGTGCGCGTCGCCTGGCTTCCTTGGATTCTCATCACGTTGGACATCATCAGTTGTTTGACGCAGGGGTCGGGGAGTGGAATCGCGTCCGCCGGGGACTGGGAGGGCGATGAGAAAGATACGGGCGTGGGAGTGTTGATTGGCGGGCTGGTGTTGCAGCTTGTTACCTTCACGGGGTTCTTGGTGATCGTGGTGTCGTTTCATGTGGCGACGAAAATGCAAGGGAGGGAGGTTGACCGAGGAGTAAAGAAGATTCTGGTGGGGATCTATATTGCAGGGTTTTCCATCATGGTGAGTTGTTTGGTATTTCGGTTGTGTTTGGAGTTGGTGTGCGTTGACTGATTGACTATCTTGACAGGTGCGGTCCATCTATCGGGTTATTGAGTTCGCAATGGGTATTGATGCCTATGCGTTCAATCATGAATGGCCGTTGTATGTGCTCGAGGCTGTGCCGATGCTGATTGCGATCAGTGTCTTGGGATGGTATCATCCGGCTCGGTGGCTGCAGGCGAATGCGAGAGATGACGTGGAGACAGAAAGAAGGGAGAGGAGGTGAACTGGACTTGAGGTATCGCCAGTGGAAGTTGCAGATCCTTTCGACTGCTTTTGATGTTTGAATAGTTATGTGGTGGTGATCTTGGCTTTTCGTTTAGGGTTATCTTGTTTTTAGAACTGTGATAGAAGGTGGATAAGATTCCAGGATGCGACTTCGGTTTCTTGACTTGATCTGCAATCTCTACTACCATGCCAGTCTATATGGCAGATCTAGTGACTCTCTGCCCGTGGAGAGGGAAAACCACAAGAAGTATCTTTATCTGATGCAATCAATTCAGCCTGTCCCTTCACCAACCGACGCATCGACATCGGCAGCTTATGGTAGATCGTATTCGCCCATTGATGAACCAGCACGGTACCAAATGGGTAACTCATATCCCGACCCCTACCAGTATAGTCGAGAAGTGGTCGCATTAGGACTTCGACGGCAATATAATGCATGAACAGAGCACAGGAGACATAATTTCCCGGGGCAATGAAAGTCATGAACTCGAGATTCTCCATGTCATACCAAACTTCATATATCTTCGTAAGCCAAAAGAAGGCTTCCTGGGGTGAGTGTTGAAGTGCCAAGTAAGTTTGATGAATGGCTTCGAAAAAGGTGCGATGCGCGGGGCTTTGAAGAAGAGGACGTAGCTTTTCCAGGTCCTGGATGGAAGCCACGAGGTTTGCCTGAGTTGACATGGGGGCCTCAGTCGGCAGCCATGAGCCAACCATGGTAGACACCTCTTCTTGCGATTGCAGGGTAAACATTTGGCTCTTTTTGTACCTGGCTCGGATCTGGTTCGTCACTGTCGCGCATCCGCGCACCATGACTGCGAAGTCGACCAGACCGTCAGTCATATAGTAGGCCTGGAAAACAAGCGTGTAGCACGTAGCTAGTATACCGTCCATCTCAACATCCGAACAGCTATCTCCTTTTGATAGTGCCCGGCCTAGCAGCTGAAGAGCTCTTCCGCGATGGACGATGGCTATGGGCGTGTAGTGAGATCCGTTGGGTGTGATTAATGCATAGTGTGTTGCACCAAGCGAGAGAATAGCATGCATCAAATGGGGGCACTGAAGAGATTAGTATATTTGCGAATTAATAGGGTGGTGAACCAACCTCGTGGGCGTACGCCGGCACCTCTGTGGTCCAGGACTGCTCGCTCCCGAACGGCAGATGTGGCCGCGCAACCCGCAAGAAGTGATGGAAGAATCGTAAATCATTTCCCGTGAATGCTGATTCAAAAACTGCCATCGAGACGGAAGGAAGTTGTAAAGATTCTTGGTGATCGGCTCGAGAGCTCGTCAACTCTTGTCGAGTCCTCCTGTCCTCCACTTTACTTGAGTACCTGCAGTCCATATCTCTGGTAACACAATTTGCGCATGCTGGCCTAGTCTCTTGACACTGCATGTTTTTAGTCGGCAAAATACGTCGAGAAACCAAGTGGGGGTTGTACCTTGACTTTACGGGCCTTGCAATTCAGGCATCCTCGTCGGGACTTTCTATGGGGTCGTTTGAGCCGCTGCTGCTTGTCTATCGAAGCGGGTTTTTCTTGGAGAAAAGCTCGGACAGGACTGTCCTGATCGACTAATGTGGGAAGGTAGAAGCCAACGAAGCTTTCTGTGATGTGAGCAGGGTGACTGCGAGTCGGGATGCAGGCCATGGTGCGTGAATAGCTTCGGAGGTTTCCTCCAAGTTGGCGTTGATTCACCAGATGTAATATTGGGAATGTCGCTAGATATGGAGAAAGACTTCATGACTCTATTGCCAGATTCTTGCTTTCCCATCAACTCAGCCACCGTCGACACTTCAGGCAGCGCCTTTCCGCAGAATACGAGCTCTCCTCCGGCTCTGGCCACTCAGGATATGGCTCGGCGCTGGGTTGAATCATCTTTAGCCTGGACCAGTCGATTTCATTCTGGGCTCTCTGACTGATCATTTTGAGTTGTCGCGCCGTTGAATGATTGCTTTTTGTCGACAGACTTCCATGGAAAGAACATGTCAAGACTGGAGCCACCGGCATAAGTATGACCTCTTACCTTGGGACGTGGAGCATCAACATCATCTGAGGGGTTTCAACCAGTTTTCCACAACCTTATCGCATGAATCAGCGGGCCAAAATGGGTGGTTCCATCGTGTCGGCGTTTACCGAGTGGGGATCCTTTATCGGGCGGGGACATCGTCTCTTCAATCGGCAACACTTCACAATCCCATCGATCGGATTCAATAGCCATCAGTACTGATCGCAGAATTCACTATGACTGTACCGTCGGATCCAGAAAGCTCGACACAAAAGGCTAGGGAAATTCTCCTTTCAGCCCAGCAGCGTTACGAAGACCGGAACCCAGTGTCGAAACAGTTGCATGAAGAGGCGACCGAGTATCTCCCTGGTGGAAACACACGCTCGGTTCTGCATACCAGCCCGTTTCCAATTTGCATGAAGTCGGGCTACAAAAATCGTCTGGTAGACCACGATGGACACGAGTCAGTTGGCTGAGCCCTAGCGATTGGATTACTCGGAACATGCTAACTTCCACAGATATCTGGACTTTCTGAGCGAGATGACCGCTGGCTTGTATGGGCACTCTCACCCGAAGATCCGTGAAGCTGTCATATCGACCACGAACGAAGTTGGTTTGAACCTCGGGGCCTCAACAGGGGCCGAGGTGCGTCTGGCCAAGACGATCTGTGATCGCATTGCGTCGGTTGAGCAAGTACGCTTCTGCAACTCGGGAACGGAGGCAAACCTATACGCGCTCAGTGTCGCCCGCCAGGTAACGGGCCGATCCAAGGTCATTGTGTTCGAGGGTGGATACCATGGCGGCGTGTTGTACTTTGGCCATGGCATTGCGGCAAACAACGTTGACAAGGAAGACTGGATTTTAGGCCAGTTCAACGACGTCGAAGGAGCAAAACAACTGATTGCACAGCACAAAGAAGATGCCGCGGCTGTACTGGTCGAGCCGATGCAGGGGTCTGGGGGTTGCATACCCGGCACGGCCGAGTTCTTGCACTCCGTGCAAGACGCCGCGAAGGAGAACGGCCTCCTGTTTATCCTTGACGAGGTTATAACCTTCCGACTTGCCCCTGGTGGCCTGCAATCGCGTATCTTGCATCCCGTTCACAACACCCCCCTCAGCCCTGACCTAACAACTTTGGGCAAATCGATCGCAGGGGGAATGACCATCGGCGCATTCGGAGGACGACGAGAATTGCTTTCTGTTTATGATCCACGAAAGGCTCAAATCAGTCACTCGGGAACATTCAATAACAACTCGCTAGCCATGAACGTTGGACACGTCGCTCTCTCGTCCATATACACTCCCGACGCCTGCGTGGCGCTCAACTCGCTTGGCGACGAGCTCCGACACGGCTTACAGGAACTGGCCCGTGGTACGAAGATGGTGGTCACTGGCCTTGGTGCCGTTCTCAACATTCATTTCCTTCCACAGCCGGATCCCGAGTCTCCTTCGAGCCTGAAAGATGTCCACGAATTGGATGTGAGTCCCGATAGTACCGAGTTCATTTTGAAGGATCTTCTGTGGTTCCATTTACTCGAGCATGGAATCTGGATTGCTCGACGTGGAATGGTTAGTTTGAATTTGGAAACGACGAGGGAAGACGTTCAAACTTTTCTTCAGGTTGTAGGCGGTTTCTTGAAGGAATTTGAGGGTATTGTGCGACTGTGATCCAGCTGCCGCGGACACAGACTGAAAAGGCTTGTACATATTATCATTTAGTCATTCGAGTGTGATGTGAAAGTTGGTCGAGATCAAATGAGATGAAGTGGGAAGGAAACCAGAAACACCTTATCTGTCAGGTGATTCATCCTGGCCAACAAAATGTTCTGCCTGAATGTCTTATCATCTACTCTTTCTGCATTGTGGGAGCTGCCACCAAATTTATGTAGGCAATGAACCGACGGGATTCGAATTCACAGTCAAGCGTTATATCACATCACATGTCTTATATTCAGATATCACTTTTTTCATATAGCCATGCTACCGCTTGAAATATCTTACAAAAGCCCTAAAACACCGATAAAGCCCACGACGCCAATCCCAAACATCCCCAGTCCATTCGCGACCATCCTGCCTGCACCACTCTCACTCGCATCCCCGTCCCCAAACGCCTCTCTACACAAACTCGCATTATAGTTGCCCGTCACATTCCCCTGAACACAATTCGCCTGCTTAGCATTCAACTTTGCTCGACACGGATCCCGATCCTTCTCATCCGCATCACTCGAGCCTTTCATGAACGGACATCCACCTTTCGTAGCATCTCTGACAACAATCGAATCGGCAAAGACAGGACACTCCGCATCGAGCCCCAACTTGAATCCACTCGTCTCAGCTCGGCCTTTCTCCTCGACGTCGAAAAAATGGGTATTTCCCGCCTGGGTCTTGCCGATATTATACTGCGTGCGATCGCCGATCTGTGTACATGTCACCATGCTATACTTCCACGCGAGTGAGTATCTGCCGCTTTCGAGCCGGGTCCCGTTATAAGCTGTGTCTGGGAGAATAGCGATGTTTCCGTCGTCGAGGAGGAATGGCAAGTCGGTGTTATTTCGGTAGGTCATTTTGTATATCGAGCCTAGCGCGACGGTTGAGTTCTCTTCGGATCGCAGGTTCCAGGAGATCGTGTAGCCGAATTCGTTGGCGGCGGGGACATTCTGCAGGGCGAAGATGACGGGAAAGGAGGTGATGTTGGGGTAGGTTTTGTTGGGGAGGGGGAAGAGGAGATCGATTTCGATGGTTGTGGGGTAGGAGATGGCTTTGGCGGGTTGGATTATTGCGTTTGAGAGCAGGACCAGTGGGGATATTGTCGTCCAGAATGCTGAGGACCTCCTGGTAGATGATGTGGGTTTGGATGGCTTCATCTTGCAGAACGAAGGGTCCTGGGTAGATAACAAATCTGGGTCAGACCTCAATGTTCAGGGCGGTCTTCACATTATCAATGAAAGGAAAAGCAGCAGCCTGATATGATCGAGTTACCGACCTATTTGGCCTTGGCGAGGTTATCCTAAATTAGTCGATACGAGGTAGGGCTTGGCTTGGGCATTGGGCCCTGAGTATTATTCATTCCTGGCTTCCATTGGCGGCTGAATTGATCGAGGAGCGGACATTTTGATGCGATCAGCGGAAAGTGAGAACCATCTCAAGACTTGTTGTCATCTGGGAACTATAAATATGTCGGCAAGTTGGCGGGAAACCCAAGATTCACCAGTCCATAGCAAACTGCAACTGAGATCGGGCACATATGCCAGCGCATCTAAGATCTCACCATCCATTGTTCTTCCGCTTGAACTGCCAGGCGCTTGAACGATTGAATGAACAGAAGCCTGAACGTGGATATGCCCGAGGCTTTCTAGGCGCCGAGCGCCGGTACATCTGATGATCAGATCAGGTCGTTGGCACCAACAGATGCTGTCGCAATTTAGCCCTATCCTAGGTTAATAATTCTCAGATTATGTCCTGAGTCTGGAATAATCGAAACACCAAAGAGCTCACCTACACCATTAGTCCATCCTATAACAATAAAGTACGCGGCGTTTCAAGACAATCAAAATAGGGGATAACAACCCCACTTTTTTATGGGTAGAAAAAGCTAAAGGCAATGTCTTAGTTAGCTGCCTACTCTTACTGAGCTGCAACCTCCCGACTTCACCATCCAGACAGCGAGATCACCTAACCCTCGGTCAACAGTGAACTCAAGCATTAGAGCGTAATTCATATATTCCAGACTTTGAACTCACGGGGCGCAGTAACACGTTGAGATGATCTCGCGTGGAAACGGGCTTCTGTGGCGCAGGCGCCAGGGAAGGAACCCTGTAGGATGCCTAGGCACCTCTCTGCTACCTAACCCTCCCCCTTCGCTTATAAGATGCAGCCAGGACAAGAGGAAAACGTTCCTCAAATACAGCAGCATGACCGCCGCAATCCGTACCAAATCCACGCATCTCGATCTACCGGGTTACATGTTACCTCTGAATTACACCCCAAGAGAATCTTCCCGAAAGTTGTTTCCCAATGCGCTGGATGCATCTGGCATTGAAGAAGGATGGGCAAGGTATTGATTGCTTTGCATCCATCCATACGAAAGGGCAATACTAAACGCGCTCAGTCGGATCTATGTCCACCGCGAAATCCTTATGATGCAGGTGATGAACACTATTACGGATAAACCTGAATGGGAAAGAAAGGTAATTGTCGCCATCGTCCGAGGACCTTGTCATGGCTTAACTCACTGATTCACGTCGTAGGTGTTTGAAGATGATATCGTCGCAAAATGGCGAGAGGAGATCGCCGGTAGTGGTCATGACATAACCCCCAACATGATGGATTGGATCATCGAAGAACTCCAGTGGAAGGCCAGCATTTACCGCGAAACCGGTTATGTAGTTGCATACCAGACCGGTGTGGTAAAATCCGACTCTGCCATCCCACGGGAGCTGAAAGAGTTCTTGCGGCAGGCAGTTCGCTCTTTGGAGCATGTCCCGGAAAAAAAGAAAGACTACCACCCTGGCTCAGACAAACAGGTCGTCGACCTGGTACACCCATCGTTATTCCCTGTCATCTATGGCCGCAGTCGCATACTACCTGACCGTCTAATTGGCGTGGACGACTGTTTAGATAGTGTGGGACAGGGTGAGCAGCTTGCGGTACCTCCAAAGAACCAAGCGCTCAGCGATGATCCAACTCGTTTTTTTGGCCGGGAGTGGGCAGTGGACCCTTTCAGTCGCAAATTCCAGTGGATGCCATGCGATGTTGACATGGCAGGAGAATGTCATATTGCATCATACATCAATAACCTGCATCCGGAAAAGAACCGGTCTCTGTACGAGGTTATCGAGAAGATCCTCTCCAAAACAATCCCGCTGTGGGATTCGACATTGACTCACGTGGGGGATAATATATGCAGAATGCCATACCACAATGTTGAACTCGAGCCTCTAGACCCAGAGCCCGAGGAACCTGACGAGGCAGATGAAGATGCCATAGATGAATACTACCAGCAATTGGAGTCAGCGCCAATTGAGCTTCCTGAGCCGGGCACATTCGAGCCTCCTATTCCACGCTCATATAGCAAAGTTGATTTGCGTACGCAGTATCAAAAGGAGGGACTGCAAGTGATAGTCAAGCTAGCAAACATTGAGCTGACACCTGAAAAGCCGGATTATAACGGTGGGTCTTGGCATATTGAGGGACAATCAGTAAGTCGACAAGTTGTATGCACCATATATTCGAAACCTAGCACTCACGTCTGGTAGAACGAACACATCTGTGCGACCGCGCTGTACTACTATGACAGTGATAACATCACAGAGAACCATTTGTCCTTTCGACAGCGGGCAGACGACAACCTCATCATTGATTATCCACAAGACAGGCACGACTTCCTGCAGTCGGTCTTCGGCTTTCCACCCGATATCGACGGGCGGAATGGTGGCAACATCACTCAAGCCCTGGGTAACATCTCGACGCGCGAGGGCCGTCTCCTGACATTTCCGAACATCCTTCAACACCGGGTATCGCCATTCTCACTAGCAGACAAATCGAAGCCTGGACATCGCAAAATCATTGCTTTCTTCCTAGTTGACCCTCATATGCGCATCATCTCGTCGGCAAATATTCCACCGCAGAACACAGACTGGTGGACGAAGAGACACGAGGTCATCAACCAGGTGATGGGGAATCGACTGCCGGCCGAGTTGCAGTACATGATAAACGAAAATGTAGACGCCGGTTCCATCACCATGGACGAGGCGAAGGAATACCGACTTCAACTGATGGAAGAGAGAAGCTCTATGACAGTTCAGCGGAATGAGGAGTTTGAATCTGGGAACTTTAACCTTTGTGAGCATTAGAAGGGCTTCATCTACATCATCCAGGGATGTGCAGAATTTTCAAGGCACCGATGGGATGGAATTCATCAACCGTTGGCGATAGATGAAGGGGTGGAGGAAGTGTCGAGGGTCAGATGAGTTGGTAACCATGACCAACAAGTTTAACTAGGAGCCTGGTAGCCTCAGGCCAACGTCATTTACCAGTCATCCCCCAGGCCCGTCGAATCTACAATATGCATATTCCAAAGAGTTCATCAGAACGAAATCAAATAGATATCCGCTAGTCATAAACATAAAATCCTATGATACAAGCCCAGTCGATATCAAGTCAAACGAAAAACCAGAAACGCTTCCCATCAAACATAAACATTAGGCACGATAGTACCGACTCAATTTAGTCCCGGGGTATCCAATCACCGATCCAACCAAGTGGTCAGATCAAATCTAGAAACGCTGCGATCCGACGTTTCCGCGGTTATCGAGGTCCGAGTCCACACGGGGGTCGGCCTTGTTCATCAAGTTCGAGTCGTGAGGACCGGCGGTGGTGGCGCCACGGTAGCCACCAGAGCCGGTGGTGTAGCCGCCAGGCTCACCGTAGCTGTTGGTGGCCATGGCCTCGTGGCGGGCGCGGTTGTCGCGGTCAGAGTCGACGCGAGGGTCGACCTTGTTCAGGAGGTTCGAGTCATGGGGTCCGGCGTTGGAGGAGCGAGAGCCGTAGTCGCCAGAGGTGCTGCCGGAGTGGCCGTACGAGCCGGGGCCGGTCGTGGTTCCGGTGGTGCTGGAGCCGTAGCCGCCAGTGGTGCCGGTAGTGCTAGAGCCATAGCCACCAGTGCCAGTGGTGGTGGAGCCGTAGCCACCGGTGCTGGAGCCGAAGTTGTCACCAGTGGTGCCGGTAGAGCTGCCATAACCGCCAGTAGAGCCACCATAGCCACCGGTGGAGGAGCCCAAGCCACCAGAGGTAGTGGGCTCAGAACCGTATCCGCCGGTGGAGCCAGTGTGACCAGTGCTGGATCCCAGACCACTGGAGGTGGTAGTGTCAGCACCGTAGCCCGTGCCAGTGCCGGAGTGAGAGCCGTAGCCGCCGGTGGAACCAGAGTGACCAGTGCTGGAGCCGTAGCCACCAGTGGTGCCGGTAGTACCGGTATGGCCAGAGCCGTAGCCGCCAGAAGTAGTGGTGTCGGCGCCGTACGAGCCCGTGCCAGCACCGGACTGGGAACCGTAGCCACCGGTGCTAGAGCCGTAGCCACCAGAAGTGGTAGTATCACCGTAGCCGGTGCCAGCGCCAGAATGAGAGCCGTAGCCGCCAGTCGAGCCCGTCGAGCCAGTCACGCCACCGCCGTAGGAGCCGGACTGGGGGCCGGTGCTGGTGCTGGTGCTGGTGCCGTAGCCGCCGGTGGAAGCAGATTGAGATTCACGGGCCTCTGTTGGAATTGATTAGCATAAGTTCGAGGAGGCATGGCGATGGAATGAGATACTAACCACGTTCACTGTTGACGCGGGGGTCAAGCTTGTTCATGAGTTTGGAGTCATGAGGGCCATTGTCGGCAGTCTTGGAGTCGGGGGAGGAAGAAGAGGTAGGCTGCTGAGTGGATTCCTTGTCGTGGTGGCCGGTGACGGCGTCCTTGACCTTGTGGATGATTCCAGACATGATGTATGAGATATGCAGATGAGGTTGGTCAGACGAAGTGAGGGTATAAATGGATGAAATTTGATTGAAGTAGAGTCAGATAAGACAAGTTATTGAAATTGATGTAGAAGATGATATTAAACAATCCTCCGAAGCCAAAGCAGACGAATATATACCCATCCAGACTCCCCAAACAAACGAACCCAACCATGACGTAACTCGTCCGCCACAAGCCACATCAGCTCCCACCAGGAAAGCAACCACAGCGACTTGAAAGATCCCGGGGTAGAACCACCACCAACTAGTAACCATGACGTCCGGCGCACCAATCACCCCGATCCCCTGAACCAGAACCCGGGCCATCTTCTCTCCCGAATGGTGTCATACCTCGTCATAGCCCAGACCAGCCCAGGGTTCTCGGCGTCTCGCCTAGGAAATCCCACGGAGATCCCCACCAGCCCAGATACAGACCTGCATGGACCACTGGGTGGCTGTCTCGGGATCCACAGGACGCGAGTTCGTATTGCGGAGGATATCCCCCGAAACCTACAAGAGAGGCAAGTGAAATCAAATATAGAACAAAGGACCAGAGACCTCCCGACGGGATAATCACCGATCAGCCAACAAGCCGAGGACATGATCTCATGGCGCCAGAGACGGACGCAGGTCGCGAAGACGTCATGCAGCATCTTATCATGTCGTCGTTGCGGTGGGCCCGTAATATTTATAAAACACGCTACTCTCGATCCGGATGTCCATTGCCGATCATGACTTCAGCCTTATGTGGCCTGCGAATGCGCTCGCTTGGCTGCTTGGCGTCATGGCGGCACGGATTGCGAGATGGGGCGGTGGAATGAAGGGATCTTCTGGTTACAGGGTTGGTTCGGACGTAGTTTCTCTTAGTGAACCCTCTGGGCTCCAGGTGGTTTCTCGGAGTAAGTCACTTTCATATACAATTGACATATAAAATATACCTGCAGACTGCAGCACAGGTCATCTTACGTAAACCAGCACGTAATGGACCAACTTGATAAAGCAATCTGCAGAATATCATTCCTAGAGACAACCGGTTTCAAATTGATCCCTTGGGAGGATTCAAGAAAAGCTTGGCTTGCAGGCATCAATATTTCTCAGAAAGTCCCGGGTTTCAGCGCTGTTGAAGAAATCACTGTGCTAGGATAGTGATACCCACTGACAAGCTAAGACCATTTAAGCCTTCTACAAATGAATGCACAGAAAATACCAATGGAAGGTGAATTAAAAACCCCCAAGCATAGCCAATCCCCTCATAGTATCATACATTAACGTAATCGTAGCTAAAACAAAACAAAAACCAGTAGGCCACCCATGTGGTATCACAGTAGGAAAGATTCGAGAAGAGAGAAAAAAAAAAAAAGAGAATGAGGTCATCGGGGTGCCGTGAATCTACTCCAGCAGACCAACCATCAAGCGCTGGTAATCCCCACTAGTCTCGCCCCTCACCCGATCGACCAAAGCCTTCTGGAACTTGTGCTGATAAGCCCTTCGGACCTGATCAAGATGCGCCCGGTTCCAATGCACTCGCACAGCACGCACCACCAGCTTCTCGTCCTTGGTGCCCATGCCCTTCATGCAGTCTTCCAGCGCGACCGCATCACGCATGGCCGGATCCAAGGCGCCCTGCAGGATATGCATTAGGGCATCTTTCATATGACCCGAGAATTCTTTCTGAATATGCTTCTCCAAGGGCGTGTTGTACCGCTGGCTGTAGGCCTGGTTGATGGCGCGGAGCTCCTCGTCCGACGACCGAGCGAAAATGCCGCAGACCTCTTCGACATTGTTGGTCATTCGGCCGGCGGTCGCGGAATGAATGGACTTGGCTTCTTCTTCAATCATACGGGGGTCAAGAGGCATGGACTCCTCGTGGCGCTGGCAGCGGAGGACCGTCTTGAACAGACCCAGCGTTTGGAAAGACAGATCGCCCTCCACGTCTTTCTGTAGAGAGCGGTTGTAGGTGCGCTGGTACGCGGACATAATGGCATGGAGGTCGGCATTGGACCGACCCAGCAGGACGTCGTTGAGCATCCACTCCTTCGTGCCGACACCGTCAACTGCTTCCCGGACACAGGCGACGTCATGTGCCAGCGGACCGTCAATGACAGCCAGCAGGCCCTGGCGCAGATACCCGCTGGTTTCGGACTTGACGTCCTTGTAGAGATCGCGGCGGATGTGCTCGGTGTATGTCTTGCGGACGGCGGCCATTTGCAGCGGATCCAGCTTACTGATCGTGTTGATGAGGGCCTTCTCGTCGGTGCCGAATCCCTTCATGGACTTGCGGAGTGCGTCTGCCTGAGGACGGAACTCGCCGGGGGCGACCTGTCCGGGTGTGTATCCCAGCGACGGAATAGCTGGCTGGCTGGGGAACTGAGCTTGTGATGGGAACGACGGAGATGGGTAGGGGTGCTGTCCATGGGCACCGGACATAGGTGGTGCTCCATGGGGATATCCTGGATGATGGCCTTGGGGAGGTCCCTGCGGAGGACCGGGAGGAAATCCATGACCGCCCTGAGAACTGGGGTAGGGAGGATAAGGCGAGCCACCGTGAGGAGGGTGACCCTGTTGGGGCGGGCCAGGAGGATAGCCGAATTGCTGAGGATGACCGCCGCCGTTGGGGTACGGGGGATTCTGGAAGCCCTGCTGAGGGTACGGAGGGTAAGGCGGAGCTCCGTGGGGTCCTCCGTGGGGAGGTCCCTGATGCATTGGAGGACCCTGAGGAGGACCGCCGTAAGGGGGGTACGGTGGTTCTAGACGCGAAAAAAAAAGTCAGCATTGAACATCCTAGTGGGGGTTGCGGGGTAGAAGACAGCGGGGCATACGATTAGGAGGATAATGATGCGACATGGTGAGATCAATCGAGAGCGAATGTGTAGATCGAGATAGACAGGAGGCAAAACTAGAAGCAGAAGAGGGACAGGAATATTTATCTGGAGGCAAGCGGGGAGATTCGGCTCTCCCACCCGTTCGTCATGGTGGCGCAGCAGTGGGGACAAGGCTGTCTTCCAGAAAGCATCGATGCATGGCCACGCTGCGACGGAGTACGTCTCTGTGGCGCAGGGTATGAGGGTCATGCGATTGGGTCTGGATGCACTAAAAGATAGTCGATGAACGAATTATTCCGTAAGGCTGCTAGAAATGCCGGAGATACACTGGCGGCGTATTCGTTTGCAAGTGGCGCAGTTTTAGCGGAACAGACGGAACCCCAGGCATCCCCAGGCATCCATACTCGTTGCCTGAGATCCGAGGCAGTACTCGAGATATGTGGAAGACATCCATTCATCAATCATTCAACATCATATACATACATCATGTGGCTCATGGCTCATGCTATGACAGAAACATGCAATGGTGAGCATCGAATGTCCACCTGAAATCAACGACCGGACAGAACAGAAAACACGAACACACCCTCTCGGGCTAAGCAATCTCTCCCACCACAAAAACATGAGCGCCAGGAAACAAGCCCGTCGAGCCGGCATAGCATCCCCAATACCAATCGTCGTTGATATTCTCCGCCTCGGTGATTTCGGCGCCCCGGGGAAACATCAACTCGTCTTGCATTCCGTCCTCCGGATACCACGACCACAACGCATGAAGAACGACGCCCACGCCGCCATTCGGGGGGAATCGACGAGTGGACGGGTTTGAGCTGGCCGTAATCGGAGTCGACGGCTCCGAGGTGCTATGGTGAGATCCGTTGCGATCGCGCTCAACCATCCACGGAGTGCGTACGCGCGAGGCCTTTTTGCGTCGCTCGGCGCCTTCCTTCCAGCTCCAGTCGCCGGATGGAGTCTCGCTAGACGGCGTACCTGCAACGACGGGCGATGCCGACGCCGATGAGGAGTGTTGAACATGTTCATCCTTCAGTGCGCGGCCGCCGACCAAGTCACACACGATCACTCGCTGCTGGCCCGCCTCGTGATCCTCAAACCCGATGACAACCATCCGATGGCCCTTCAGACAGCGTCGCCAGCCATTATGTCCATTTTCCTTGCGGATCTTCCCGGTCGCCACCAGTTTGAGATAGCAGTTAGCACAAATGTCGTAGTCGCCGTTGTTGCATTCTAGGCAATGGAATCGCAGAACAGATGGAGGAATGGGATGGGCACAGATATCGCAGTTGGTCGAGAAGGCGAGGATCTTGAATGCTTCGCTGCGAGCCGATGACGGAGTCGGCAGGTCGGAGCGGGTGTCAGCTGCAACGCGGCAGATCGGCAAGAGTGCATGCGTGCAGCATTTGCCCTGGTTGACACATCGATTGCAGAACCCCCAGTCGCCTTCGTTGCAGTCGTTGCATTTCCAGAAGCAGTTATTGGCGGGAGAATGGCAGATTTCGCAGAAAAGCCCCGTCTGCAATCTTCTGGCTGGGTCGTCACTGGTCACTTCTCGCCCGTCTCGTGAGCGACGGACGCCGTCCACTGGTCGTTTGTACTTGGATGACATCAGAATATGCTGGGACTCATTGGAGGGGGCAGGCTGGTCATTGGAGGCAGCGCAAATCTGTTCGTAGTTGGTTTTTGCAGATGGTCCAAAACCCGCCCAGTTCAAACAGCCCCGGCCCTGGCGGTAGCATCTTAGACAGAGATGGTAACCACCTTCCTTGCATTCAGTACATTTCTTGTGTAGGCTGTACTGGATATTCGCTTTTCCACATCGGTCGCATGAAATCGACGGTTCGACATAGGACGCCGTCATCTGCGAAGCGGTGGATCGCGACGACGACGATCGAGATCGCGCATCCTGCCGAACCGGGCTGCTGATTTCGGCAGTCAAGGAGCTTGTCGTCGCAGGGTTGGTGATAATAGGCTCAGGGCGGCGGGCGCTCGAATTGTTCTGCACGTTCTGTAGAGGCGAGGGGGCCGACGTAGGAATGTCGATCGATTGTCGACCAGGCCTCTGCCGTCGCAGCTCCCTATCATTTGCTCCATTCACCCAGATATTCGGCACGCTTTGTTCAGATGCAGTCGCCCGCCGTGATCGCGGAGCCGTAGAATCAGACGCTCTGGCCCGTTCGGAGTACGAATTGCGAGGGCGCTCGGCAACCATGTCGCTCGACGACCTCGTAGCCGGTCTCAACGAGACCTCCGACGACGACGCCGGATTAACAGGCACGGGCGACGTCCGCCGGCGACTACTCCCCTGATCAGATAACCGCCTATGATGACCTGGCTGGCCCGACCGCGACACCAGCGGGTCCAGCAGATACGGCCTCGACACGGGCGGGTTTCTCGACGATTCGCGGGGCGACGTCGTCGTAGTAGGCGTCGTAGGAGCCGACGGCGGAGGCCTCTGCACAGACTGCGATCTCGCCCGAGGGCGACTCGAAGGCTGCGAGGGCGTCTCGCCGCCCTCCTGTCTCTGCTGCGATCGCGACCGCAAGCGATGTCTCCGCCGATAGGCGTCGGCAATCCGCTCACTGAGCTCCTCTTCCTGGCGCGGGCCGAGATTATCCAAATCGATATCCTCCAAGAGCCCCTCCTCCAGAATCTGCCGCAAAATCTCCTCCTCCATCGTCTCGGTATCCGACAAACTCAACAACGACCGCAAACTACTCTGATGCTCGATCTGCCTCGTACGGCGCGACGCATCCTCCGACCGTAGTGCCCGGTGCTGTTGCTGCTGCTGGTGTCTCCTGGCCGCCCTATCCTCCTCTCTCCGTCGCCTCGACCTCGCATCCGCATCGACACTCTCTGCCCTGCCCGCGCGACTCCGCGACTCCCTCGCCGACCTCCTGGCATCTCTCAAACTCAGCTCCCTCACCTCCTCCAACAACCTGCGATCCTCTTCGCCCTCGGCCCCAGCGGATGCCTCCGCCACGAGGGCCGGAAACACCGACTCGCCATGTTTATACTTCTTCGCGATCTCCTCCCTCTCGGGCTCGGGCTTTGCTCGCTCGGGGTTATTCGCCAGGACCATATCCAGCAGCGTGGTGACGGTAGCATTGGGTCTGGTTTCGCGCACGACGGCGCGACACGATGGGCAGGTGAAGCGCGGGGAGGAGGACGACGATCGACGGCGGGCGCCGCCCTGCACGGCGAACCATTCTTTCAGACACGAGCCGCAGAAGGTATGTAGGCAGTCGAGGAGGGTGAGGGGTTGGTATAGCAGGTCTGTGCAGATCTAGAGAGGAGAGGTTTCTTGGTTAGCAGTGGATATTGGGACAACTGGACGGTTGAGTGAACCGTGGTTCGGGTTGGGGGTAAATAGAAGGTATGGTTGATGGGCGATCGGATGGATCTACTCGGTCGCGATGCCGATAAATCGAGGGAAAGGATCATATAGACCCATCGCGAGCAAGGGCCAACTGCTGTCGAACGAGTCGGAGAATGAGAAAGTGACCGAACGAACGGTGAGCGGACAGCGGTGCCTAGCATTCGCTCACCCCACGTTCTGGTTCCTTCTGACTCGACCGTGGCGTTGACCATGAAGAAAAAAAAGAAAAGAAAAATCACGTACCGAACAAGTGAGTTCTTTTTCCAGGTCCCCCAGTCCGGGACCACTGCGTGGTTCAGGCTCCATGAAGAAGAGCAGCCAAGGCTGAGGGGAGAATGGAGGAGAAGTGAAAGGCAGGTCAAGTCAAGTGGGCGGATCGATCTCGGCTGCTTTGGTTTTAGTGCTCGGGGCTCCACCGGCTGGAATGGATCTCCGCATAGGGCTGTGGATATCGTAGATTAATTGTAGATTGTGGCCTACGGAGTATGGCTCAGGTTGACAAGTCAGAAAATGAGATGCATGGACTAGTTATGGATCGGGGACAAAGAAAAAAGAAAAGAGACAGCAGATTGGACCGCCACAAAAACTCCCGCTGAAAAGAAGCCGCATGGATCACCGGATTCAATATGAAACAGACACAACCACCCGGTGCAGTACTGCGGAAGGAGAACTACTCTTTCCCAAATTTCTCCTTCTCCCAAAACCAATGGTACAGACTGCGCCATTCAGCCGCTTCATCCTCCACATAGTCGCCTACCATCTCCGCCGTCTCGTTGGAATCCGACCAGAAATCCACACCGCCAGGTCCGCTACTCGAGGTCATCTCGACCGCCACGTTGCCCGAATGACTGCCCAGGATCTCGCCCGTGTCCTGTCGCGCCTTGTCAGCGAGGTCCCGGGCGCCTTCCCGGGCTGCATCCGCCCACTCCTCGGCCTGTTCGCGCGCGCGCTCGATTAATTCTTCGGGGGTCGGGTATCTCCTCAGGACCACGAGAAGGAGATAGTAACTATGAACGATGGCGGAGTAGATGGCATCCTTGGCGAGCATGGTAAAGCCGTGGGAGAAGAACCCCTTCAGGATCTCCCCGGGTAAGCCGGCGTAGAGCGCAGAGACGCCGTCCGTTCGGGCGATCGCAATCACGTTCGAGATAATCGCCGGCGTCAAGGATATTCCCTCGTCGGTATCATCTTTCTCGCCGCTATCCGCACTCTTCCCAGCCGCTGGCGCATTAGAACCCGTGACCTGCGCTCGTGTTTTGGCCATGGAGAACGGATACGTGACCGACGAGGCGGCCGACTTGCTAATCGCAGCCAACAGGAACGTAATAATCGCCGACGAGGAGCGGCCACCCCGCTGGTCCCGACGAAGAAAACTGTATTTGAGCACCTCGTTCAAGAAGAAGGTAATGGACGGGTTCAGCGTCAGGATCAGCGACGCCGAATACCCAGACCAAAACCCCTTCAGCCCCTTCTCCGCCTTGATCTTCGCCGCAATATCTCTGGCACTCACCGACGCCTTGGACGTCTGCTTCCGCGCCACGATGTTCGCCAACGGCGTCGTGAACAGCTTCGCGAAAGCGCCCGCCAGCACACCCACCGCCAACTCATCCAGCACAGGGAGCACCGTATGCTTGTTCCTCCTGCTCGCGCCAAACCGCGCATTGATCCTCCGCTGTCTGAAGAAGCCATACGCCAGGAAGAAGAGGAACGAGTCCGCGACAGTCTTCGCCGTATCCTGCGCCAGACCAGTGTAGAAGCTCCCTAGTCCCTCCCGGGCGTAGATCTTGCGAGCGGCATCGATGAAATCCGTGTACTCTTCGTCATCACCTTCGTCTTCGTCATCGCCATCGGATTTCGCCTTCCCCTTGTCCTTCTTCCTTTGACTCTGCGTTTGCAATCGCGCGATGATCAGACTGAGAGGGTAGGTGGCGAGATTGGAGACCGCCGCTCCGACGGCACCGGCGACGGCGTTCCCCAGCGCGGGGAGAGCGGGGCCGCGAAGGGCAGCGGTTTTCCAATCGTGCTTTGGAGGGGTTTCTTCGTAGCGGTGGTAGAGTTGGTAAGTATCCTTCGAACCAATCGTCAGCGTATATCACCAAGGGAGGCGAAATGCAAGATCAATCACCCTATCATTAGACAACACCAGACGCAGAGAAAGAAGCCATACCAGCTCAGGATTATACGAGATCTTGTATTCGGACATATTGCCCCGAGACAGTGCGAAGCCAATCAATCGTGTCAATCGCCTCACCTGGTGGCAGAGGTTCGAAGCAGCACAATAAATAGGCAAGATAGCGACCGACGACAAACAATGTCAGACACCTGGGTCAGGTCGCGGTAATAAGTACCCGAGGCCAGCTAGTCATAGGGTATGGGAACCGGTCGTGATGGTTAGATCTCTTGAAGAGGAGGGTCCCAGAAAGAGAGCAGCGAACAGGAAGAAGCCGGTAGACTGGAACCATGCCATGGCCTGCTTGCCAAAGTGCATCGACCGAGGTTAATCGCCCTCCTTCGGGGGAGCTGATAACGTCATGCTCCGCTTGGCCCGTGCACGCAACGGGCGGCATGTGATTTGGCACTTTCTTCTCCATTCCGCACGATGAAGGAATTCCACTAGAAGTCTACAAGACTACAAGTACAAGACGCACCGTTGATTCACGTTTCGAATCCGCTTGGATTTGTTATCCTGGTCTAGCAGCTAGACAGGCACGAGGTGTCTACAGACAGTAGAAACAATCCAGCCATTCCTTCATATCCGAACCCATAACCCAGCAGACGTAGATAGATATCATTTGAGAATAAACCAACCCAACCATCCCGAACCCCGTACCCAGTTTGTTGTAAAGAGAAAAGCGCAGATATCCCAGAGCCTTTGCTTGAAAGTAAAAGGAGAATAACACCGCAACCATGACCGTCCATCATATCTGGCCATTCATTTACGCATCCATGGTCGATGTCAACGAGCCAGCGGGCAGGCCAGTATTCACCAATGCTCTCGCAATGTCAAGACATGACACGAGAATGATTTCGAGATTGAATGTATGTGGGACAGCCAAAAAAGAACGAGACCGATAATTTAGCCACCGAAACCGTAGAGGGTACGGCCCTGGCGCTTGAGGGCGTAGACGACGTCCAGCGAGGTGACGGTCTTACGCTTGGCGTGTTCAGTGTAGGTGACGGCATCACGGATGACGGACTCGAGGAAGGACTTGAGCACACCGCGGGTCTCCTCGTAGATCATGGCGGAGATACGCTTGACACCACCACGACGCGCAAGACGACGGATGGCGGGCTTGGTGATACCCTGGATGTTGTCACGCAAGATCTTGCGGTGACGCTTGGCGCCACCCTTGCCGAGACCCTTGCCACCTTTTCCACCTGCAGACGAAGTTCACGTTAGTATATTGATGTGTATTTGAAGAAGTGGTGGACATGGGGACAGGTTGGCGAGGCGGGGACCTGAGGCTATATCGTGACATCACGTGCCCGTCAGGGGTGCAGGACACTCGATAGCCTCAGACGATCATCTGGGATCAGAACGCGGGACGGAGGCAAAAACGCGAGGATACTTACGTCCAGTCATATTGTCAGAAGGTTAAAAGGTTAAATTTGGCTCGAAAATTGATGGAAAGTGATGAAAATGGTGGATGGCAGATGATGAGACGCGACGCGTTGCGGGTCGGGGTGCTGAGAGGAGGAGTTGCAAGAGGGAAGAAAGGAAGAATGGAACAACCAAAAGGGTGCAGGTGGGAGAGGGGCGATCGCTTAAATACGTTTCCCGGGGCGGGCGGCAAGCGAGAGTGATTCGGTTTCGCTTTCGCCCTTGAGCTGAATGACTAAGCCCGGGGAGGTGATCTAGAAGGGTCAAAAGCAATGCGGCGCGTTGATTGGCGGGTCGCGGCTGGGAAAAAGCGCGTTATGAACGACCGCTTTCCGTGAGGTGATTTTGGGGCGGGCAGACTGAGGCGGGAGCGCTGCCTGCCCGAGCGAACGGGATCGGCGGGTAGGTCACGTGATGCTTGGCGTCCGGAGAATACTCCCACAGCCACAGGCGCTCTCGCCACGCCCCGCCACGAGTCCGTTGGATAGATAGTTATTCTTTGTTGAACGAGACAATCTCGCTACTTTTGCTGCGGATACGAGCCGTTTTAAGCCCCCCCCTCCCCCAAGTCATCATGCTCTCTCCAGTTCCAAAGTCTTGTCTGAGCGGCCATGTCCTGCTCGTCTCTCACCAGCATCCCGTTCGGCACCTGTCGTTCTTTCGAAGCTCATCATCGTCCATGAATCGCTGATTCTTCTCCTTTTCTCCTCAGGTTTAGCAGATATAGGGGCGGTTCCTTGGTCGACAAAATTGTCACCAGCACCGTCCTCACTCCAATCACGGGCCCCTAACGTCGACTGATCCTTAATTGAGACTCGCTTAGCGGGGGCTCTCCGACACGCCATCACCCTACGTACTGGGTTGCTAAGTGCTTAGGCTAGGCTATGGGGGCTGCACAAGTACCTTGGGACGTGAGAGAGAAGACCCGCATGAGTAGGTTCAAGCACTTTTGTGATATTTGGCGCTGACCCACGCGCTGGCATGCATCAAGGATGTGGGCGAGTCCATGATGTTTGCACGGGTGCGAGCATGGCCAAGAGCAGCACCGCCGGTGGAAAGTGCTAGCCGAGCTTTGATCACATGAACTTTTGGCAGGAGCGGGTGTGGTATGAAGTTTCTTGACTGTCGAGGCATAGCGTCTTCGCTTGGGTCATCTCAGGTCTACTAAAAGCTAGGTTAGGCACAAGAGGACATTATAATGGAACCAGTTGCACCAGACGGTCTCACAGAGAAACAGCAAGCGAGGCTAACAAACAGGGCAAGACTTAACTATAGAGCTCAAACTCTCCCTCCTAGGCATGTGGATTATATGATTACGGATCAGGAAATATTCAATCTACAACAGAACGCAGGGTCGAAAGTCCGGCGAATGTGGCCTGGCAGCCAAAATTCAGATATACAAAATCACACCTATTGGGAACATATCGTATACCTCAGTTGTTTCCCTCGATATCGTCAACCAAGTCGTCGGCAAGTTTGTCCGCTGCCTGCTGCGTTGGGTCCTCTTTGACGTTGACCCACGCCGTAGCGTACGTGTGGTGAGACCCGTTCGTTTTGAGTAATCTCTTGAGACCACTATTCTTTGCCTCCCTATTGATCTGAAGGTTTACAGCGACCAGGTCGGGGTTATCCTGCTTAGGCTCTCCCGCATCTAACCTAATCTCCCACTCTGCATTCTTCCTAGGATTGTCCGCTGGCCACACACGACGACCAGGAGTACTGGGGTCGAAATTCAGTAGGCGTTTCGGGCCGGACGCAGTTGTCATAGCGGAATCGATAAGTGACCGGACTTTGCGTTTGAGGGCGTTCATCTTGAGGTATGGATCTATCGAGCCGGCCATTAGGGATGTGACAACGGGAGCATGTTGGGAGAAGGGTACCTATCAAAACTTCTTCGAAGACAGAATGTCTGCCTTGGTCTATCAAGGCGCGGGCTTTTCTTTGGAGAGGTGAATTGTCACTGAATGGGTTGAATCTGCATGGAACTCCTGATCATCCCGTTGGAAACGCTCACTTATATATTGCGTAACAGGCTTCTGAGAACCTCTCATTTCACGCTAGACCAAACCTCTAGCCGCCGACTCACTACTATAATTATCAAAGTTCACCCCTGTTCGAGAATTACTGGATATTGAGGCCCTGCTGAGCGCTCGTCTTTGGCGCTGGGAAATCGATTGCGCCAGGCTTCGAGTTTCAAGGCAGTGCTGAAGCTGGCCCGCCTACAACCAGACATCGCGTCATTAATGGTAGATGGTGTGGGCCTCATTGTCTATACCGGCGTATCGCGCAGCGGACAATTGGTTGAGAGAACTTTCATATGTATGTATCTAAGTTCATAGGTAGGTGACTGCGTGGGCGTTCTCTGGTCGCCAAGACCGAGTAGGCGCCGGATAGCCAAAAAAGGGCTAGCGCTGGTATTTTTAGACGGATCTCGGCCGCGCTTCCCTCCTCGGGTTACGAGTCACGACGCGCTATTGCTCAACGACAACGAAATGACAGATCTTCCCATCTTTCTCAAACGCCAGAGATGAAGGCCATCCGAGCCCGCTTCCTGAACAGAACTCTCGGGACCACGCTTGGCCGCCGCTACCACCCCCACGATACGCCCATGACTGCTCCCTTTTCTTCCAGTAATACCAAAATGAATGAGACCGAGGGTATCGCGGATTCAAAGCATGACATTGAGGCACTCAATCGGTTTACCTCAGGTCGTTGGCTCTGGAACGAGCGACAGCAGCTTGCCTGCCGCTATGTTAGGTTCGACCTCTCGACACTTCTGAAACTCGCTGCCTCCGCGATCGGATCGAGGTCATGCACCCGAGTGCTAAAGATCTCGGAGGGTCAATATAACAAAGTATTCCAACTTACCATGGACGATGGACGCGAGATTATTGCGAAACTTCCAAATCCCAACGCAGGCAGACCACACTTCACGACAGCTAGCGAGGTTGCAACCATGGACTTTGTATGGCCTAGTTTCCTTTTCTACTGCGACTTCTTTGTGCGCGTCTGTATTAACCTTACTACCAGTTAAGGAATGTCCTGGAACTCCCTGTTCCGAAGGTCTACGCCTGGAGTTCTCGAGCATCAGAGAACCCTCTCGGAGCAGAGTATATCTTCATGGAGAAGCAGGCTGGCGTGGTATTAACCGACGTATGGGATACCATCAAAGGAAAACAGAAGATCCAAATTCTCGACCAGGTTGTTGATATTGAAAGGCGCTTAGCAACCATACAATTCGCCAAGTTTGGATCCTTATATTATAAAGACGACCTGACCAATAATGCCGATTCTACTTCACCGCTATATGTTGATTCAACTGGAAACGAAGTGCGGAACAAAACATTCGACATTGGTCCGACTAACCACCGATCTTTTTTTGACTTCGGGAGAGGCGCATTAGATATTGAACGTGGCCCATGTACGTTTATTTCTAACTTATACGATGTTCTTATCTTATACTTACCTATACACAACCTTTAGGGTCAACAGTCACAGAATTCATGTCAGCTATTGCGCGGAGGGAGATTGCAACTGCAGAAGCAGGTCTCCAGTATCCCCTAATGCCTGAGGGCCTTTTCTACGGCCCCCGACAATACCAGCCTAGCCTTTCTAAAAAGCTCTCCGGGTTAGAGAACTATCTCAAGGTGGCACCTCATGTTCTCCCAGAGAATAAGGCCACCCATGCCTCAGTTTTATGGCACGGCGATCTTCATTCGCAGAATATATTTGTCGACCCTCAAGACCCAGGCCGTATTGTCGGAATTATTGACTGGCAGTCCGTCAGTGCTTGTCCGCTTTTTATGCAGGTTGGACGCCCGGCGTTTCTTGATTACAACGGTCCGGTTCCTGAAAATTTGGGGAAGGTCCCTTTACCACAAAACCTCAACTCCATGGGACCAGACGAACAGCAGAAAGCAAAAGCACTCCATCTAGCACAGTCGCTACATAATCTCTACCTCGTTCGGCATCTCCAAGCTAACAAAACAGTTTTTCAAGCGATCCAGGGCCAGAATACCCTCCGGCATCAGATTAGTATGGTTCCGGGATTGGTCTTGATGGACTACGAGCCGCTGCTCAATAGCCTTCTGAAAGATGTTGAGAAGGAGTGGGCACAGATTGTTGGCTCTCCTCAGACGCCGTTCCCATTGCAGTTCTCGGACGAGGAAGTCCAGCAGTGGGCGGTGGATGGCGAACTCTGGGCCCAAGGGGTTGGACTCATGGATGTATTTGTTAGCGACACCGGCTGTTTTAAACATTGGGATGGCAGGGTCAGCGACGGCGATTACGAAAAATCTAGGAAAGAGCTAGACGAGGGGGTGAAAAGGTTCTTGGACCGTGAGGCCAGGAATGATGCAGAACGCAGGGAGTGGCTCAAGGCCCTACCGTTCGTGGATTGAAGTGTGCGGGCAAGGCTGGAAAATATCACTGGTTTAGCATTTCCGGCATTTTGTGGACCTTGTTGTAGGCTTTCACATATCCTACGGAATATAGGTCAGAGATGGCTTGTCCCTCATGTATACCTAGGTACTCGACCCGTATGTCTAGTGAGTCTAGTGAGAAGCCCATTCTCGGTCGGACTCTGAGCGAGAGGATCTCTCTGCCGTGCTTGCCCTTTTCTCTGGCTAGATTCCTTTCATTGGTTCAAGTCGCCATGATAAGCCGCAGAGGGGCCATTGTTTCAGTGTACCATCTTCAAACCACTGACCACAACACCATCGTCTTAGAGGTGTAATTGCAGCCGATCTAACATTGAAGTTGTTGACAAAACAGTCTATGATGAAACCCACAAAGTCAATGCTTAATATGCAGTTCTAATTCTTACAGATATCCTGCGCTGTGTTGATCAACAAATATCCTTTCCGTTTCTAGGGCTATTCGCTGTTCACAAATATGTATTCCTGCGCTTTCTGTGCCCGTTCGACATAGCAGACCAAAACTCCGCGGAGTGGACTCATCATACAGAAACTCTCCCTTTGTTCAGATCACCGACCCTAAACCGTCAAGGCATGCTAAAGAATAAACCCTCGATCCTCCATACAGAACCTCACCACGGACTGAGTAGATTGCAAAAGAGAGCCATGTAAATGCAGCAAAAGTGAAAGAGGAAAAACGAGAAGGAAAGAAAAAGAAGGAGAAAAGAAACACTTTTCATGTTCAGAAATAGCCCGTTTCAGAGCATTTGCATGATCGCTGGAAACAGACTACCAGCTAAACGTGGAAATGGAAAATGCGTAACTTCGTAATCGTTAAAGGTATCGCGGGTCGACAGATCAGCCGCCCGATCCTTCTGTCGAATCACTGGGAGTAACGTGCCATAGACACCCATGAGATGATCGCCCCGCGGTTTATTACACGTCGCAAAAGGCGGACACAAACCCATGTATCCCTGATTGAGAGAACATAGAAAAGAAAAAGAAGACAGGAGATTACAATGGAGACAAGAAAAAGAAAAGGGGAAAGTAGAACAAAATGACAAGAACCTGAACCTTTACAAGGTTGCGTTTTACAACAAAACGCTGCACGGCACAAGCAATGCTGGTAAGTCGATTCATATGAATTGAATCGATATCGAGCAAGACAAGATCGAATTGTGCAAGACACACGATGCTTATCCTCGAATGGCTGTCGGTGTATGTGTTTCCTGAAGAAATCGGTTCTGGACCGGTTGATGGTGGTTGTAGGCAAATGGTTTGGGAGAAGAGGAGGAACTCCGGCCGCTGATCTTCGTCACATCCATGAGAGGTGACGGAAGCGGGGAGGATTTCGGTGATGGTGGATTGGAAGAATCGGTTGAATCCTTCCGGGCGCCGGGCTCGTCGTTTTCGGACCCCGAAGGCCCGGAATCATTGGAGTTTGAAGACCCAAAGAAACAGTATCTATCGACAAGTTCCTTATAGGTCGATGACTCGCGGTGCGGTTTGCCGAAAGCTAGGGTAGAAGGTTTAGATTCTTCTCTATGCCCTGATTGGGGTTTCTTCTCGCCAACTGACATGTCTTTCTGACTATCAGCGCCTCTCCCCTTGGGCTGATATTGTTTCTCGCCGTGAGTTGCAGATCGCCCAGACTTCGCTCGAGCAGTCAAGGTTGTCCGATCGAGCTCGGGCTTGGTCCGCATGACCGCGGACAAGGATGCCTCGAAGTCATAGCGGTTACCAAACATCTGGTGAGACTGCTTTTCCCGGCGGATAGGAGGCGGGGCCTCAAGGTCGTGGGAAGGATCTTCGCACAATGTCACGCTCTTAGATTCCTTCGAAGGCCGACCGAAGGACAGGGAATCATTCAAGCTTGAGAAGTCATCAAAGGCCGAGGGCACCGACTGAGGGCGGACGCCGGAGTGGGTAAAAGTCCTGCTCCGTGGAAGAGTTGGGCGTGATGCCACGGTCGGTGCCGGCTGGGGGCTGGGGGGTGAAGGTTTCGCTTTGGGGATTTTAAGGAAATTCACCTGGAAATTCCTGGACTGGTTATTGTCCCAGTACTCGCAGCCCTTGACACTGTAGCGGATGCAGATAAACATGGTCTTCCTTTCCAGATTGGCCTGATCGTTCAACTTGATGCTGAATGAGAATCGATCAAATCCATCGTACTTTTGGTTGCGGTTTGCACCCTGATCATACTCCGCATGGACCTCCGAGACTGTCTTCCAATGATCAAAAGTGAAACGAGAGGCGACATGCTTTTCGAATGCTAGATTTGCCGCCGCAACCACGCCAATTAGGGTGCTCTTGTCGGATGAGAGAGACAGTCGCTCCAGGCGAACTCGCTGCTGCGACCTGGCGGCAGTGTCTTTAGGGAAATTGGTAAGATGCAATCCCCATTCTAACGATGATCCATCGGAAGAGCCTTCCTTTTTGAACGGGAATTCCCTTTGCGCCTCGAAATCTTCGACGGGCGAGGTGCCAGTGCTAACCGCCTGTGGTTTGTCCAATTGCAAGAAGTGACGGATATGTTCAAGCTGAGAGTCGAAATGAACCGCCTTGGAATAAGTTGGAGTTCCTGGCATGCTTGAAGGGCGCCTCCGAGCCGAAGCTGGCCGTAGAGCGGGTCTCACAAGCTCCCCCGACTTCTTCCGCACCATTGGGTGTTTGGGTTGTGGTTCATCATCACGATCGCTCTCCTCAGGCGAGCTTGTTAGTGCGGACTCTTCTTGGCGATGTGCGATAGCATTCTCCGTGAATGACCGCGAGTGGGAAATCTTGCGAGCTTCCTTGGATAGAGGTGGGCGCGTAGGTGGCTTGGGAGCATTGAGTGTGGGAGTCACACTAGAGGAAGGCATCTCGTTCGGTTGGCGCTCGGGAGAAGAAACTCTTCGTTGCTCAATGGACCTCACCGCGGCCTCTAGTTCCTCCAATCGAGGACCATCTCGATGCTTATACGGAGCCTCCTCGTCGCTGGAATTGGGAGCGGACTCCGGCGGAGAGATGATCGCTCCGGGGGGCATGAGGGCCTCACTTACGGGAGGAGGGGACTGTCGAACACTGCCATGGGGGTCAAATGCATGATGGACTTTGAAGGGTTTGTCAATCGAGTTCTTGCTGTTGGACGAGCTTCTCCGATGCTTGCGGAGATACGACGTCGAGTTGTAGAAACGGGAAAGATGCGGGCGTCCTTCTTGGGGGCCAGCCAGCGTGGGCGAGCTGGGACAGGATTGGGAGATAGGGTCGGAGTATTCAATGTGCTGCGCGGAAAGCGTCGACTTCAGCGGCGCAGTGTATGGCATCCGGCCGACTTGAGTGTTTCAACACCAGAACCGGGGATAAAGAAGCGAACGGGGTCAAAAGTTCCTTTCGTTTGCTTCCGCGAGGGCGTTCAGATGGTCAGCGGTTGGTTGAAGCGGCCCCTGTCAAGAAAGACTAGAAGTCTGGAATCAGCAAGAGCGTGACGCGGAGCGATCAAGGCGGCGTTTGGCTTGTTGCAGATGTGGGGAATGACGTTTTGCGCATCAGTTGAACCAAGTGGAGAACCAGGCGTAGAGAATCATAACACCGAATGTATAGCACCAACACAACAGATATAGATGGCAGATGATGATAGAGCGTAGGAAGGGGTTTAAGATGGATGGAATGGGAGGCGAATCTAGTTAAAAGACGGAGCAGGCCGGAGATCGGAGGGGGGAGGCAAAGGAGACGAGGGTATCACAACAGAAGCTCCAACCAGTAACACAAAAGGGGCCTGTGAGATGGGGTGATTCGAGAAAGCCACCGACAGGGGACCTTGGAGATTGACGGGGAATGACGGTAGGGAATAAAAAAAGAAAGAAAAAAGAGAGGAATGGATAGGGTGGGATCGAGTCCATCACCGGTTGGAGGGACGTACCTTGTCGGTTCGACATCTAGTGAGAGAACAAAGAAAAAAAAAAATAGAAACGAGACAGTATTGATGGCGAGTGGCGAATGGGAATCCGTGCACTTTTAAGATTTCCGAAATCTCCTTAAAAAGAAAGAGGAGAGCAAGTCAGATCCACGAAGGGAATGATATGGGGGAAGGAGAGAAGGAGGAGCGAAGATGGTGGAGGGGGAGAGAATTATATGATCTGACGCGAGTACTGCCAGCCGGAGGAGCAGGTAGCAGGTACAACCAGGGAAGCCGGCTGGAGTACAGGTACGGTAAAGATAGTGATAATCCCTAATCGACGATAAGAGGAGAACTGCTTGCACGAGAGGGGCGGAGAAAAAAAAGTTTAAGCAGAGAGTTCCGCGGAATCTCCAAAAAATGCAGGGAATTGAATTTTCTTTTTTGGGGGACGTAACCTTGAGCAATGCAGAACTAAGCAATGGAGGAGTTTGATTCGGAAAATAAATCGACGTCGGCAGGATTAATTCCATGGATCGCATTATTTTTCAATCTCCAATTGATTTTTATTTTAATGGATTATTATTTATTACTCTCGTCTATGCCCCCTGAATGGCCAAAGCAGCTGCGCGCCATCCCAAATTTGCCGCCGCACCCGGAAACGGTATTAGCGGTAAATACGAGACCCGTCGCTGGTCAACTTAATTTAGGCGATCGAACGGTCTGGGACGGTGGGACGATCCCCGGTCGAGTCAGTCTTGACGCTGGTCTGGCCGTTCCGTGGCTGACGGGGGGTTTTTGCCTCTCGGTCGTTGCTTCCATCCGCCGATGATGACTTTCCCAAGGATCCTCGTACTTTTGGGGGATGGAGATGGACTGATGGGGGAATCCCCAGACGAGATGTACATTCGAAAAGTATCAAGTACTCCGTGGGTGGCTCGGTGGAGGGCAGGTGATCTTCCATGCTGCATCTCCGGAATATTATGGTGTGAGTGGTCCCCTCCATGCATTGGTCGCATGTACGGGACACCGAGTGTATGCAGCTGCTGCGAGTCTCAACGCAGGCAGGAATGTCGAAACAAGGAAGCCGTGCATCCCTGCAGTGACCGTCTCGCATCTTGATTCTCCAGCGAAATCCTGCGGGCGGCTCCCCTCTGGACTTTTCTTACGCCATACGACCATTCCGCCAGAAAGGGACTGATACCTATCCGAATCCAATCAGATGAAGAACGCCCGGCCTGCCCATGGATCGACGAACTGGAACGGGGAGTAGATAAGGCCGTGGCCATCACCTCCCCCGTCCGAGGTGTCCGGGCCTCTCCATGGTCCCATGGATTCCGGGTCTTGGACGGCGGAGTGACAAGCAGATCAGTCCATCTGCCTGTCATGTTGTCCCCACCTCCTCCCTCCAGCCCTTGTTCTTAGCGCCGGTCTAACCGTGCCCCCACGGCCCAACCAAACGCCCCCAGACCTCCCGCGCCAGGTTCTAGATACTCAACCCACACGCAATGGATGAAACTTGGGGCTCTTGGGGGGAGGTTTATTTAATCCAGTCCCGCGATAACTGATCCTGAAAATCATCTTCACCGGAATAGGGATGGCATTCCCCCACCCCAACTGCCCACCTCCCTATTCTTGCAGTGGATCCGTCCGTATTGCCTGCTGGGATCGTTTCTGGCGCACGTTCGTCTGGATTCTCGAGGCCGCCCGCCGTTGGTGCCTGTACCATTGGCCATGTGCAACTTAAGGGGCATTGCGCGATGGTCGGTGGTGAGACTGGATCGACATGGTGTCCTGCCGGTTGCGGTCGCTAGGATCGACCGAGAGTATCTATGGTTAGGGTTAGCATCAATTAGAATTTGGACTCGACGGTTAGATATCGAGCAGCTTGACTTTGGCGGTCTCACGGATCCGCCTGAAGGATAAAAGAGCGACCGTGGATTATGCGATGGAGGATCTCGTTATCAACATTCCCGACGAGTATTGCGAAATGAGCGAGTCCCACTCGAGCTAACACCCCAAGAACCCGAGTGCTAGTCTCATATCTATCAACGACATACATAACCGCTACTCCCCAGCAAGGATGCACTAGCGCCGTTCATGCCAACTAATTTCCTTGGAAAGTCGCCCGAATGACATCAGAATCCCATCCCAGGCAGTATTATTTCCAGTACTTGATATCCGGATTCTTGATTTGACTTTGGTCAGTCTCATCCCCCCCTCCTTCCTTCAGACCTGCGGTGGTGAGGACTCTGGTGTGATTGCAAATGCTTCTGCAGCACGACCAACGCTGAAGGGGGCATTGATTGACCAGCGACGGTTGTACTTGACGGCTTGGCTGGTCCAAAATTATCGCATGGTCTGGTTGGGTGGCCTGCGGGCTGCATGTCGAGCAAGGAATTCTCGCCAGTCATCGAGGGTGCTGGTTTTTTGGATTTTTCTACATACATATTTCATGGATCGTGCAACGGTCTAGGCAAGGGAAGTCCCAGGTAAGGTACCTCCGGAGTACCGCGTCGTTGGTATGAAAGCTTGCCGGAACCAGGTAGATCCGACGTACCAGGAACAAAGTAGGATGGCCGGGATGGCATAATCTGCCAATAATTTTGTCTAATCGAAACCTCCATCCCGGGCGTTATCAGTGCATCGGTGCGACATTGGCAAGTCGAGATTGCATTTCTCGCGATAGCGCCGCCCATCCCTTGCTTGCCGACGGCCTGCACAGAAAACTTCTTTGATTGTGGCTTGCATCATTTTTTCTTCTGGTTGCCGCCGACCGCCCCTGAGCTCGACGGAGTATATTGGAGGGGAGAATCCTAATCATATTAATCTCTCGTGTTTCACGATCCACCTATGCAAGTCTCACTTCGCTATAATCTTTATGGTGCCGGTCAACTACTCTAGACTGAGTATCGCGGATCCGCTAGCGAGGCAGAGTTTTAGTCGCCACCAGGGCTGAAGTTCTAGGCCGACCGTAGACAGTACTAGAATGACTCGAATGTATAAAGGCCGAGTTTGAGGTAGTATCGACCCGGAGAGCTCACGGACCTTACCCTTGGATCTTTTTTTTTTTTTTTTTTTTTTTTCTTTTTCTTTTTCTTTTTCTTTTTTCATTCAGAGTTAGTCAGAGGCGCCGCCCCGATCGGCCCTCCGCCATGACCTCCGACTGTCAGGATTAAATTATTAATAGCATCCGCGACTATTGCAGAGGCGAGTCACGCTGACCCGAATGACAGTTCCTCAGGACACGGATGCCATTGAGATCACGACCACCCGAGCCAGTTTTGACCGTCTATCGCGCAAGATGGAAAAAATCCAGAAGCCCTAAACTCCCGAGGCAGTTGATCGGGGACTTTTTCCGGCTCCTACCGGTCGGGCTGCCAGGAAACAACGGGCAAACAAATCTCCTTCATGCGGGCATCCAGCGAACCGTAGGCAGTCGGTATCGACTATGCGTACATGCTATGTACTCCGTACAGCCTCTCCATTGTCTACTCCAACACGAGTGGAGCTGGCGGCCTGCACCGTGTGCGCCTCCTTGAAACTAGAACTGTGTATGCTACTACCTAATCGTACTAGGGAGGGAGTAGTACTCCGTAGGCCGGAGTACCTCAGGCTCTGATATACATGCATCGATGTACCTCCCTCCTGGCTTCAACTCCCCCTGTCGGCGTCCAAGACAGACTACGGAGCAGACCGTACCGGTGAGCGTTTCTGACTCTCCCAATCAGTGCTGGGCGCCCGAGCGGGTAATCGGCGTCGCTGCCTCGATCGACGGCAATCCAGCCACGTTCGAGCCCGGGCTTCTTCCTCGCGCCGGACGTGAAACTTTGGGGCTTATTCGAGGGGCCAATCCGCTGCCGGCGCTGCGGACGTGCTTGCGATCTTTGGCTTTTCCCTGTCGTCGCATTTCCTCTCCTCTCCTCTCTTCTCTCCTCTGCTCTGCTCTGCTCTAGACCTGTTCAACCGACGGTGGAGTTCTTAGGTAACATCTCCTTCACTAGACTGGAGTCTTTTGACATGCATCTCTTCCGCAGAATCCGACCCCGACACAAAAGTCTTTGTACGATCTAGCGTCCAGTGGCTGCGGTAGGAACCCCACGGACGCAGTCGGCGAACTAGGTCACGACAGCATGGTATCCGAGCGTCGGGCCAGCTCACAGATTACGGATGATCTCCACCTGCAAGCATAACGATGCAGACACGGAGAAGACTCGCCAGCCAGAGAGAGGGGAAAGCGGCATCTCAGCCTTTGTGAACTCAACTCACCTCCCCACGGGGAACTTCAGACTTGCTGTTCGCACAACCCAAAATCCGATTTAATCGTGTCCAACGCACTCCGCTTCCGAAGTGGAAGACGACTGATAAGAAGATGGAGAAGCGGGGTTTGATCTGGGGAATTGTCGTTACGCTCTCCTCCGACCTCTTCAGTCCAGCGGCGCAGTCCTCGACGGCCAATATTTCCACAATCATCGATCGCGCCCGTCTCAAATCCCTGTCTATCACCCAGGTCGACAGGATGAGCATGCCCCCTCTCTGCTCATACTGAACAGACCATGATCTCCGGCTTCCAGCCCGCGAGAAACTTCCCCCGATGACGACTCTAGACCTGACTAGATAGCCACCTCGTAGATTAGCCCGTTGATTGACATCTGCACAGACAGAACAAGCAATCAAGCAACCCATCACCGCCAAAGAGATAGAGCACCAAGTCCCTAGACTGCATGGCATCCCACCCACCTGACATGCGACATACAGCACGCGCGTTGCCAATACCCAGACTCGATCCCCTCATGGATAGGACAGACCTACCACGAAACGCTCACATGTGCCCTACAGTAATTAACTGGAATCATTGAATCGAGTCGAATCCCAAAATCCCCACTTATGCGGCGCCTAGAGCGCCGTACAGTGCGGCGTAAAGTAGACTACCTCGAACGAGAATCGCCCCAAATAACAGCCAAGCCAACCTACCCCGTCCTGTCATATCAGCACCCTGGACAGGATTCAACCTCCCTGCCCAACTAGCACTCCGGGATCCACGCACGTCCATCAGGGCGCAAGTCCGCGCAAGCCGAGCTGGTCGAAGGAGGTGAGGAGACGGAAGCGGGGAGGGGCCGCAGCTTACGTGCGTCGGTGGAGCTTGGGAGATAGTGAGGTATGGAAGGTCCTAGCTGGGCCCCGTTTGTTTTGATTGTCATGGCTGTCCTGGCTCAGATGACCGACTCCTTTTTGTTTCTTTTGTTCGGACTCCATTTTGCGTTGACGAGATACGCGAGTTTGTTAGGGAGGAGTCACGCCATCGATGCCATGGATGGGAAGGTCACCTGAGATCTGGCATTGTGCTTGCACTTGCCGCTCGGCTTCAACGTGATGATTCCCTCGGGTTTGGTTCGGTGATTGCCGTCAGTGGACGATGTTCTGTTGCCGTTGTTTGATCTCGTCGATAAGGATTGCAATGGATGCCTTCCCCTCTTTGTAGGACGGAGGAAGGGTGGATAGGTAGGACAAGCCTCTTCGATTCGTTTTCTGTCTCTTAAGACTCCAGCTATATTGTTATTCATGTTCTAACTCTTGAAAATAGCATTCTCTACGCATCATGCCATCCCCGACCTGCCAGCCCAGTCTTAACCAACCGATGGTCTCTGGAAATGATTGGAAGGGATGGCTTCTTCGAGATAAACCACGGAGCTACTGGGCGTCTAGTTGTGAGTAACTCGAACAATTGCATCTCTGCTGACGGTATGAAGATAAGGGATGGTTCTCATATACCTATGCTTGTTGATAATATTGTTGTCCATGGGGCTCTGAGCCGAGCAAATAAACATGGGGCTTGGAATTGCAGTGAGTCTCGCATGTGATGATATGTACCCCAGGAACTATACTAATTGGTTGTTTCATTCAACAGGTCTCCTGTTTCCTTCAAGTACGAGCAGCTCCTGGGATCGAAGTTCATAGCAAAACATACTATCAGTCGTGTTGGATGATCGCTTCGGGAATTGCGATACGTGTAGGTCTGAGATGGAGAAGATATAAGGTTAGACAATGAATGGAAAGTTCTGATGTATGGAGATAGCCACTACTTTCGGCCTAGTAGTTGGGTGTTGTCTTAACGGACATACTCTATATTCCATAACAATTGTCATTACACTCTCTCAATCGAAGTCCACTGAATGAATTGAACTTCCGTACCCCAGATTCGTAGGGCTATAACACATCGAAATATCAACCAGCTACAATGAATCACCCGTCGCCCAGCCAAAATAAGATGCGACAAACCTTCCCCAGTTCCTTCTTTGTTCTCGAAGCCCTCCTCCCACCTAGCTCGCAGCTCCAGAAGATCGTAAGCAACCGACCAAAAGGGTAAAGCTGAAACGATTGGCCGCCAAAACACACGAGTACGAGGTCCCTAACCACGGTACATCATGCACCCATCCACCCATTGACAATAGCACAACCGGACAAGGGAAGCGGATCAACCGGATCGCGCTTCCCCGTCGTCCAATCGCCCGGCAGCATGGCCTCGTCCAGCGTCCGATATCAGCATCAGCGAACAAGTAACCTCACCTCCCGTTCCCCAGATGACCAAGCACCAAGCAAACACCTTCCGTTCCGATTAGTCCGGATAGCAAGCGAGCCGTCTACGGGCACAAAGAGCGGCCGGCGTACACGTCGTATGGACGCTGTGTCTTACCACCGGACCGGGAGATATGCATGCTTCTGTTATGATGTGAAGAGGAAGCATTACGCAGTAGTTAGGAGCTGCGGCGCTGCTATACGACAAGACCATTAGCCCCAGACACAGACGGGATCAGCCGAAGATCCGAGCGCGATAAGCCTTGTCCCCTCCCTCTCTTCCTTGCCCCCACCCGCGACGAGGAAGCTCCATCGGCCGGAGCTATATTCTTCGCCGGATCTGGCAACGCTGAGACAGGACTGCGGGGTGCAGGAGAAGGAAGAGGGAGAGGGAGGAGTGTTTGACAGCTCAGACGGAAGGTGTATCATTGAAAGGATGGCGTTGTGGACGCACGCGCGGTTCCGTGCGGGGTCGAGCTCGACACCTGAGGATTCGGGCCGGTCATTGGCTTGTAGCGGTCGACAGGAGAGCAGGTAGACGAGACATTCTCATGCGATCCTTTGGACCTTCCCTCTTCCTGTCCCCCATGTCGCCATCAACGCTACCTACCCTCCGTACTCATTCTCCAATGCCCCCATCATAACCCCCTCCGTCGTCATCAGCGTCTCCAATTACTGCATCAATGCACCCCATGCTCCCTTGCCTACCCCGTACTTGAATGACGGACCACCCCTGCTCAGCGCTAACGCCCGTCGCCGTTACACAGGCCGATGGTGAGCACGGTCGTCGGTGGCTGGTGCCCAGCGCGTGGCGTGCGGACGCTTTGTTGGCGTGGTGGAGTTACGGAGGGCGCCAATGATGTTATCATAGACGCGGGCTGCTGCTCGCCTCTTTGTCAGTGGCGACGGAGGGAGGATTTCGTGTGGACGAGGGATGGGTGGAAGAAGTCTGGGTCGAGGCATTCTTGTGGCAATGAAGGGAGGGGTGGACTCCTGGCGCCTGGATGTCTTCTCGGCTGCAGAATATGATAGAAGGTGAGTGTAATCGGAACCAGAGGAAGAGTGAGAATCTTCTAATGACACATGTGCAGATCCGATTATCGGAGGCGTTTTGGCCGAGCGAAGTCCGATATCTTGATGCATTGGCGTTTTCGACTTCATCGAGCAATCTCCCAAGCGATGACTCAAACCTTCAAACCAAACGATCTTTCGGCCGGAAGCCTCTGGCCAGACGTCCCGGGAACATGGATGCTGAGCACAATTGCATGATCGGTGAATAAGCGTTCGGGATGGGCTGATCTCCCTGAATCATGACATTCGAAGACCCGGACGGCCATAGGGCTAATGGTGGATCAGGAGAAGACATCCTTCGAAGCCGACTAGTGGGAATGATCTACCGGGTTCTGTTCTTTGGTTGAAACCGCCATCCTTGTCAGCCCTTCCCACGCTTCCCAGGTTTGACTCGCGAAGTCGTACAGTGCTTGTGATGTGAAACTATACTAGCCTACAGCGTGGCAGACCACGTTCCACCGTATCTGCGGTCTTTCTCTCGGTCGGGTCGGAATACGATGCCTTCAGAGTTCAGCAGAATGGCATATTCGGGATTTGTCGAGCCATACCCCGCGTGATCAGAGTGAAGGTTCCTGTCAGTCTGCAGAGGATGTCAGAGGGCTGTTCTGACTCTGTGTTGGGTTTGATGAAAACATAAATTGGGAGACTCGTGCCCTCGTGATGCTATCCCACTCCATATTCTATCTCTAGATTCTGCTGAAACCTTCACGCCATCTCGAATCGAGAGAGCAGCTAAGTATCATTCGTCAGTGTTTCTACCGCAGGGCAAAGACTGACATGATACGCATAGAGTGAAGCAGGGAATTCCAGAACCATATTAGCTTCGCGCCCCGAACGATCGTTTACGACGCATGCGGAAGAGCCTTTCGTATCGGCAAATAAATCAGCATAGACAATTGATAATGAGACGAGCGCTGCTACACCTGATACTATCCATCGCTGACCACACCGGGTATGCCTACCAATCTTTGCAGACAACGTAATCCAAGCTCCCGGAAATTGGCCATCTAGAGATGGAATATGAGTTCTATGCGAACAAACATCCGTCTGTCACTATCTTCATGTTGTGATAATGAGATAGTTGTAAGTGAATAACGGAGAAAATATCATGGGCCTCAATTGCTCCTGTCCAGATTGAAGCTATTCCATACAGGAAACCAGAGTTACATCGGGCTTCGCATATTTCAATAACTTCCCCAGCGCTTCAACTCACCTCAACACGATAATCATTTCACCAAACAAAAGCCACACATGAAACTCCCAAGCACCAACAGCCTCTCCTCCCCCTACCATAACTCACAACTTCGCCCGCCCACATAGTCATTCCAGTTCCTCGACTAGAGCAGATTGAGCCAACGGATGTGACTCAGGAGCGGGAGCCAGCATCACGTCGCTGGTCGGGTGATAGCAGTGTCCGTAGCTACAGCCCCCCTGGTGATATTACTGCACCAGCGGGGGAAGCCCTGGCAAATGTCAGCATTACCATTTAGAGCTATAAGCAAGACAACTGGAGGTTATCAGACCGCCTACAAGTAGATCCGTCAGACCCGTCACTACTAGAACATCTTGCGACAAAGTATACTCAGAAAGATTATTTATTATATATCAAGAATATGTAGAGCCTCGGTCCAAAAGAATATTATAGTACAGCTACTATTAATAATAATAATACAATATTTCTTATTTCCAAGCACGAGGAGAAAAAGCTTACCGCCAAAGGCCAGTTTATCAGCGATAACAAGTTTCAGTCATTAGTTTCGCGTGTGCTCGATGAGCCAGAGCCGGCATCCCCTGTGAAACGCCTGCGCATGGGAGCCGCCTTCCATGAATTATTAGCAGACATGTGGCGGGACTTAAGGCGCACTTACAAATATAATATAAAGAAGAATAGGTCGGGCTTCTCAAAGCAAGGGCCGGAATAGGATACATTTTCTGTGTCGTGATATGGCTTATAAAGAGCTTTCTATATTAGCTGTCATGTATTTCCTATTATATAAGTAGGATTTTAAGTGCATGGCCACGTGAGTGTAATCAACGTAGAATTACGAGATTAAGAAGACCTTTCTGTGAGAGAACCCTTCTTATAAGGATCCTCTTGTGAGGAAATCGATCATGTGAGACTCGACCTGGAATAGACCACCAGCCAAGAGGGAAAAGGCCTTGTGAACCATCCTCTGGAACAGCCCTAGTAACAGAACCTTCCAGTCAAGACCATGGCGCTCATATTCTCACACAAACACTTCAGCTGCGGTGCCTTGCGGTTGCATCGTGGTGCATATCTACTCATAGAAATTCTGCACCTTGAGTCCCTTGAACTCGAACGACGCGTTCTCGGAATGATCAATCACAGGCCGGTGATGCACATCCTTGACCCTAGCGCGGACGTATTCTGTCCCTGTTGCAGCAGGCTTACTGCCATCCTTGTCGTCCTCAGTGAGCAAACCAAGACGATCCAGTAAAGGCGACGGCACCGGCTTCATGATAGCCTGGTCTCCAGGTCTGCAGAAGTAGAGCAGTCCTAGACGGGGGATCCTGATCTGATCCGCTGGAGGCGTGACAACCCGGTGGATAGTGGATTTGAGGAATCCTGTCTACCATCAGTGGACGAAGAGCTTCGTATTCGGAAGAAACTAGGAGCGTACCGTTTGTAAGAAAGGACGTAGATTCGCCAAGATTGCATGTAATCCCCCGGTCCACAGGCTTGACGTACTTCCACTCCTCTTCGGGCGTTCGGATCTGTAGACCAGCCACATGCTGCGAGAACAGCAGGGTGAGACTGCCGTAATCGGTATGTCCGCCTTTTGTATACGCCTGCGCCTTGTCCCATTGTTCTTGGGTTCGGGTGTTGTAGAGCATATACCGGAGGTGGTCATCCGATCGCTCATCGTAGGCATGTGCGTTGAGGAGGTAGTCTTCTGGTAATTCGAGGATAATCGCTATTAAGATGAAGAGCTTCCGAATGACCGTATCGAAGAGGTCGCGGTGGAAGCTCGCGATCTCATCGTAGTTCTGTCGAATGATCCGGGGTTTGGGGATGTGCTCCCATGCAGGAATTGCTTTAGGGATGTTGAGCTAGTTATCTGCTTATTAGCTATGCTTCTAACATCGCAAAGGTTGATTAATGTACGTACCGCCTCGATATTGTCCTTCACCCCCGTATCCGCAATCCACCGCTTATTCTCCCGATACCCGAAGTACTCCCCCTCGGCGAAGTTGCATGCAACGCTCCGCTTTTCTTCCAACGGCTCCTTGAAGAACGCATTCCCAAGGCTGAACTGGCGAAGCACCCGATCATCATCGAGTCCGTGGCCAACCACCACCCAGAATCCAACGCGAGTGACTGCATCGTATAGTTGTTTGGCCAGTTCTTGCTTTCCGCCGGGCTCGTCGAAGCGGGAAAGGTCGATCTGGACCAGCGGGGCCCAGTCGAGGTTCTTAGTTGTAGGTGCAGGACGAGTCCATGGTTCGACGGGGACTCTGTCGGTTGAGACCGGGGCTTCTACGGCTGAGGGGGCCATAGTTTCTGGCTCTGTTGTGGTCTGGAGGTGGTGACAGAGTGGGATGATGGGATTTATGTGTAATTTGAAACGGTATCTTGTAATGCAGCGCGCATCTTGATTCCTTGGGGTCTGTCAGTATCCCCATTTCATTCTGAAGATGCGGGGTTTCATGAGGATTTCCATCCTTGCCTTGGATTGCGTCATACGCTAGGGAATTACCATGCCGGCTATTCTTCGTAGTATTTTGATTGGCTAGTCATGTCAAAGCAGGTGTACGCACTTTCAGATAGTGGATTAAGCATGTTCGAGGCTTGGGTGGATATGCCTGTTTCTGCTCGGCTAGCGCGATAGGTAATGGAGGACGACGCCGTTAAGGAGCTCCGAAAGGCAGTCAGCCATAAAACACAACGGCTGCAAGAGTAAAATCGCGTACTTCGAGATGAACTTCATCAGGAGAGGAAAAGGCACCAAAAGACGGAGAAGGAACTTTCCCGTCAAAGGGGAAAGCGTATTGTAGAGTGCAAAATCTGCTTTATGCAACCAGATCGCTGGGTGTCTATTCTATGTGGGCACATGATCTGCAGATCATGCGCAGGAAGACTTGGAGCAATGGGGAAGTGTCCTGTCTGCCGAGAACCAACACACGCCCAGGGTATTCGCGCTGGCGATTGCCAGGGTTGCCGGTTTAAAGGCATCTACCCGACTACTAACTGCACACAAGCCTCACGCCGGTCGGTTAGTAGTTGGGTGGGTGACCACCAGCGAATCCCGGCTGTTGTATGTTTTTGTTTTGTCTGTCTTCTCTTGGTCGAGTTTGTCTGAGAGGGGTCAGTCACATGGATGGATAGATGTTGATGGTACTTGGGGAAAGACGACTCAGGAGATTAATAGGATCAGAGGGAATAGGTCAAGATCAGAAACGCTCCCGTGCATTATTATAGTCACATGGCATATATGGTATCATGGTGTTGGAAGAAAGTAATAGAAAAGAAAAATCAAAACAAAAATCCACCCAAAAGTCCGGCTTCATGGTGTACAAAAAGAATCGAAATCTTAGCCAAAACATGGCAAAAGTGGTTGATCAAGTAGCAGTTGCACAGCGCCAATAGATGCTTCGAAAATACAAGACAAATATCACCAGTCTGTTATTTTGTCTTCTCATGTCATTTCATGCATCGGTCATCAAACCCAGAAAGCCGAACGGGTCATTAATTATCATATTGGTTTGGTTGGTAAGCGAAATAATATCGTTCATAAGTCATCATCGTCATCATGGGACGTTTCGTGGTCATCTTGAGGAAGAAGAAGTCAATCAAATCAAACACTTGCAGTTCTTCGTTTCTCGCTGGGTTTCTGGGAATAGGCAATGAGCAGCCGAAACCCGGTGCCTCGCTTTTGGCATTCACGGAGAACCTTCCGGTCGGCCCAGATGCTGAGGTCGGCGTCGCCATTTGGAAGGACTGGGATCTCGTAACATCGGGTGTACCACCAGCGGCCGACCTTGGCCACGATCTTGCGGATGGATTCGTCGTTCGCAGGAGACGGGGAGGGATCAGACAGCAAATCCCCCAGCGACAGGTCGGTGTCATTGGAGGATGACTTTCCGTGGGCCTTGGACTGTGCACTCACGGATGAGGTGGAGGGGCCTGAGAAGACGGTGAAAGGGGTGGTATTGGTGGCCATTGTGGACGGATTCGACGAGGATGTGGAAGAGGACGAGGCGGATGATCGGACAATTATTCCCGCAGTCGGGATTCGTACAACGCATCTTCGGAGGCTATCAAACCCATGCTGGCCTAGCATTCGCTGGATGCTGTCACTGGCGGGTTTCAAGCTAATGTTGGGGTCGGTAAGATAGGTTCTCTCCTTCAGCTGCCGTACAGCCTTTCGGGTCCGGATGCCCATGTTGACCATGTCCAGGTCGAGCACGCTCATCTCGATATACCCACCGGGGCGGAGCACGCGCTTGCATTCCGATACGATCTTATTTTGGGCAGACTCTGAGCAAGCGGCCGGGAAACGCAAGACCGTCACGGTAAAGCTCCCCTTCGGAAACGGAAACTGGTCTTCAAGGCTCGCGTGATGAATGGTATGATGGTTGGAAGGCGGTTGCCAGGCAGCAGGGTGCTTGAATGTAGCGGGAGCAGGTCCATCAGTCAGACAGTGCACTTCAGCGTTTGGATAGGTGAGAGCACAGTAGAAGGACCAGTCGTCATTTCCTAGACCATCCACCACTAGGATTCGCTCGTCTTCTCCATCTTTGACATGGTTGTGAGCAGGGCTGAAGAGAACGCGCCCAAACGATAGCCATCGACTCGTCATCAATGACCCCGATCGAATGTTTGTCTGTGCCGTGGGCCCTTCTCGATCTCGTTCGGCAATGTCAAACAAGATGGTATTCCGTTGCCGACAGGTTTCAAAGCTCGGAGATGGGTTTAGAGGAGAGCTGGGGTAAAGCGATTGCTTGTTCGTGGGTACAATAGTAGCTTGATCGATTTGGTCAAGCGCTTCGCCCTCTGGTTGATCATCGCAGTATGCTTTTATAATGTCACTGAATGAAGGCTGCGAAGACGGGGCGATGGATGAATGCAAAGCAGACACGATCCTGGACCGGCGAAGGTGAACTGATCCATTACTTGATTGTGGCGATGCCGGAGTAAGTGCCAAAGCCGGATTGTCGATGAGAGAAGAGCGCACACGCTTATCTGCTTGACCATTCAGTTCAGCTTGAAGCGCTCTACTAGCCATGGTTGCCAATTCAAGCTTTCCTTCGGCATCGTTTTCACCGGGAGAAACGGACCTCGTAGTCTCGGGAGATAGGACATGGTCAATCAGGTCATCATACTCCCCCCATACCTCATCCTCATTGAGCTCTGACTCCGGGTTGGGTATCACAGCTGTGACAGCGGCAAGACTCTCTGATCCGCTGGAAGTTGAGATCATAGAGTCATTTCCAGGAGAAAATGTGAGGAACTCGTGTTTTGAGTACGGTCCAGCAATGAAGTCGAGGATGCTCTGCGTCGTCGTCGGATCCCCAAATGGTTGAGTCAAATCAAAAGCGGGATTGTGCCGATCACGCGGAGGTTTGGGTCTCTGGGATTCGGGTGTAGGGCGAGGTGGTGAAAATTCAGCTGGTCTATCCACTGGTGCCGTTAGGGAAGGTGATTCAGCCACACTGAATGGCCTTGAGAAGGATTGAAACGCAGGTCTATGCTGTCTTTCTCTCCTGGACACAACACGTGGGATGCGCCCAATAGATGCCAGTCTACTGGTGCGCTTTTCCAGAAATTGCTCTTTGTCCTGTACTGGCTCTGCCTGCGCTTGGGGGCTTGGATCAAAAGGGTTCCTTGTGAAATAAACCTTTGGCGAGGGCGGACCGTTCCTGGTGAATTCACCTTGTAATTTCGGTGGCGACGGAAGAAGAATGGATGGACTTGGCTTCCTGATATTCAACGCAGCCGGTATCTCAACTGGTGAGTTGACCCCGTCATCTTCCGTAGGAGGCGAATCCTCAATGTTGTGAATAATCTCCTCCAAGGGATCTGAATCGGTATCCACAAAGGCATAGTGTGCAACTGGTCGATGGGATTTGACAGTCGAAATTGCAGCCTGGAGCTGAGGAACAGGAGAAGTCAATGGCTCCGGCTCTTTATTCGCAGTACTGTCATTGCTTCTGTGAAAGAAACTCCATTTTAGACCAAGACCCTTCTTCGGGGACTTTTTCTCTTGCTTTTTCGTATTGTTCGATGCCTTGGACTCTGGTGAAGATGCCAATGTACTCGCCTGAGACCTTTCGTGTCTGATCCCATCGGCCTGCGAGATCTTTCGCTCCGGTTTCAATCCAGAACCACCGGTGCTATGTAAGCTCGAAGAGCCACCTCGAGCTACTTGGTCATGGTTGAGTTCCACTTGCGATATATTTCTTTGGTGGATGTCTCGAGCCTTCTCCACGGTCCCTGTCGAAGTGGCTAGGGAATCGGTGGAATAGACAGGTGATTGTGATATCTTGGAGCGCGGTGCCATGTTCGTTGTGGACGTGGTACTGACGCCGCTTGAACTCTGTTCACTCTGCGTTCGAATCAGGGCCGCTCCATCAATGCCACCACCCGGTATGATCACAGGCTCCAAACGGTGAAGCAAGAAGTCATCGAGCCCAAAGTCTGATCGACCTCTGTCGCTCCCCTTGCTGCTAGAAACAGACTTGGACACGCTCCTGGTCGTGCTAGTCGATCTATCTCTAGCTCCGCCGGTGCTGCCAACACTTGCCTTGCGTCCACGCTGCCCATATCTCCCGTACCCCTCATGGCCAGTTCCAGCAGCCGGACCCTTGCGAGTGGGGCGAATTTCATCCGATGATTTAGTATCAAGCTCTGGTTTAGACTTCTTGGAAAAGAGTCCAAATCGTCGTGGCTTGCCAGGACTGACAGGAGTTTGAGGTGTTTTCGAATCTCTTGTTACTGTCTGGGGTGGTTTGCGGGATAGCTCCGGAGATGGTGGTAGGCGCGATGGAATCCGAGAAGATGTTCGAGAATGTAGCGAATCCACAGAGGTGGCCGCGGACTGGTTCACCGACAGTGGGGATTTCTCAATGGTGAGTGAGCTCTCGACAGACCCGCGTCTCTTATGCCCGGTCACTGTTTCGGGAGACAGATTGCTCTGAACCACTGGTGACGGCTCCAATTCAAGTTGGTGGGTGCCTTCTCTACTTGGTCTCCGTGGTACTTGTGCCGTGTTGAGGGATAACCCTCCTCTCTTCAACGGTCCACGTGACTCGATGTTGGATGACTTCGGGTCAGGTGCACTGCGACTTGATTCAGCCAGCCCGCTGGACCTTCTAGGAAGACTAGATTTGATTGACGTCTTGCGTTGGGGAATACTACTGTTGGTAGATGGGTCCCTCCCAGCATCGGGTTCTGTCACAAGGCCACTTTGTCTGAGCCTGGTCAACGAGGAGGTTGAGTCTGCTCCCTGGGTCGAGACCGGTGATATGAACTCTCCTGAGCTCATTGGATTGCTTGGTGACGGGGTCTGCTGCATCCGAGGTGAAAAAGTCGGGGGTCTCGTTTGAGACGGGCTAGGCTGTCTCAAGCGGGAGCCAGCTTTGACCGGTTGAACAATACCCGGGGAGTATGAGGATAACGAAGTCGGAGTGGAGGTGCGACTCCATATTCCAGGAGATCCAGAGTATCTGGTCGAGGGACTGCTGGCGGACGCGAAACTGGGTGTTGGTGGCGGCAGGTTCTGTGTATTGAGTGTGGTTCGAAGGCTGGCAAGCTCTTTAGGGCCGTAAGATACTTTGTCCGGAGTACCACTCACATTCCTCTCTCGAACGGCAGATGGGGTTGAGTATAGCTGATCTCTCTGCTTTGGGCTCGCAAAGGGCTGAGGGCAGTGCATGTTTCCATTGCTGGACTGAGCATCGTCTGGAATTATTACGTTTAGTTTTTCGGGTTTGATGATTTCCATGGTGGCTGGTGGTTTCTCTGTCGTATGTTGTCCAATTGTGGGAGCCTTCCTTCGAAGAACGTTCCGTGGCCGGCTGCGAGCGGAGAGTGGCGGACTATTATTCGAAGAGATTGACACTGAATACGAGCTTTGCGGTACCCCTAGGTTCGCGTTTATACCAGGGGACACAGTAGGTCCCGATGGGGCGGGCAGTGGATGCGTAGTCGACCTCGGGGGTAAGAACGATCGAAGGCCCTGACTAGACGGTATTCTGGAAGGGTTTGAGCGAGCACCTAACTGGCCCTTCTCAGCCACGGACAAGGAGGGTACTCTGCTAGTCCTATTAGAAGGGAGTGGGGGACCAATCTGAGCTCTTGGCGGCACCGATCCAGGGAGGCCCGTTTGCTTTGCCGGCGCAGTAATCATCGGCGATGACACGCTGCGTGGTTGAGATGCAACACCCCTAAGCCGGGGTATTCGACCGCCATCAGACTTGTGCGACGACATGGTGTTACTAGGCGGTCGTCGGTAGTTTCAGTCCGAAGACTATAAATCCAGCGGTGGGTGAAAAAGTAATATGGGCTTGGAATCATTCCGTCCTTATGAAGAAATTCCAAGCGACTGTGTCCGTGAGCTGAGGTCCAGATTCGAGGCATTGTGTATAGAAACAACGCAACTCACCATCAGCACATAATTACAAGGGCTCGAACGATGCCCATGAGACTCCAGGCAGCATCATATGATTGCGACAAGAGGCAGAGGGTAATTAAGAAAAAGTCCGTATGAACGGTGGATATCTAGTTCAATCGTGGAACAGCATTTAAAAAACGAAACCCAAGCAGCGTGAGCCGAAGAAGTTTATCGAAGACATCCAGTTTGTCTAAACACGGAGCAGATGGGAAAGCCGAAAAAAAAAAGAAAAGAAGGAACGAAATCGCTGGCAATTAACTGATTATGAGGTTGCTTATTTCTTAGGAAGAAAAAAAATATGCACCCGCTCCGCCACAGTATGGGGTCACCGTCCACAGTGGCTAAAAATGCGAAAAGAGAGTCAAGCTGGGTCTGCACGACCACGTCAGAGATAACCTAAAACCCGGATCAAGTAAGAACAAGAGAAAAAGAAAAACAGAGCCCAGCTGCTGAGAGAAATCGAAGAATATGGAAAGAAGAAGGGGGGAGAGGAGTAAAATGGTTCATGCATTTGCATTGACCTGACCAGGATAAGTCTGGACTTTTTCAAGGCCGAGGATTGCCAGCGCTAAAATTTTTGACCCCGTTGCGACAGCCCCGTGTAGTGGGGGAGCGCGATGCCTATTCGTAGGTTAAACGGTCCATATAGAGACCGCAGCGAGAAATCCTGGCGCGGTTTGTGCGATCGACGTCGGTTCCGTAGGTGAGAGCCGATGTGACGGGGAAGATCATTGGCGCAAGAGCTGCCGCTTGTCCTGCTTGTTATCAATAGCACGAAGGGGAAAATAGTAGAAACAAAAATAACAAGACCCAGGATCGCCAAGTTCACAAGGTACGAAGTAGTCGCCATTAGTGTTGAGCGTCCAGGGTCGTGACCCTTGATCCTGACTGGACTGAAGTGACAGGATCGTGCGCGGCGGAAAGCAGAGGAATGGAGTCACTAAAGCGGCCCACTTTGACGGGACGGTTTGTTTGCTTCTGACTGGTAAAGTGCTGCATCGTGGCATCGCTGGCTCCGGGGCTTTGGGGCATGGAGGCAATTGACAGGTTACGAGGCTAGTCAGTGGCGTGAGATAGCGGGAAGTCCGTCGTAGGCAGAATCGGCCGCTGGCGCAGGACTCGAAGGCAGAGGGGAATAGGGAGCATGAATCACCAACGACAGCCGATGCAGGCATCAGCTATTATTAAAATAACGACGGAATGCTATAGGGTTAGTGGGAGCTCCTGCAGCCGGGCGAAGCTGCGAGAATTGTGATTCGAGCAGGTTCGGACAATTTCCCACCGCCGAAAGCCAGTCAGCAAGTCAGGTGGTGGTCACTGACTGCCGCCTGCCGATCTGCCCGGCGAGTCCGACTTTGTGCCTTCATCATGTCTGGCGACCGAATGTACGACGCTCTCGCTTGAAGATTTCTGTTTTTATTGTCATTCTTTTGTCCTCCGCGTTCCCAATCCTTTCCGTCGTCAGATATTCTCATTGGTCCGTGGCAAATTGGATAGACTGCCGGAGAAAAGCCAAAACGACCTGGAAGGTTCGCCCCGAACCATCGAACCAGAAAATTGAGCAACGCTCACAAGTGACTGTACTGTCACTGACCCCCGCGGAACCACGGCTGGATCCACTGTCGCAATAGACGGTGGTTTGTGAAATGAGAACGGTTCAACCGCCAAAGAACCAGTCACCATGCTGCAAGGCGACGTGGTATACGACAGCTGAGACCTAGGACGGTCCGGTGGGGACCTGGGCAATCCTCTATCTACTCCGGAGTACAGACGGAGTACACCCATCCCGTATCATGGTTCTGATCCCAGGGGGATGTGGAGTCGCTGAGCCGTGGGTCTTCGATCCACCGCTAAGTGGACGAGGCCCGGAGGCGTCGATGATTGACGGACGGACACTAGCTTGACGGCGGGGCGACATGGGCGTTCTATCCGCCCGGTTTAGCACCGCGGGCAAAATGTTGCCTACGGGGCGCGGATTCGTCAGAATAAAAAGCAATGGCCCTTTCGTGATACCTGTGATCCTGGTGGGGAAGGGCGCTTAGCCAAATTAAAGAAAATCTCAGCACAGCACCAGCAGGGGCGTCTTGTCTACATAACACGATCACTGTGCCGCTGGCCGCTGCGAGTCTCGGAACAAGTCTAGACACTATAGACACGATTCCGCCGATGCTGACAAGATGCCAATCACAGATCGGCCTACAAATAACAAGTTGTTGGTCGGCTTTGAACAGCCGGATTGGGTGCTGGGATATCCAGTGTCAACCCGCGAACAGACTGAGAGGGGTAAGAGTCGACGGATCTCTGCAACAACCGCGAGTGACTGGATGTCGATCAGATCCGATCGGGGAAATTCCTTGCGCAAGTCTTAGTCTGTAGGATTTTCGCGCGACCGGGCGCTGGTTTGCTGCAGGAACCAAATGCACTGCTTTTCAGCTGGCGTGTGTCGGTGTCGCTCCACGAGGCCGCCGTCATTGCGGTGACACCGTCATACCAGACCACGCCATCGGTTGTCTGCAATCACTCCAGTATTCTCTCACAGAAAATAAAAGATAGGGGTAAAAAAAAAAGAAAAGGGCTCATTACTGATGACTGCATATCTGTGTGACTTACTCGGTTCTTTGTCCAGATCCAGAAATGTCCGATCAGATTGTTGATCGCCTTAGTTGCCAGTTATCTACAGGCATTTCCGTGGTCGCCGTGCAGACGCTGATTCGAGATGTCAAATTTCAAGTCAGACTACAGTACATTCATATATTCCCGCCCGGCGGCTTTTCCTATGGTGACAACGATTATTCAAATGCAACGGTAGAATTTCCCATAAAACACAAAAACGCCAATAACTCGTGATAAAAAGCGAAGATACATTAGAAGGAAAAAGAAATGAAAATGGCAATGACACAGCATGACATCTGGGGCCTCTTTCAGCTAGATTATGCGGTGGCAAATCTCTTCTTTCTCGCTTCCATGGCAGCTTTGTCCTTCTCGCTCATACCACTATCCTTTGTGTTGGGGTGAGGTCTTTGTCCCCGGTGGTTGTCATGCCCGCGTCCACCGCGGCCACCACGACCACCTCGAAAGCCACGTCCATGGCCACGTCCACCGCGGCCTCCACGGGCGTGGTGATTGCCACGACCCCGGAAGTTGCCCCGACTGCCGAAGTGACGCTTCTTGTCTCCGCGCTCTCCCTGGTCGTTCTCGGCGCGACCTCTCTTGCGGTTCTCGCTGGGGAGCGCCGCGTCCAACTTCTCTACTCCAGCGCCCTCTTTCTCCCCGCCTTCGGCACCGAAGCGTTTGGCCCGCTCGAGCTTCTTCTCCGCCTCGGCGATGGCGGCCTGACTGTCCTCCGTAATACCAAACTTCTCCGCGCGAGCTTTGCGCTTCTTCAGCTCCTCCTCCAATTCCGTAGTGGCAAGACCAATGGAGTAATCGACGGCCGGCTTCTCTTCCTCAGCAGGCTGAGCGGTCTCGGACGATGTGGCGGGCTCTGCCTCAGCACCTTCCGGCGCAGGGGCATCCCCCTTGGGTTCACCCTTGGATTCCACCTTCAGGTCCTCCGTGGTAGCGGGATCGACGTCTAATTTCTGATTAGGGACTGCGACAGGGTTCGGTACCGGGCCTTTACCACCAGCAGCAACAGTTGCGGCGCTGGCCTCCGTGGTGGGCTTCGCGGCTTCGGCGGCAGCAGGCTCGTCGTCATCCTCCCAGTCGATCACGTCCTCCGCGGCATCGGCTTTGGCGGCCGGCGCGGGCTCAGCGGGTTGGGTCTTCGCATCGTCCTCCTGGATGCGCGAAACCAGTTCCGCCTTCTTTCCGGTATGAGGAAGCGAGCGAGACTTGAGGATATCCACCAGCTCGGCGTTGGTCTTCTTACTGTAGTCGGTAGTCATGTTTTCGGGTATAATTTGAGGGAAGAGGGTTCAATTGCAGGCGGAAAACGAGGTCAATCGACGAAAAAAACAAGAGAAGGTTCGAGGAACGGAAGCGAGAGACAGAGAGGGATCGAGTCGTTCAAGATATCTTGCGACGAGACAAAGGCCAAGGACGAGAGGTTTCGAACTCGGTGGTTCGGGTGATCAAAGGAGGACAAAAGAGATCGTGTTTCGGATATTTTCGATGGAATTCGAGCTTAAAAGATCATGCGCATTATGCGCCGGTTTGAAAGAATGTTCAAAGGATGGATGGGAGGGTAGAATCGAGGTGTGAATAACAAATCGATCCAGATCGTAACCGGTGAGGCGGACGCGTTCTCGCGGCGCAGCGACCGGCCGCTGAGGTTTCCGCTTCGGGGAGGCGTTGTCACGTGTATCACGTGATAGACATTATCCGCGCTGCTGACTCAGAGCATGAATGACCACGGCACAAATCCAAACAAAGCACACACACCATTGTCGACAATGGCAACAAATAATAATAGAAACTTGCAATCGAGCCTTCCTTTACCCTGCGTCGCCACTCAGGTAGACGGATTTCCTGTTTCTTTTCTGTCGCCTGGACGGAATACGGAGCTCCTGGCAAACCAAACCAAACCAAACCATCTCCTTGCATCTGGCCACCCACGGGGATTCTTAGGAGCAGATCATTCCTCGGACCAGTCAACCATGTCTAGAGCTTGTCGGAGCTTCCGGCAGGTTGAAAGCTGAAAAGACGGCATGCTTGAACACATGGCAGTTCAGGTGTGGCTGTGGCGAGTCTTCCTGAATCCTAAGTTGCTAACGCATGCACTGCGCCATAGTGTCATGTGATTGCGATCTATACGATCACGATATCAAAGACAGCGAATTACTATTTTTCATCGAATTACTAAATGATAGCAGAAATCATATCCAAACTCTCTTTTCCGTCCCACGTTGTCTTTAATCGAATACCAGCGTGTCATAGAGTACCGCATTATGGATCATGTGTCTTGCGCTCGATACAAAGGTAAAATTGTGTTAGGTGATTTACCACATACTAAACATCCAAACTAGCAGGCATCTTAAACATATCTACAATATTAATTTTTGAATCTAAGCAAGAATGCGTTTTTATTCATCTAAACCGTCTCTACCAGCCTAAAGAGGTCTTACATGGATGCAGTAATAACTTCTCCGGGCTCACTCTGGACCTTGGCCTCACTCCCACGATCTTCCATCTCAATGTCAAGATCATTTCAGCCTTCACATCTTCCGTCTGAGATTTGAGAAGATCAATCCCGTGACTCATCCCCATACCAACCGAGCAAAAAACAACATCTCAATCTAGACATCGTCGGAATGGTCAGTAAGGGAAAACCCTACGCACCAATCCTCATCAATCTTGTCCAGCAAGGCCCTTGCCGATGAGCCAAGTACAAGCATGCTTTTGGCATCTTCTTTCCACATTTGGATAGCCGCATTGCAATTGTCCACTATTCTCTGTCCGCGTTCTTTGTTGCAGGGCTTGTTCCAAACTTTCATGGCATGAACGCTAGCGCGCCTATCCATGACCCGTAGTATCTGCTGAGGTGTATAAAAGATACATCTTTCTATCAAGCCGAATGGGACTCCATAATATTTTTCAAAAGCTTCGATCCAGGCAATCACGCGCTCAGTGTTGGACGACTCGATGGACTTGAACATTTGGATTGTTCTGATGTCAGCAGAAATTCGGCCTCCATGAGCTAGGATACTATGGGGCTCGATATTCTGGCTTGCCCTTTTGCCATTCCATTCGTCCAGAGTGTTTGATCTGATGAAAATCACATCGTCCAAAGTGCTTGAGTTTGAATCAATCATACAATCTCCCCCTGCAGGATCCTCCAACTTGCGAAGTTGATCAAGGATGGGACCGATTTCTTCCATTTTTTTCCACTGGTTTCTTTGAGTAGTCAATCTCGGTAGGGGTCGTGACTTGTATGTGTCAGGCTTATCAAATTTCCGCAGAAGACGGTTTGCTCGGCTGTTTTTTCAATCAGCGGAGAGAGGAGAGGTAACAGAGATAATAATAGTGGATGAGATATCAGACCTCCACAATCACGTATGATCAGGAAAGAAAAGTCAACGAGTCAATGCTGATGCTTGAATTCATTCTATCTGCTGCTGGTCATGATTGACCTTTTATAGACATAATCCTGTGACAAGCAACCAGAACTGCTGGAATCTTCCGCTAACAAGTGAAAACCTCCGACATCAAACTACCTCTTCATGACCTGACTATCTCTCTCCTACAATAGATTTCACAATCAGCATCATTCTGGGATCCTCCACCTTCTAGTGGGAGCTTCCAGCAGCAGTGATTGCTCGTCATATGATCATACATACAAAAGCTTGACCATGGCCTGCAGTGGATAGTTCGCACGAGTTCGAGCATCCTCATTGGCTTATTTTTGCTGATCCAACTCACTACTCAGCAAGATCAGTGGAAAGATGGACGGTACCAGTAACGTTAATCAGCTTCGCGAGTTGCAGCGTGGAGTAACCTCTGATGTACGAGACTTGATTCTCGTCAGGTCGACCACTCTGGATCAATGGGCTGACTACTAAAGACAAGATGTCGCAGACCAACCTCCAAGACGACGCAGCGCATGGAGGCCGCATTCGAATTGACATCAAAGCCATACAAAAATACAAGTCCAACCCTGAGCGTATCAATGCTTAGATAAGAGCATTTCAAAAGCACTATAAAGACCCGTTCTACATAAAGGTAGATGCTATGGACATGCGCGCCAGTGTTATGTGTATGGGGATTTGAAATCAACCCCATAACAAGGAACGCAGACAGAGGATACTGAAAAACTGCAATATGTTTATTAAAGCATGGACCGACATGGAAGACGTGTCTGTACCTGGCTCGCGTGCGAGTGCTGTGTTTGATGAGACTGAGGCAGATTGGTGGAATGGTTTTGCCATGCCTGGTTTCAATGCTGTAAATAGCAAAGACCTGGACCCATTAATCTTTTTCAGGTCAGAGAAACTAGTAAGAATTTTAAGTAGCCATTATCATACTGATGTATAGCTTATGAAAGTCTGATATAGCTACCGTTTAAAAGGGAAGCTGAAGTAACTGGGTACAATTGAATATGACCTACTTCTTGTTAGCTGTTTTCCTTGCTAGCCAGTACCCTTCGGTGATTGCTAAACATGTCTAGATTGAAAGTACAAGAGGAAACAAAATCTCAAGAGCATTTATTTTAGGTATAAAAACATAAAAACATAAAAGCCATTACCTCACCTCCGAAACCACCACATGATCCACGCCCACCCGATCTGCCTCCTTATTCAACGCATCCACCTCCGCCTGAACATACGGAATCCCCGTCTTCAGCCTCTCCTCGTGCATAATCTGCTCAATCTCCCCGGGATAGTAAATCCGGTCCACGCCGGCCATCTTCTCCGACCCCACGACCCTCTGATACAAATAATCCATGCGCTCCTTGAACTCCTCTAACCCCATGAACAGATCCGGCTTGATCGCCACCAAGAAGTGGCCCACGTCCGCCGGCTTCGACGGATCGTACGGATTCGTGACATGGCCCGCAAACGCCGAGCCCGACAACACACCCGAAAACACATCCATCATGACCGACAGCGCCGACCCCTTCGGGCCCCCCATTGGCAGCATCACGCCCTCCAACGCACGATTCGGATCTTCCGTCGGCTTCCCTTCGCCATCGAGCGCCCAGTCACCGGGGATCTTCTCCCCGCGCCTCGCAGCCTTATAAATCTTCCCCCTCGCCGCCACCGACGGCGCCATATCCAGAATAAACGGCCGCTGCTTGCCCGCCGGCGCACCGCACGCAATCGGCGAGACCCCCATGAGCTTCTCACGACCTCCCCAGACCGGCAACGCAGGCGACGAGTTCGTAAACACCAGACTCATCATCCCCGCATCCAACGCCTGCTGGACGACCCACGCGGACATGCCGAAATGATTCGAGTGCTTGACGGAGACCAGCCCGATGCCGAACTCTTGCGCCATTTCGATCGCGCGCGCCATGCCTTTCTGCGCACCGACGAACCCGAACCCGTTGTGTGCGTCGACCTGCGCGACCACGGGCGTCACCTGCGTCAGTGTTGGGGTAGCGGCCGGGTCTAGTACGCCTTGGCGGATGCGCTCCATGTATGATGGGATGCGGTTGGTGCCGTGCGTGTCGACGCCGCGGAGGTCGGCTTGGATGAGGCAGTCGGTGATGATGGCGGCGTTGTCGGCGGATACGCCGTTGCCGGTGAGGATGGATTGGATGAATGTCTTTGCGGAGGGGGCGGAGACGTAGTGCTTTGGGGGAGTGGGGTCTTCCATGATGTAGTAGTGTGGGGAAGTGAGAGATGTACAAGGGATTGAGGGATTTGTCTAGTTGAAAGATGGAGAAGAGCTGAATGAAGGTACTTGGCAGGCAGTATAAATAGTAAGAACTGGACGCATCGCATCCGCTCGTCGGATGTTCCCCGCGATTGCGCGGGGTCGGTCCGATGCCGGTTCGGGTTTAGCGCTCGATCTACGGAGTTAAGCCTACGAGTATAGTATTTGGTAGAGTACACACAGTGCGGAATGGAAGAATCCACTCGGTTTCAACTAGTCTAAAAACTAGATAACATGATCAAGCACTTCAGTGCATGGGTGCGAAAAAAATCATATGAACGCATGAGATGACCACTAAATGTACCACAAAGGAAACGCAGTCTTCCCAAGATCAGTTCAGGTCAACAGAGAAAATCACAAAAGAAAAACAAGGCTCAATTGCCGTAGAACCAGTATTCGGCCGCATAGTCGACAACGAAGTAGGGGTTCTGGCCCTGGCAGTTGGCAGGGGCTTTTCCTCCGGCGGTGTAGATGCGATAGACGTCCTAGGTTTCTGTTAACTGTCTGGTCACGGTGGATAGAATACAAGACACCTTACGTGGATTCCAGAAGAGTTAGTAGACTCAAGCTTTAGCCAAGGCACGTCGTTGCCCTTGGTGGGTGCATCGGCACTGGCGACCTTCTTCGTACCAACCCAGTCGGGATAGCCGCCCAACCTCATGTCAAAGAAGGGAGTCTTTCCCTCGAAGTAGTGCTCTCCAAGCACCACAGTATCAGTAGAAGAGTGGATTAAGCGACTGAAGATGGCAGAGACGAAGTGGATCACGCCGGGAATGAAGTGCGAGAACGGGCCGGTAAGCGCGTGAAGGAGCTCAGGGTTTCGGTGCACAATGCAAGACGCGTCGTAGAGGGTGGCAACGGCGCCCACAGCATTGGGAGTGGTAGACGCGTCGGTGGCATTGCAAGTGTAGTTCTGGGTGCCACGACCGATAGCGACGTATTTCAACTTGAGACCAGGAGCCGGGTTGGGGAGAGCAGGGTTGGTGCGGTCAAGAGGCAGCTTGATATTGTCGAGCGGGCAGTGGTTCACATTGACAGCGCCGAGGACCTTGGTGATCTTCACGAACTCTTCAGCCAGGTCAAGATTGCTCACGCCAATTTCCAATTCGTCGGGAATTTCAGGCTCCTTGGGCTCGTTGCCAGGAGTAGGAGCTGCCAGGACTCCAAAGATGATGAAAGAGAGAAGAAAGAAGATACGGAAAAGCATGGTGGCGGTTAAAAGATAGAAGATGGATTGATATTGAGAATTTGAGAATCTAGGTAACAGGAGAGATGGATAGTGAGAGAGATCGGTAGGAAGGTGAGTAGAGAGGATGGAGGTTGTTGAGGTTGAAGGAGAAGAGAAAGGAGGCAGAAATCAGAGGGCCTTTTATATTGAAGGTCGTGGGTGAGAGGATAAGATTCTGGCTTAACGGTGACTTCCAGTAACTGCTCAGATGAGGACTACAAGCGGAGGCTGCCGTTACCACTCACGAGGGATGAATTCGTTCTCACCGACTTGGGCAAAGCTGCCTCGGCGGATCTTGGGCTTCCTGCGCCAAATCACCAACAGGAATCCTGTAAGCCACCGTCTAGACCATTTACTGCAAGATACACTGCCTCTTTAGTTGGAAGTTCCGCGATGACCGCATCTGAAGAACGGAAACAAAAGTCATGGAAATCTAATAGACTTCTTCTGTTGTGGTTATCAGGCACACATAGAGTAGATATCGAAACATTCCAAATGCACCCCATGCCCTACCCCTCTCTCTAATTACTAGAAATCCCAAGGAGCACGCAGGTGATACTATGTCATACGGAAATTTGTTTCATAATGCCCCAGGCCAAAAATAGTCCCAATAGCCGCCCTGCATCCTTCGCGCGGCTCGATCACGAGTTGTGTCTGCAAAGCACAAGCCCTCACTACCAGATTCACAAGGCTCACAAACTAGTTCTAGCCAAACTCTACATCAAGGTGCCCAATGCCATAGAGCTGGAATGACCTGTCAGGACTCTACTGGTTCCAAGTCTCTGTCAGCCGCCATGTTGAATGTCTTTCGATTTAAGCGCCATCCTGCAAGGCAGCCCAGCAACCGATGTCTGCGGAGAATTACTAAGAGAGCATTTTGACTTTATTCTCCTAAAATTGATTTGAGCCTCCTAGTGCTTGGAAACTATTTCCAATCAGAAGGAGATCGCACGGTTGGTATGTTCCGATGAGCTGGAATTGTGGCGGTTCCGCATCCAGAGGCGGCTAACGTTGGATGGGCAGTAGTTTCGGTATATCGAATCTATAATTGATTTGCTCAGAGTCCATGGTATTCTCTGCTATGTGAGTGGCGCAGTAAGATAGTTTATATCTTTTTATACCATCGAAATTGGGGAGAAACGTCTAACCTGTCAGTTCCATCCTTTAGAGCCACGATCAAAGCAACTTGAACAACGCGTTGATTCTACCTTCGATAGCCTCAAAGATTAAATGGCATACTTTCTATGACAAAATAGAAGGAATACTAAGAGTATGTTAGAAGTGAGTCGGAACAGAATGGCCTCAACAAGCTGATTATCTACGAGGGTTCTGAACGAAGGCCCGTAACTGTCCGAGATTTCTCCGAGTCTGATGACTCCGGAGTAGGGTCTGTTTCGATCCGGTCCACAAACCCCTTCCTCGCTGGAGCAGAGCAAAGATTCACATAATAGTATTCCACATCGTTACAGCCTTAAGTCATTAGTAAGCGGAGATTGGCTCAACATAGCTCCACATGTCGCAGACAGAGACTACGGAGTAGATCTTTTCGTGAAGTCAATCGCAAGTTGGATTGAACGAGACAACGCTGTTGAGCCCAGGTTGCTGAGTATTAAAGTCGCCAGATGGGAAAGGGTATCCTTGCCATATCAACCTCAACTAACCTGAATGCATACTGTCAAAACTTTCCAATCCAGGCTCAGTGCAGCACGAAGTAAGGTTGTCCACCAGGGACAGAATAACCTCCGCACGGAAGTCCACAACACCGAGTAGAGAGTGAAACATCCACCACCGAAATAGCTGGGGTTTATCAGATCGTCGCGCTTATTTCCCTTCCGGACTCTCTTTGAATAGTCCGCCGTATGGCCAGAATTTATCCGTTCTTGGCGGTCGCTGCAATTCAGGAGGTTCGATCTTTCTGAAACGACGGGAGAGAATCCGACGCAGTTGAAGCTCCACAATTCCCCTGAAAACGTTCGTCCTCGCTTTCCTCTTTGAGTTCCCCGCGCCAAATCTGTTCGAGCTTTCTGGTCAGTAGACTCTGTATGAAGGGTCCAACTGCTACACAACATCTACTTTTGGAGCGGAGAGGCCGCCGGGTCCAAGTACTTCGTGCGGAGTTGATTCGGGAATAGGAACCACAAGCTCTCTTTCGCTCTCCCAGCCAGCAGGTAGTTCGAGTCTGCAGTGGAAGAACGAACACCGGTTTGATAATGTTTCAGACCAATCTCAATCCCTGAAACCCGTGATAAAAATCTATCCCGCTGCTTCAAATTATGCTTGGCATTTCATTTCATCACGCCATGGCCAATCCTGACGGTGGACTTAAATATTGCCCTCTCGCCCATGGTCTCTGGAGGGAGTAACACATCATTCATTCCTTAAATTCATTCATTCGTTACACCACCATGTCTCCAAGCAAGCAGGCCCTTGCCGCTCTTCTTCTTTCCGTCACCGGCACCTCTGCCGCGCCGGCCCCCCAGGCCAGCTCCAGTGCCAGTGACTCCTTTAAGGCGAACCCCGATGTTGGCCCTGGAGGCAGCAGCTACAAGGACTCGGACCATTTCCGCCTCTATGGCTCGGCCACGGGCGGTTCTGATAAGGTCTTTGGCATGATGGAGGCCGCCTATTCCTGCTTTGTTGATGACATGGAATTCACTACCTCCGGTCTCTCGATTCTGGATGATGCCGACCAGAACTCGACCCTGTGGAAGGAGAACATCTATGCCACAGATGGCCTCAGTGGAGGCGCTGCGGGTGTGCTTCAGTCCGACCCAACTCTCGGTCTCAGCTGGCTGGAGGTTCTCCCCGACTTCGCCGCCGACCCAAGCGTCTTGGTCCACGAGTACGGCCATGGCCTGACCTACCACAGCCGCACCTGGGTTGACCAGACTGCCACCGGTGCCTGGTGGGAAACCATCGCCCAGTGGTTCGCCGATACCTACATCACCTCCTCCCTGTGCCAGAAGGCGCGTTCGAGCCACAACCAAGAGGCCGGCAACTCGATCATCGAGCTCAACAAGGTCATCAGCGACTCGTACCAGGTCATCGTCGACGGCACCGCCGAGTCAGGCAACTACTACCAGGCCTGGCCCTTTTTCACCTATCTCACCACCAACCCGGACAACTACACCGGCCTCGGCCAGGACACCGTCCGCCAGCTATTCAAGCAGTACAAGGAGGGCAGCAATGAGACGCCCCTCCACACCCTGGCGCGCGTTTCCACCGACGCCTCCGTCGCCGAGATCGTCGGCAGCTACTGGGCGCACATGGCCTACGTTGACATCGACAACTCGGCCGCCCAGGAGGCTTTCTTCAGCCAGCGCAAGGACCTCAACTACGAAAACGTGGAGTCCACGGGTGACGGCTCCTATGCTGTGAAGTCCGCCCGCCAGCCTCAGTACATGGGTGCCAACATCCTTCCTCTCACCACGTCCGGTGTCGGCACCGTCGAGGTCACCGTCACCAGCAGCGGCACCTTCACTGCCACGCTTGCCGTCTACAACTCCGAGTCGGGTGCCGTGCGCTACGTCTCGCTTAAGAACGGAAAGGGGTCCGCTGACCTCACGGCCAACGAGGAGGCCAGCATTGTTGTCGCCAACACCCCCGAGTCCGTTATCCAGTATGATGGCTTCAAGCTTTCGGATGATGTCAAGAAGGGTCTAGATTACACGGTTAAGATCACCGGTGCCACCATCTAAGCTTTGTTCTCTGAACATATGTCGCTTTTTGTTGGACAGTTATATATATTCTTCTTGTATTTAATTTGAGATAGCAGCTGGTACTTTTCTGTACAAATCCACGCCTCTGTTTTATATCACCCACATATGTATCTCTAAGTACCTGTTTTCTGCGATTTCTGATCGCAGAAAACAGATAAAAGATGAGAAAATGGTTGGTTAGAAGTCACCAGCAGAGCCAGGATCGCTGGTTTTTCCGTTTGTAAATATAAATCACATTTCACTCCTGCTCTAGGCCCCAAAGCAGCAATATCCGAATCTAGTCTCCTTAGGGCCTCGGGTATCGCTGTCTTAACACCAAGGTTTTGAAGTTGTACAGACGCGGTTGGTGTGTTCTGGCCAAATCGAGCTCTTGCTGCTGAGTTATTGAAGCAGATAAGCCCGAAAACGTCTGTTCTAATAGTATGTTATCGGGATTGATTAATATGATTGAATTCTTGTTTTCTTTCAATGAGCTTGTGCCCCTCTTGCACCGTGATGTACGAATGCCCAAAAACGTCCAGAGACAAAAAGGATCAAAACATTCCAACCTCCACAGCCCACATATGATACACCGTGAGGGACCTAGATTGGGTTTTATGTGGTCAGGTGTTGCACACCCGCAATTGTCGTTATAATATTCCAAAAGGGTCACGATTGAAATTCTCAGTCTAAGTCATGGGAAATATTTATTTTGATATCTGTTCCTTCAAGCACCGAATCTGTCCCAAATTTCACATTCTGGTATCTCAAATCGAATTGAACGCGACTCTTCAGAATATCTTTCCCATCCAGAAATCGTTGCATTTCGGATTTGATGGTTTCCAATTCCATATACTGGACTAACGCGTCACCCCCGGGTGGAGAATGGGAGTCTTCTAGGAGAGACTGAAGGGAAGGCCTGGCCCTCAACTTCTCTTGTAACCTGGCACTTCCTAGCTCAGTAAGAACGATCTTATAGGCCTGTTCCCACCATGTTGGTGGATGGCCCCAGACATCGGCCAGACCAGTATCAGGCGTTCGGGACGCCAGCAAGAGTTTGGCCACCTCAATATGTTTCGCCTGAACATTTGAAACCCAGTCTTCAGAGGATGTACTAATATAGCCTTTCATAGTACAGGGGAAGTTTAACGGTCCAATAGCCCAGGAAAGGGCTGTTCGTCCATCGGTATCTTGGGCATCAACATCTACTCTGTCACAACCTAGAAGATTTTTGATGATGGCTGTGTTCGTTCTGCTAATGATTGCCGCAATCAGTGGTGTCCGTCCGTACAGGTCTCTGCTGTTGACATCTACCGATTCGAAGTTCAGCAGAACTTCAACTCCCCATGGGTTAACTCTCCGAACTGCACTGGCCAAAGCAGAGTTGAGGTCTCTGTCTTGGGCATTGAAGTCGACTCTGTTTGTCCTGAACAGCTCTTCAATCACTGACATTGTTCGTTCGATTGGATGACCCGCATCGCCTGCCACAGCCCATATGAGCGGGGTTCTTCCTGATTGATCACGCCTGTCAACTTCGATTCCCTCTATCTCAAGCAAAGCCTTCACAATGTTGACATGACCGTGTTCGACAGCATGAGACAGCGGGTCCCGTCCGGTGGAGTCACAATGTTCGTAGTCGAATCCGCGTTTGATAAGACGTTCCAGCGATGATTCATCATTCGCCAGGGCTGCCCAATGAACGGCATTCATGCCATTTTCATCTTGGTACTTCAGATCCAGTGAATCTTGCCGCAGCAATGTATCCAAAATGCGTCTGTCTGCCTCTCTCCATCCAGAACGGGTCATGCCGGGAGGTTTGCTGGTCTCATAATCCGATCTGAAAGCGGCCCTGAGGAGGGGCTTTTTGATGCTGTCAGCCTTATTGATATCAGCCTGTATGTTGACCTTCGCCTCGGATACCAAAAATTCGACGAGACCTGGCTCATGATTGAGAATTGACCAACTCAACCAACTCAAAGGAGTTCTTCTGCCATTTTTCAAAGTATCGTTGAAATCAAAAAGATTTGTGAAAAGCAAAAGTCTCAATATGCTCACGCACTTGCCCTCGAATGCGTAAGATAGTAACCGCTGACTATTCTTGACCTTTGATTTGGACTGCTTTTTCTGTCCATCCAATTCGACGAAAAATTGCGTCATGCGAGAAACCATCTCGGGCTCAATGGCGACATTCAAACTTTGGGGTTGTGAATCCGGCTGCAGTCCCAAAAGAGCTCGAACGGACGTCATGTTTCCATTGCGAAACGCGACACCCATTGGACACAGATATTGGCCGCCCAAATGCCAAGCATGCGATTCACCAAGTTGGACTTGTATGAGATAACTCAGGTCGCAATGGGCCATGACATAAAGGAGTGACCAGTCATCCTTGTATTGTCGTGTTGCATACTTTTCAACAACATTGTAGACGCGTTTGAAGTCATTGAACCGGTTGGAATATGCGGATAGAAACTCCTTTTGAGGGATTTCCTCTGCTTGTGCCAAATCGCTGTGTTCGAGGACATTGCGAATAGCGTAGTCAAGGAAAGGGAAGGCTTCCTGTATGGATTGCGGCGTATATCTCGACAGCAGAAATTCTCTGCCTGATAGTATCCCAGAAATATAATCAAAACAGAATTGTTTCAGATGATCATGAGACAATCCAATGAAGCTTGTGGAGTCATTTCTTTGGGACTGGATTATAGCCAAGCCATTCCTCCGAAGTAAGAAGTCTCGAACGGACTCGTGGATGAAACGAACACGAGGAGGCTTTGCTCTGCCGCTTTGCTTAGCATTCTCAGCAAGGCCTTTGGTAACATCAAGCACCAGTCTGTCCATGACCGTGGTTGAATGCAACTCTGGATCGATATAGTCTTCAATGGCATTTGTCTTCTCGAACAGGACAGCGAAATAGAGTTCCTCTCTTGTCAGGCTCCGGCGGCCAAAAAGAATGAGCTGAAGGCTGAATATGAGCACGTGCATGTCTTTTTGATCTCGTGTCAGGATGTCCGTGAAAAGATTATCGAGGCCAGCCGGTATTTCGTCCAGTCGTTTTCGCAAGGCGCTTATATTGCCTCTGTCAAAGGCCTCATTTAATGAACGAACAACAAGCATAACCCACAGGAAAACTCCATCTGCTCTTTCACAAATTTCATTTCTGATACCTCGGATAAGACTTGACCGACCACCTTTCAGCTTTGTCTCAACGTATTTTCTCAAGTCATCTTGGTGCTCCTGCTGATCTTCAACGATGGCCTCAATTCCTTTGTCAAGGGTGATGTGTGGATAGTGGCGGCTTGCCAAGCAGATTCTCAGATAGACCTTATGTTCGACTGCGGATTTCCCAAGCTCTTGAAAGAATGTTGTCATATCTTCAACCTCCCTTTGATCACACTCGTCTACTGCATCAATCAGAAACAGTATACGGCGCCCCTGCAAAGACTTGATGGTCAACGACAACAAGTTCTTCACATCTCTTTTCGTCCAGATAAGATTGCCATCTTGGAGCTCAAGACGTTTGGCCACATTGAGGAATGCATTTCTAGCGTCAGATGGCACCCTAGAATTCAACAGCTGGTGTGATAATGATCGATACATCCCCATGACAGATCTTTCCAAGAGAGTGCCCTGAGCGTGAAAGAAGAAGGACAGGATGACAGTATCAAGAAGCTCTTTCTTTGCGTTCAGTAGCAGGTACTTCATGATAGTCGACTTCCCCGCGCCGGGCTTTCCTCTGATCCAGAAAAAACCCCCATGGTTTGGCAAAGATTCCTCACTCATCCATGACAGGTACTCAGGGCGTCCAACTATCCACTCGCAAGTCTTCTCATGGGCCGAGCTTATTTCCTCTAGACGAAATTGAGCTTGTGGGAACGTCAACGACTCAATATAAAAGTCGTCTTCGTAGCTAGATTCGCTGATCTCTGCAGCTGGCCTTTTCCTGGAAGGTGCCACCGGCATGCTTTGACTGAGGTCTACTGTCGATCAGTCAAATAAGAATTGGGGTCAATTCAAAATAGATCCAGTCAGATTACATACTGTTAGAAATGCCAGTCGATTGGTTCTGCAAATAAACTGGAGTCTCATCCAAAATCGCCCGCGTACATGCTGCTGCACTGGCCGCCGCGAAGTGCTGCCATTCCTTTGTTTTGTGACTGTCGGCATAATCGCTAACACCCTTTATCACAATACATGGAAGATTTTCCCAGACACCTGCGCCTTCCATCTCGAACCCAATAATATCTTCGACTTCAGAGATTCGGTCGCGGTCATGGGCGGACATCATGACCGTGTCTCCAGACGCGACAAGGCCGAAATGCACCACTGCTCCCTGATCATGCCGTGCGTGATCTCCCTGACGAGCAACGATGCCATCATCGTAGTGGGTGTATTCAGCACATTTGCAGTTCGTCGCTTGATGTTTGTACTCAGGGCTAAATAGCCTATCCTTCTCGGCGCCCGGATAGCCGCTTGGGAACTTCTTCTGAACATTGGCTAGATAAGTGGCTAGTCGACTGATCAGCCGCTCATAACCCACCTCCAACTTTTTCAGAAACGAAAGAATCTCCGGCCTCGGTCTTGGGAGGTTGGCGAGCGCGGTGTTCTTGCGGACGAATTCTGTAGGATGGAGGCGTCCGAGATCATACTGCACCACGCCCTTGCTCACAACCACATCTCCTAGCAAGACATCTTGTCGTTCGAATGTCTGGCTCTTCGTGTATGGGACACCCCCGCACACACCCACAACAAGCGCCAGCTCTAGACAGGCATAGCTCCTCTTGACATTTGTTGCCACACTGGAGGCGTACCCTCTGCCAGGCCCGGGCATATAAACAAGGACCACATGATATTTCCCAATGCTTCCCAGCGTGTATGTGTTGTTATCGCCAGGCGCCTTTTGGTATTGGTCGAGGTTCTCGTCGTAGATGGCGTCGAAAAGCTGTACGACAGCCTTAGCCTCCAGCGTCAGGGCACAGATGATGGTGATCTTGAAGTCTTCTCGCGATAAGGGCGGCGGGATGGGCATCTTGCCGTCCTAAACAAGCGGGCCCATGTCCTAGTCGCCCACCACTTGGTTCACGGCGATCGTAGAACGTCGGTTGAGACGCATCACCAGTGACTCGTGGTGTCAGCGCCCAGGTACTTTTGGGCGCTAAAGGCGGTGCATATTTGCTTTTGTTGGCACCGCCACTCTTCTGCTTTGTCTTTGAACTAACCGCCTTAGGAGTCGCTCGGCTTCCTCCTTCTGCCAACATTCCAATACCACACGTCTCTATAACGCACTGAAGTCCATTGCTGTAGCCAATTCTGATATCATTCGGTCCATGGTCGCCAACAGAACCTTTTCTATAGAGATCACGGCTCATGCAACACATGTCGGATGATGTGGTGATCTTCGCAGTAGGCAGCAGTAAGAAGGGATAGCGGCCAAGCAGCAGCTCGCCGTCTAAATTTACGGGTAGAAAGGCGGCCATTTCTAGTCATTTTCGGTGTCGATTCCACAGATCCTCATACTTTAGTTGTAAATGTGAAGACTACGGCGGAAAGTCAAGAAATAAGCCCAACAGCCTTGGGGATTGGAATATCGACCGTGTCTTGTCCGATAGAAACAACCCCGCAACCCCGCAACCTGCCAACCCTCAGTCATGTATACACCCCGATACTCCTTTTTCTGGCTTTCGTCGCTCGTCTGCGCTCTTGAGAAGCACTTGCTCCTTCGAGGGTATTAACATTACCAGTACATACCCAATTGCTTGCGTCATGGCATCGATTGCGTTTCCCTCGCTCGCGAAGAAGGCAAAGCTCTCTGATGGCACCACCTATGGCTGGGTCACCTTAGCACCATCGCTACCGTCCAAGGTCACCTTTCTTTTGCTTCACGGGTACCCGTCATCTTGTTATGATTGGCGTCATCAGATCGATGGTCTCCGGAAGGCTGGATACGGCGTGATCGCCCCCGACTTGCTGGGGTACGGGGATACCGACAAACCGACTGACCCGAGCGCCTATCGAACGAAGGCCATGTGTGCTCATATGGTTGAGATCCTGGACATGGAGAGCCTTGATCGTGTGATAGCTGTGGGACATGATTGGTTTACTTTGCCCTTGTTTTCTTTTGTCGGACTTTTTCACTCAAAAAAGATCTCCTGGCCTTGAGAGTTCAATTCGTGAACATTCAGGTCGACAGTTTTCACTTCCTGAGCGTGTGCTAATTCAAATTCCTGGTACAGGGGTGTAGCTCTAGTCTCTCGCCTTGCTACCTACCATCCTAGCCGTTTCTATGGCATTGTAACGGTCGGCGTTTCTTACCTCGAACCAGGGTTTGTGTGGGATATTGGTACGTTAAAATCCTTTTTAAATCATATGCAGAGTGCAGCCATACTAACCAATCTCTGTAGATGCCATACACGAGCTTTCCAAAAGCGTTGTCGGCTACGAGACGTTTGGATACTGGGAGTGGCACAACACCGAGCAAGCGGCGGTTGACAATAACGAGCACGTACGCTCCCCAAGCCCTTCTTACTGCATAGGGAAAAGCTCACCGATCTCCCACAGCCGGCCTCAGTCTTCAACCTGCTCTATCCACATGATCCAGCTCTGTGGAAGACCGATTTTGCCCCCGTCGGAAAAGCCGCTGAGTTCGTGCGCGCGGGCATCACCACTCCCCTCCCCACGTGGTTCACTCTATCCGAGTACACCACGCGGGATAGGATCTTCTCGGCAGGCGGCTATGCTGGTCCTTTGTGTTGGTATAAAGCGGCCATGCGCGGCGTCAACGCCGAAGACGAGGCCGATATGTCGGAGGAGGACAAGCTGTGCCCGCTGCCGAATTTGTTCGTGGCGGCGAAGCAGGACTACGTTTGCAGAGCGGACCTGCAGAGCACGATGGCTGAGAAATCGGTGCCTAAGCTGCGGGTCGAGCAGGTTGATTGTGGTCATTGGGTGCAGCTGGAAGTGCCGGAGGTGTTGAATCGGTTGCTGGTTGAGTTTGTAGAAGAATTGACATGAGGTTATCTCTACACGCTGAGGTTAGAAGTGCATGCGTGAAGAGACTGCGGGGTTAGCTTCTGCTTGGAAGGCAAGAGGAATTATGTCAGATCTGTGTCTATCTCTACTTACGGATGGAAACACATGGATGCGGTTAACTCGTCTCTCTTGCTCGGGGTTTCCTTTTACTGCCCATTCTCGCTGGTCCCGAGGAGTGCAATGCTCGGCTCGCCGACATGACATATTGGTATTTATTCGGAGAACCTTCCCCATGTACCTTTCCATCATATCCGATCCGGCTCCTCGACATCGGCAATTGTAAACCTTGATTGCACTGAATACCTTAGTTTACCTTCTCTAAGTTTAGCTATTCCTGCATGGCAAAGGGATCCACATGTATGGGACTTAGGGCTGGAGACGAAGGCGAGGGAGAACGAAAAAAGAAAAAAAAGAGAGAGCAAGCGTTCAACTAACGAAATCATGGCAGTTATTACTACGTACTCGTAACGCACCTGTTCCTTGTTATTCCGCGATATCGGCGGTAATTTCTTTCCTCTAGACCACGAACGTACGGAGTAATGACTCCTCTTCTTTAGTGTGTTTGGCGTAACCGACGAAGAAACTGCATTTCTTCTGCTCTGACGCAGGAAGTATCTACCGCCAACTTGGCCAAATGCCCCATCGTGCCACAAAAATAACTCAGCCCTATTAAGACAAAGTGGATACTCTCTCGGCTGCCGATCCTAATTTATGTCCTCCTAGCAGGCTGGCAAGGCCGCTAGCACGAAACCAAACAAGATTACGAAGTGATTTGAAGTGAATGGCCAAGAAACTGCCTGCTCGCATGGCTCATGCAAAATTGCAAGCTCGGTCACAGTGGATACACGGCCAGGGTAAGGGTTATGCTCCGTGCAATGCGCCGACGCCGTCACCTTCCGGGCCAAAATCCCAAAGCGGCCTGTATTCCCGAGAATGGAGCATGCGAGGAATGACCCTCGCTATTGCTAGTCGCTAAGGATTGGATAGACCAGGGGCTCGGGGGACTGGATCCAGCCCCGTCGGGTCAGTTCTCGTTTTGGTAGGGAGGTTCGGCCGCGTCAACTTGGTCGGTGTCCAGTCTAGGGGAAGCGGGTTTGGACTGGGATGTTGGTGTCGATCTTCAATCCTGGACTGATTCATACTAGGGACATTACTGAGTGCTGATTTACAGGAGACAAAATGGATGAACTAAGGATGTTTTGGATATGACGTCAAGTGGCTCTGCTGGGCAACGTTGTCTGTGTCAGTCATGGTTTGAGAGAACGTTCCACCATCCCTGGAATTCTGGACTCTGACTCTGTCTTTTAGACCGCGTTGGCCAAGGTAGTGTCTCTCCATAATGGATGAGTTCTCAAGTCAGTCACCATTGGCTTCAAGGTCCATCTAGTTAGGACTTCCTAGCCTCTTCCTTCATTGCTCTTTCCAGTCCACCTTCGTAGTCTGTTTCGTCTTTTCATTGCGGTTATATGCTCCAATATCAGCCTGCTCCAGGCCCAAATACGATCGTTTCGACCGCCATCTCAAGACTCCATGTCGGCGAAGTGCACCACGAGCCTCCGTATGACCCGGCCTGGTAGAATGCTATAGACCAGAGCAGCATTCCACCATACGTGAAGTATTGATCCCACTGAAAAAAAGTGGGTGATAACCTCATTGAATGGCTACAGCCAGGCTGTGATGATTAGTGCTGCCAACCTGTAAGACTTTAGTCCTCCCAGGCAAAATTGCAGAAAAGAGGGATAGGGCTTAAGCTCTTTTCAGTAAAAGAAGAATTGATAATCCCGATGCAGTTGAATTCCCATCAGGTGCTTGCTTTAGTCGAAAGCTGACTATATTTGTAGGGACCATACGCATATTGGTATTTCCCTCATGCCTAGCTTTCAATCCGTTCACTTGGCGATTATCCTTAGTTTGAGGGGTGCAATAGCATCAACAATGAAGGCTATGCCAGCGTATTGAATATCTCGTGCAGCAGGAAATTCCGGTCTGTTTCTCATGACTGATGCCTGGAGGCATGGGCAGCAGATATATATGAATAGGAACACGGAGTGGTGAAAGATAGTAACATATTCTTCTCCAGGTTCGAAGTACCTCTAATGTCCGTATGCATACACCCGACAAGCGTATGGAAAGTTGATGAATCTAGATTGTTGCCTTCGAGACAAGCTGTCGCACAGTAAACATTGAGTTTCGGGAACCTTATTGTGCGCACAACACGGTTTCCCGAAGCGGACACTATGCAGCGCACGTGCCAAGTCATATCAGATCACGTGTCGCTGAGTCAGCCGGGCGAGTCCTCTCAACTTCACTTCACTTCACTTTTTGCGCGGCGATTTGACCATCTCAACCATCAGCGCAGAGCTCCCCACCGCATCAACGTCATCGCGGTGTCCGATCCGGATGTAGCTATTGCTACCCCTTCTCGGGATTATACGTTCTCTATCTCATCTCCGGGATCCTTGTGACCGCCAACATGTCTGACGGTATGGCCCCATCTCCCCTCCTATCAATGTCTTCCCCCCACCCCCGAGATCGACGCGTCGCTAACTCTTCTTTCTCTGTAGCCGATTTCGAGGCCGTTCGGAAGCTCCAGGCTGAGCGCAATGCCGCTTCAGCTGGGAAACAAGGTTCTAGGACCTTTGATCCGTCTAGCCAGCGCACTGACAGCTCGACCAAGGCCTCCCTGACTGAATCCTTCGATACGGATGTCTACGGACGCGATGGCGCCAACAAATACGCCGGCTATGACACTTCGATTGCAGTCAATGATGACGATGAGGACATGGGGGATGCCGATGCGGGCCACAGTCTCGTCGGCCAGTACACCGCGACTAAAGGTCAGATGGATGAGTTCGCCCACGGTAACGGGGTCGAAGAGGAGGACATTCTTCTCGGGCGCGAGAAGGCGGCCAGGATCTCCGACCGAGAGACAGACTACCAGAAGCGTCGGTTCAACCGTGGCCCCTTGACCCCAACCAGGGCTGATCCCTTCGCCGCGAACGCGCACGCGAACGTGGAGGAGTCGGATGGCCAGACTTATCGTGAAGTCATGGCCCTACGTGACCTTGAAAAAGAAGAAGAGCGTGTCCAGAAGCTGATTCAAGAAAAGCAGGCCCGTGGTGAGGACGACGTCCCCGAACATGAGGCCACGTTGAAGCTGGAAGACAAGGAAAATGCCGACGCTGGCTCGACCGTCTCTGTTGCCACTGGCCGTAAGCGCAAGCAGCGGTGGGACGTATCCTCCGAGCCCACCGAGACAGCACCGGAGCCTCCTCAGCCCACCGAGACGGAGGCTAAGCCCAAGAGGTCCCGCTGGGACCAGACCCCTGCGCCAGCTGCGCCCGGCGAAGAAGGACCCAAACGTCGGTCGCGGTGGGATCAGGCACCCTCGCTCGCACCTGGAGCGACTCCCGTCGGTAATCAGGGACTCGCTACCCCGATGCATCCGTCGCAGTCAGGCTCGTCGGCCATGCTCCCAACCAGCTTTGGAACCGACATCTCTGCCCGCAACGCCCCCTTGTCCGACGAGGAACTGGACATGATGCTGCCCTCGGAGGGCTACAAGATCCTCGATCCTCCCCCGGGTTACGCTCCGATTCGCACCCCGGCCCGGAAGCTCATGTCCACTCCCGCCCCGATGGCTAGCTCGACTGGCGTCGGTGGCTTCATGATGCAAGAGCCGGAAAGTGCCCGGGCCCTCGGCAAGCAGCTTCCAACTGAAATCCCTGGTGTTGGCGATCTGCAGTTTTTCAAGCCTGAGGATATGGCTTACTTCGGTAAGCTTATGGAAGGAGGAGACGAGAGCGTGATGTCTGTGGACGAAATGAAAGAGCGCAAGATTATGCGACTGCTGCTGAAGGTCAAGAACGGCACGCCGCCCATGAGAAAGACTGCCCTGCGTCAGCTCACCGATAACGCACGGCAATTTGGAGCAGGACCCTTGTTCAACCAGATCCTTCCCCTCCTTATGGAGAAGTCTCTCGAGGACCAAGAGCGCCACTTGTTGGTCAAGGTTATCGATCGTGTGCTCTACAAGCTTGACGATCTTGTTCGTCCTTACGTCCACAAGATTCTCGTCGTCATCGAGCCGTTGCTCATTGACCAGGATTACTATGCTCGGGTGGAAGGCCGAGAAATTATCTCGAACTTGGCCAAGGCCGCTGGTCTTGCTACCATGATCAGTACGATGCGTCCAGATATCGATCATGTGGATGAATACGTGCGAAACACGACTGCTCGTGCCTTTGCGGTCGTCGCATCTGCCCTTGGTATCCCAGCCCTTCTTCCCTTCCTTCGTGCTGTCTGTCGCAGTAAGAAGTCCTGGCAGGCCCGACACACTGGTGTGAAGATTGTCCAGCAGATTCCTATTCTTATGGGCTGTGCTATTCTTCCCCATCTCAAAGGTCTGGTCGATTGTATCTCCGATAACCTCAGCGACGAGCAGGCCAAGGTTCGCACGGTCACTGCATTGGCTGTGGCCGCGTTGGCTGAAGCTGCTAACCCCTATGGTATTGAAAGCTTCGATGAAATCCTGAACCCCCTGTGGACAGGAGCCCGGAAGCAGCGCGGTAAGGGTCTGGCCGCATTCCTCAAAGCTGTCGGCTACATCATCCCTCTAATGGACGAGGAATATGCCAACTACTACACCAGTCAAATCATGGAAATTCTTCTTCGAGAGTTCTCCTCTCCGGATGAAGAGATGAAGAAGGTTGTTCTTAAGGTTGTGTCGCAATGCGCCAGCACCGATGGTGTGACTGCTAGCTACCTCAAAGAGCACGTCTTGACCGACTTCTTCAAGAGCTTTTGGGTGAGGCGTATGGCTCTCGATCGGCGAAACTACCGCCAGGTGGTTGATACCACCGTCGATCTCGGACAGAAGGTGGGCGTTGGCGAGATTCTTGAGCGTGTTGTCAACAACCTGAAGGACGAGAGCGAACCCTACCGAAAGATGACCGTGGAGACGGTTGAAAAGTTGATTGCCGCCCTCGGAGCGGCCGATATCTCGGAGAGACTGGAGGAACGGCTTATCGACGGTGTTCTCTATGCCTTCCAGGAACAGAGCATCGAGGATATCGTGATCCTGAACGGCTTTGGCACCGTGGTTAATGCCCTTGGCACTCGATGCAAGCCGTACCTGCCTCAGATTGTCAGTACCATCCTTTGGAGGCTGAACAACAAGTCTGCCACCGTACGTCAACAAGCCGCCGATCTTATTTCTCGCATTGCCATGGTCATGAAGCAATGTGGTGAGGATGCTCTTATGGGCAAGCTGGGTATCGTCCTCTACGAGTATCTGGGTGAGGAATACCCAGAGGTTCTGGGCTCGATCCTCGGTGCTCTGCGGTCTATTGTCACGGTGGTCGGTATCAACCAGATGCAGCCTCCCATTCGTGACCTTCTTCCCCGTCTTACCCCCATTCTTCGAAACCGTCACGAGAAGGTTCAGGAAAACACTATTGATCTGGTTGGTCGTATTGCCGACCGCGGGCCCGAGTCAGTCAATGCCCGTGAATGGATGCGTATCTGCTTTGAACTGCTGGACATGTTGAAAGCCCACAAGAAGGGCATCCGTCGTGCCGCCAACAACACTTTCGGTTTCATCGCCAAGGCCATCGGTCCTCAGGATGTGTTGGCTACCCTCCTTAACAACCTCCGTGTGCAGGAACGTCAGTCTCGTGTGTGTACGGCCGTTGCCATCGGTATCGTCGCCGAAACCTGTGCTCCGTTCACGGTTCTCCCGGCTTTGATGAACGAATATCGCGTTCCGGAATTGAACGTTCAGAATGGTGTGTTGAAGGCCATGTCCTTCTTGTTCGAGTACATTGGTGAAATGGCCAAGGACTACGTCTACGCCGTGACACCCCTCCTGGAAGATGCTCTCATCGACAGAGACCAGGTTCACCGACAGACTGCTGCCAGCGTCGTCAAGCATATTGCCCTAGGTGTGGTTGGCCTCGGATGTGAAGATGCTATGGTACATCTTCTCAACTTGGTCTTCCCTAACATCTTCGAGACCAGCCCTCACGTCATCGACCGTGTCATCGAGGCGATCGACGCCATTCGGATGGCCGTTGGAACCGGCGTGGTCATGAACTACGTATGGGCCGGTCTATTCCATCCTGCTCGCAAGGTCCGGGTCCCGTACTGGCGACTATACAACGACGCCTACGTGCAGAGTGCCGACTCAATGATCCCCTACTATCCCGTCTTTGAGGACGAGTGTCTGGACAGGCACGAATTATCCATCATTGTTTAAGCCCAAAAAGCAAGCCGTTGTTCTTTGATATTCTCCATTGATGTACTTCATATACAGGATGCTTTTCCACCATTTGGATCGTTGAGCTTTTGTTATTTTCTTTCTGTGACACACTAGGCCTTATTTGATTCATCGCGAACGGTGTTGCTGCTCTGGGGCGGGTAATTCGGCGTGTATTCATTTTTGCCATTTCCTTTTCTTCTCGAAAGATATATCTTGTAGTAAATGATGATTTTTTTCCATGTCATTCATGATCTCTGGCTTCTGATCTGTTTTCGGGCATCCTTTGCGTATTATCAAATCTTCCCCGCATCCACCCCATTTTCTTGGCGTTGGTTCTACATCATTGCGTGTTTCTTCACTCCGACATCCTCGCCACTACTAACTAGTCATGAATCTCCCTTCGGAGTGTGATGTGCTCGTCGTTGGTAGCGGCAATGCCGGCTTCTGCGCAGCCATATCCGCCGCCCAGGCTGGGGCTCAAAAAGTGATAATCATCGACAAATGCCCCGAAGAATGGGCAGGTGGAAACTCCTATTTCACTGCAGGAGCGTTCCGCACGACTCATGACGGTCTAGACGATTTGCTTCCCTTGGTGAATAATGTCGACCAGACAACGGCGCAGAAGATCGAGATGGCCAGCTACACTGAGGCTGACTTTACCGGTGACATGAACCGAGTGACTGGCAATCGGACTGACCGCGATTTATGCCGGATTCTAGTGACTGATTCCAATCCAACCGTCAAGTGGTTAGCAGCCAACGGAGTCCGGTTTCAACTTTCGTTCAACCGCCAGGCATATGAAGTCAATGGCAAAATCAAGTTCTGGGGCGGACTCGCCCTCAAAACCCAGGATGGAGGCAAAGGACTCATCCAAGACCATATCCAAGCCGCTCGAGCACACGGGATCAACATCTTCTATTCAACCGCAGCGCAGCGGCTCATCCGCGACCCGACCTCTCGCGCCGTGACAGGAGTCGAAGTCATACATCAGGGCCAGGAAACGACCATCCGAGCCCGCGCCACCATCCTGGCCGCCGGCGGATTCGAAGCCAATCCACGCATGCGATCCCAGTTCCTCGGTCCAGGCTGGGACGCCGCTTTGGTTCGTGGCACTCCTTACAACTTCGGAGACGGCCTTGAGATCGCCATCCGTGATGTCTCCGCCAAACCCGCAGGGAACTGGTCTGGCTGCCATTGCGTGGCATGGGATGCCAACGCGCCTGCGGACACAGGAGATCGCGAAGTCTCGAACGAGTTCACCAAATCGGGCTATCCGCTAGGCATCATGCTGAATCGCCAGGGTCACCGGTTCGTGGATGAGGGCTCAGATCTCCGCAACTATACCTATGCCATGATCGGACGACAGATCCTGCAACAACCCGGCCACGTCGCGTTCCAGGTGTGGGACTCGCGGACAATATCCTGGCTGCGCACAGAGGAATACCGGCCTGAGGTCGTACAGCAGATCACCGCGTCGTCGATCCCCGAGCTTTCGGAGAAATGCGCCGAACACGGTCTCGAAGATCCAAAGCAGTTGGAACGCTCTATTCATGAATACAACGAGGCTGTTTATGAGAGCCAACGACAGGATCCGAAGCGGACATGGGATCCAGCCGTGAAGGACGGCTTGTCGACTCAATCACCGGCACGCAGATTAACAATCCCCAAATCCAATTGGGCTTTGCCTGTCGACCAAGGGCCTTTCCTAGCGGTCAAGGTCAGCTCAGGAATCACGTTCACGTTTGGAGGACTAGCTGTCAATCCGGAGACTGTGGGTGTTATCTCGTCGTTGACGAACGAGGAAATCCCTGGGTTGTATTGTGTTGGAGAGATGCTTGGAGGGTTATTCTATGATAACTACCCTGGAGGCAGCGGGTTGACTTCAGGAGCGGTGTTTGGTCGACGTGCAGGACGGGCTGCTGCTGCTGCCGCTGCGTGAGATCGTGGTCATCGTGACTGAGACTGGTTTGATCTTGAATCCGACTGCCTGTCGTGTCCAGGGTCAATCTTGGATATAGAATGTGATGTACTGATGATAGAATAACGATGCCACGCATTCTACTTTTTGATATCACCTGAAGCTGATTTTAATTACAGATACCTCAATGGCAGTACTGTGGTAGTAGTATAGTATAGGGATAATATGGTCAACTACATCTTATGTAGCTGAGGTATAAAACCCAGGTATGAAAATATATATCGAGTACTTCAAGCATGAACCACAATATCCGACTCAAATTCTATGTCATTGCTATAGATATTGTATAATCCAAACACCTCAAAAGCCCAACATCAATAACCCACAATATCTGTCTCTATCTACTCCGTACATCGTATCTACCACCACATCTACCTGCCTATTCCGGACCATCGTGAACGCCAACACGTGAAGACCCGCTTATCTAATCCGGCATGTCCGACCATGCAACCAACCACCCAACAAAAGAATCACATTGTCATTGTACGATCTGAACCCGAACCCGGTCGACAGCAAGTGCAACCCTACTTGAAAATCCCGGAGTACGTACCCTTCCCCCCATCACGATGCTCGCTCCCCTCTCCTCCGCCCTCCCCAAAAGGCTATACACCCAATCACCCACGACCAGAGACCATTTGCCACATGTCCCGGATGCCAAGCATTCACCCTGCAGGCGTCGAGTATGTGCCGCGTAAGCCTTCTCCATCGTCCATGTCATGTGCGGCCTTGGCACATGGGATCTGTGGGGAAGTCATCCAATGCTTTCCCGGCCGTTGGTGCCTGTGATTGGCGGGCTGGCCAGACGACGGGGGGGAAGGTCTGACATTCCTGGATGAGGCCCTGCAGATTGGTCGTCATTGCTGTCCAGATTAGTCGGCTTCAGGAGTGGTTCAGGGATTCTGATTGCTGTTTTGGGTCGGTCTTGAGCCCTGTTTGTATACTCTGTTGCGTGGAGGGGGGGAATGATTGTGTGGTCAGGGTCAAGGCTTTGGATTTATTTTTATTTTTTATTTTTTCGTTTCTCCTTTTCATTTTTAGGGTCAGAGTCAGGGTCTGAGGCTCGAGCTTGGAGGGAAGGAAGGCGTGTGCTTTTTTTTTTTCTGTTTTCTTCAAAATGTGGGAAGGGAAAAACAGGCACTGTTTCTCTTTGCTTTTTTCCCCTCTTTTTTTCCCTCTTGCGCAGTCTTCTTCTGTCTTTCTTCTAAATGCTGTATATAGTATTAAATTAGTTTATTCATTTAATTTATTACTACTTTTTTTTTCACGCTCGCCCGTGGGTTTGATCCTCCTTGGCTGACAACTCCCCTCCACCGTAACTTATCGAGTCCTTGTTCCGAGAGCACAAAACTGTCTCGGAAACGGAAACGGGCCCGTCAGTGTTTGAAGTTGAGCTCCGTCGTAAGAGGAATCAAATCAAAGGACACTAACGGCGACAATTTAAACAGAGTGGAATTGAAACAACGAACGAGCACGGATACCTATGACAGCATCGATCGAATCCCATGTCTCATAGTTGTCTACTCCAGACGACTGACCGTTCGGTCTGTATCGTACGCCATACTCGGCCTGGATAAGCGTACGCTGTACGCAGGTATACACTACGGCTGTATGTTCTATGCACATACATCCAACATCCCAGCGCTGCAGGCATGCACAGTGCACACCACCACGGACCGGTCGCCTTCTGCACACTCTCGTCACCTCGCTTTTGTCGGCGGCGGCAGACATGCAACCCTGCCTGATTGGCAATAGGATGGCTTGCATGGAAACCTTTTCCTAGGTTTGCGAAAAACATGAAATTGTCCCTTAGCGCAGACGGCAAACTACTCCTGCTCCATAGTAGGCTGTCCAGGCCCTACCGGGATGGATTCACCATAATCTAGAATTCATTTTTCCTGCTCCTCTACGGAGTCTTTTCTTAATCAATTGGGTTGATGCATTGAGGAATTTTCCCCTTTGGCTTTGGGGGTTGGATCGGTGTTGGTTTTTTTTTTTTTTTCTTTTTCATTTTCATTTATTTTCTCTCCCTCTGCGCCCTCCATTCCTTCCCGTCTTTTAGTTTTGGGCCATTACGAATCCCTGAAAAAATCAGCACGCAGGAATTAAAATAGCACACGTCCCTTTTTTTTTTTAGTGATTGTTGGATGTCACCTTTTTCTTTTTTCCTTTTGCCCCTCGGTTCATGTGAGAGCTGAGGCGTCGTACCTACGACGTAGAAATCAAATGGCTCGGGGTTGACGATGTCTGGTGATGTCAGCCTTGTCCTGTTACTATGTATATACAGCCGAGATTTGCAATAGATTATCTTGATGGATGATGTACAACGGCGAACTCGGGGAGGAGGAAAATCGCATTACTAAGAGTCTAAGAACCACACGCCTCACGATGATTCTCAGGAACGCATGTCCCCCCTCGACTCCGTCCGCCGAACTAGTCTTCTACAGTTCTCTTCCTACAGCTTCCTGTTCCAGCCTAGCCGCCAATGCAGGGTCTTCCATCCTTCCGATTAATCTACTCCCTAAGCGCCGGAGTCGAGTGTAGATGAATCTGGATACGAACGGGTTGTCCATCTGAGACGCTGAGGACGGATTGCGCAGGCCCAATTTACTCGATACCCTCAGACATCAGATACTGGTGGGAAAAGTGGATAAACGTCGTAACGCCAGGAAGGATTCCCATGGCACCTGTCTGGCATGTCTCAAATGTTCCTAAACGTCCTCACATCCAATGATGAATCTTAGGTCCCCGTCTTAAAGTGCATCGGATTCGCAACGCAACCCTTTCTGGCCCCCTCTTTTTTATTTATTATTTTTTGATTGTGAGTGTTATTTTTTCCCGTTCGAGGATGCGTCGCGGCCGCCATTGACATACGCCAAGAAAACCGGTAGGCTCCACTTTCTGCACACTAGAATCATTTTTCCGTCGGGGATCACGCCGGAGGCTGGAAGGCCGGTGGAAGCTTGTTCAGGGTCCTGTCGTTGGACGGCGTAGCGAGGGAAGGAGAGAGGGGAACCGGTGATACCTGCGTTGCCGAGTTTCCCAGAGAAAATAGAGAACCCCGGTATACATTCCCTTGTCGGCACATCGCCTGGGGGGTGTGGTGGTGTGAGTGTGGTGTGGTGTGCCATCGGACGGTAGGGCAATAACTCCCAGGATTACGAACAGGGATGAACGGCCTGAAGAACAGATGACGTACCCCTGAGCAGGACAGCCAGCCTCTCTGGCAGTCGCGGTTGTTGTGCCTGCTAATCTATCTCGCCCAGCGCCCTTGAATAAACTAAGTAAATCACTGTCGGCTCAGGCCGTCACTTCCCGTTTCTCCTATTCCACGAACAAGACTCATGCTTGCTATAGAGTTAGGTAATTAATTCGTGGTCGACGGTCTCGACACGACGCATGGACACTGTCCAGCCGCCGTCTAGTGGTTCAGTGATATCATTAAAGTTTGTGGTTTGGTTTTTTGTCTCTCTTGTCGTCTCATCCACTTTCGTCGCGCTTACGGATCGTATGGATCCTTTGTTTTTCCTCGTCCTCTGCCTGCTGTGGTGGTTCCCGGGGGAGAAGAACTTCAGAGTCGAGTTCTTGACGAGTGGATCGGCCGTAGTCCCAAGTCGGATCATTTAGTTCAGACTAGTCTGGCGACGGGGCAAGAGGAGACGGCGTGTTTCAGCTTCCTGCTAGACTTTGTTAACCCTGAAAGTGGCAGTGGGTGTGGAGCCGGCCAGGATCGCACGCAGGGATTCGACCTGCGGGGTCATGGCGTCTTGCGAATCTGGTGGTCTGGATTGGTTGAAGATTGAAATGTGGAAGTGCTCCGTAATGTTGAATGTTGAATCAGGAACAACGGTCGAGAATGCTATTGAGGGCAGAAAAAAAGAGGTGCAGAACGGAAATGATACATGGTATTATGCTGGTATCATATCTCAACTGTTCCCTGCATCGCCAGCATACTACGTAAAGTACCTACTCCAGAGTAAGCAGAAATTACCAACGAAAAAAGAAAAACAACACCACCTCCTCACAAACCTTATACCCGAACAGGTTAAGCGCCGCTGAAATAAGGAAAGCTCTGTGAGATGTGCACGCGTCAGCTCCTGTGGGGTCATCCACGATGATTGGGTTATCTGCTCGAGCCAAGCTCGGCTATCGACTATCTGCCGTCTCTGGGGCATGTGGCTGCATACCTCCCTGCTTCTTAAAATTAAATCCTGCCGCGACGCGCCCAATAGCGTACCTGAATTTTGCGCCCACTCCCTTTTTCCGCGTCCCGGTAGTTTTCGCACCATCCCTCTTCCGGGGCTAGCGGGGCATCAAGTCACCAACCGCAGGAGGGAAGGTCAAGCCTGACCCCCATTCCATTAGAGAACAGTCCCTCTTGCCCTAACCATGTGGAGCACCTGGGAGAGGGCCTGTTGGAGGACAGTCTTGGCGGAAACGCCACTAGTTCGACATCTCAGTGGTGTCGGGGCAAAGGGCCAATCAGCGCGGGAGAATATTTCCTGGATAGGGAACTTTGCCTGTAGCCACTAGCCACCCGAAAAAAAAGGGCTCCATGTTCCCACCTTCTGATCTTATGTATCCATCTCCCGCGCTATCGTCTAGTCGTCAACCAAGCACTATATTCCTTCCTACAGCGGATTACGGAGTAGAGTCTGCAAACTGATGACGGCGACTTGTGACTCTGAGCACATCGCATATTTGGGCCTGGGACACGGGAAGGACCCAATATCCAATAACGCAATTTCCCAGGTCGGGCCCATCCGCCGTCTTCTACCAACTCGACCAAACTATGCGTAGTAGAGTTCGTACTCCTCACCTCGACTCCATCCACGGCTTTCCGCGGAAAGTTCACTCGATGTTCTATTAGCTTGGCATGGCCGCGGAGGGCTGTTTGTGTGTATCCTTCGGGGACCTCTTGCTGACGGAGTCTATTCCCCGAACTGCCTGCTACTGCTAGCCAGCAGCCATGGAACTCAATCGTGGAATTGCTTGCCTTACGGAGTAGTGCTCTAGAGCCTAGGATCACTCTCTCCCGGCTTAGAGTGTCCTGGTCGACCAGCGGGAATTGAACCGCTCCCTCGTCCACTTGGCTGAATCCTCGCCCCCCCTGACCCCTAACGCCAAATCCCTCATTCCTAATATGTGCGCGAACTATAATATCAATCTCCCTTATACTCCGTCGCTCCTAGCTAGCCCCTGTAATAAAGCCCTCCCTGCTAACCGAGTCAGCAAGAAAGTCCCAAAAGCCCAAGATACAATAACGCCAATCATGACGATCTGCCGAGTGGGATCTGCCAAGATGGACCCCGTGCAGATGACAGATGTTTAAAAATATTTTTAAAATGGGATTTTCATCGTTTAATCAAAAATGAATGGGGATTTCTGTTTCAGATGGGTTTATTTGCTTCCTAAAAAAGATTTTTTTACCATGCGACGAAAAATTAAGGTATTCTTCGAGGGACCGATGATCATCATGTTCCTGAAGGTCTTTCGAACCGAAAAGAAACTTTTTTTTTTATCTTCCTTTTTCTAGACTAATGCCGATTGTCAATCTGCCGAGATTTTCTTTGGATGTCGCTTGCAGATTTGTCTGGGTTGACGGATACCGACCGCATGGCTGGGTAAGTCCTGACACATGGTCTGTCTGGGTCTGGGATCGATCGAGTTTGATTCATCGCACATGCAGTTACTCCGTAGAAGTATAAAACATCGATATCATGGAGTACGACTTCTCTGTTGGTCTCCTGGCTCGACGCTGTAGCAAGTAGCAACCTGCTAGCAACGCACGACTTTTCCAACTCTGACATCATCTTCACCCACCAACCCAAACCCCGTTATCGGTAGGAGCGGAATCCCAGTTCCCTCTGGCTCTCCTATTCTTGCCCGGCGGGGAAGGTATGATGTCTACAACTCCAGTGCAGCGCGGGCTATATCCACTGTTCACGAGAAGCGAAATTAAACGCTAATAATAACAACATGAGCTTAGCACTGCTGGGCTGCTAGCACGGTGTTTGCTCTGCTTTGCTCCAGTAGAGTCTAGAGTCTAGAGCCTAGAGGGTGTTTTAGCCTCCTGAAAATCAGGACTGCTTGTTCTTGCTAGTGTTGGTGTTGGGAGTGGGTGTGAGTCAGGATGTATTATGGAGTAACTATGGGCATCAGTGAGTTACGATGGATACATATGGATACAGTATATGGAGTGCCTGAGCAATAGGCGATACAGAGTACAGGGTCACATGCTTCTACACCATGACAGACTCGACAGCAGTACAGCTCCCTCTCCGAGGCTGAGTCCCTGTTGCGTACGCATTTCGACAGGTAAGT